TATATACATATATATATATATATATATATTTGTTTTTCGTTATACATGGACGTCTCCCTTGTTACGATATGTAAATGTTTATTGTAATGCTTTTGTTACTGTTCAACAAGTGAAATAAATATTATTATTATTATTATGATGTGGCTTGCATATGATGGGTTCCATACATCCATACAGAAGATATGTATTCAAGATGAGATCTTACCAGAGAGTAGTACAGAATTTTTAAGAATTTGATATCAGTGACATCTGAGGTACATCTTCTTAGGAAGCCTAGCATTTTGAGAAACTTATCAACAGTGGCCGACACGTGGGGCTGAAATGAAAATGAGCTGTCTAGGAGTAAACCTAAGTCTTTTTATTTCTGTAACATTACTGACTGCAACTTGTTTTATAGTATAAGAGAATACTTTTATGGCTAAAAGTTATGGAATGGCATTTACGTATATTAAGTTCCGTAACCATTGTCAAAACACCAACTGGATATTTGTTTCAGCTTGGTCTGGAGTTCTATACAATCATTTGGTGAATCGATTTTCTTGTAAACTTTCAAATCATCTGCAAAGTTTAAAAATTTTGCATCAGGAAAGCATCAGAAAGCTTGAAAATTTTGCATTATCAAAGCAGTACATGAAAACATTGAACAGCAATGGTCCCGAATGGGATCCTTGGGGATGATGTCTATATTTGTGCAGATGTATATGTGTTTATATTTTCAAATTAGCAGCTTTGTCAATAAGACCTGATGTTCTTTGGACTATAAAGCATATTATTATTATCGATTCATTCAGCTGAGAATGTTTCAGGAAATAATCTTTACGAATATCACTTGACCCAAAAATTTTCTCAGATAATTGTCTGTTTCTTACAGTTGTAGAAAGGGCAAACTTTTTAATACACCATGATACATTACAGCTTGAATTAAAAGTATTTTTCACACAGAAAAATATTCCATTCATCAGTAACTTGTGTTATTCAATAATTCACTGATGAATAGAGCATCTTTCTTTGTGAAAAATACTTTAAATATAAGAAGTAACATATTTCGGAGAGAACTAAAAAGTTTACTGTTTCTATACCTGTATGTTCCCATTACAATTTTCATTTTATTGCTCGTATCTTAATAAAAGCAAATATTTCTCTGGTTTTCATTAGATCACAGTCTTCAATTTATTTTGATTATGAGTTGACCAATATGGCACTTGTAAGAAAAGTTGAATGTAAGGATTTGGGCATCTAGGTATCTCAGAAAACTCTTCCGTTTATTTTGCGAACATCTTATGATTCTTCTGTTCACACCATAATAGTTTTATATTGCTCTGTAATTATATCCATTGTAGAATTTAGTACTGTAATCTAGTGTCCATATTATCATCTTATTAAAAATGTGCAATCTAAATTTTTAGGTTTTTTCATAAACTAGACCTCACGATTTGATCCCCACAATTATTATCTCACATTATCTCACATGTCGAGATAATATTTTTCAAATAAAGTTTGTGGAGATCAAATCGTGAGGTGTACTTTATGAAATTACAATGTATCTTCATCAAGTAACGGCCAAATCAATCAGTAAATTTTTAGGATATGTAGCTCATAAATTAGGTTTAATAGTAAGTGAATATCATTATAATGAAGTTAGAAATATCATAACTTTACCATGCCTCAAGGATAATTGGACAATTCAAAACTCCATCAGGCATTTCGATTGTACTGGAATCCTTAACTTATATCTTTATGTATGTCCCAAATAGACGGACGAGGCATAAAACTCTTTTATATATATGCATTTTATTCTTATCTATGTTCTATGTTAAGATAAGGTAATTTGTACTGATAAAATTCATTTCCAACATCTAAACTCAACTGAGCCTAAATTGAAAGACATTTATTCACACAAGAATCGTTTACCTCATGTGTAAATTTCACTTTGTGGTAATAGGTCTAATGTTTTGTAAACTAAATTAGGGTTTTCCCTTTGTAAGTTGATAAATAAATAACAACAACTATCATCAATTATAATTACCTTGCCTTTCAACTTTTCAAATGGAGGCGTTTTGGCATTCAAATGAGTGAATGCAAGTTGGGACTCTGCTAATACATGTCGAACCAAATCTGATTTTGTTTCAGAGTCTTCTATAACAATCCAATGTATGTTTGGAACGAGCCGCAGTGTTTGAGAAATTCGAGTAAGTTCTGCCCTTTGTACATATCTGTAATATGTTGGTGTAACTGCATATATAATTTGATGAATTTGGGAATTCCTCTCAGATTCCAAATGTTCCAGTAAAAATTGCTGATGTTCGGAGAGCTGCAATGAGTTTTTATGTAAGTCCAGTGCATCACGTAGAATTTGTGTTTTATCTACATCTAAAATAAAATTATTTAGACATGACTCAGCACAAAAACTAAAATAATTACTTCCACAAAATATTCATTTGATAGATTTAGGAATAAAAAAATAGTATATTGTTCTATTAGAAGAAAAAGTGATGTTTGGTGTGAGTAGAGTTTGTGGTGATGATTGGTTTTTCAACAGCATTTATACCATCAACGTATTTACGGTTGAGCCTAGCACCACTAATGAGACCAATGGCGGGTCGAGGGGGTGCTGTCTGGTGTTGAATCATAAATGTGTTATGCTTGCAGTGAAAAATGCAGAAAATCTCAACAGCAATTGATGTCAAAGCTTGGCTCTGCAACTAATCGCCTTGGGAAGCCTCGTTTATCTTTTATATCTAAGGGTTGAGTTTTCTGACAATCCCATGGAAGGCTTCTTGGCAAGGGAAGATGTCATTGACCTTACTCACTCAGGATTATCTTTTAAAGACAGTTGAGTCCAGCAATACATTTGCGGCTCAGCCTAGCACCACTTATGAGACCTATGGTGGGTCGGGCTCTAGTTTCCAACTAGCATTTATACCCTTTCACAAAAAGCTGCAAACCTTCAACTGGAAGGTTATATGAGTAATAACAATAACAGAGATATTGGTAGCCATGGAAGTGAGGTATTAAGTAGGAATTGCTTTGTGTACTTTGTTGGTAAAATACTGTTAGAAAGCAGTTCAAAGTATTGGTTGTCCTTACCATTTCCCGCAATTGCTATCCTCCAAATTAGTATTAACATAGGGACTATTAGAAAGTAAACAATACATTTTCCAGACTTCATGTTCTTATAGTTTTTGTGATATTGAGAATCCATATATCAACTTTTTTTTCTGAGTTGAGTACTAGAACCGTGGTGAGCACACTTGAGCATAATAATAAGAATCTGGTCTTATCAGATATTTGATTAAATTATTTGGATAATACTTAGGTATCAAGGTCATGCACGTGAAAACATTTTTTTTTTCGATATTTAAGTCTACCACAGAGTAATTTCTTAGTACTCTGTGAGTCAACTATGTGCATAAATATATATAATATGGACTGAGCGTGACCGCATGACGTCACTTTTAGTTATTGCAATCAATGTTCTCTCTTCAATGACCAGTCCACATTATGACGTCATTGGCTTTGTGAAACATTCTATATTTATGACTGACCAATTCACGAATCTACTCCAATGAATACAAAGTTAATGATTTTTACACGTAAGATGATTCTACTGTGAGAAAAGTTCCATATGAATATTGGAATGTCAAAACAAAATTCGACTGGAAAAATTCCACATATCTTTTTCACCTCAAATGACTGTCATCTGCTAATCGCAATATGTCGCCCTTAAAGCCGGAATTACATTATTATGTTGTGGTGAATTGTGATACTCTCTGACGTGAGGGCGAGTGTCGTGTCGGGGCGCGCTCTGACGTTATTTCGAGTCAAAACATTGGTGGCCTTTGGTGAAACGCATGGAATTGGCCGTGGTACTACGCACGACTCACGATCGGAAGGCCGTGGGTTCGATTCCCGCCTCGACCAGATATTTTTCTCGAGAGAATGTATCTTGTTGAAGCTGGGATGATTCTGCAACCGTGTTAGGAATCACACGTTATAAGGTAAGACCGCGTACTTATTGCATTTGAGCGTTGCATAGTCTCTTTGGAAAATAAACTGGCGATCTTCACACTCACAAACAATGAGCTGACGACGATGTTTTTTTAACATTCAAATTATCTTATGCACCTCATTATATTCATTAATTTTATGTCGGTTTCGAATTATAAACAGAATTATTCATTCATTAGAAACAAAATACTGATTATTTAAAAAAAATATTTTCAATTAACATTATTAAGACAAAAAACTTAGATTCCTATCGATACATAGGTAAACTATAATTCACTTTTTCATATACATCTTCTGCTGTATCTGTGATATCTATCACTTTCCTCACAACTATGATAGGAGCTGTCGATGATGAAATTCCGTTATTCGTCTATTTTTTCTTCATCATCTCCTTCGATATTATCTTCTTTCAACCACATCACTTCCGACGTTTTTGTAAAAAAAGTGTAAATATTTTATATTTATCTTTTCAAAATGAATCAATTGAAGAGCTAATGATAGAAGGGAAGGTAGTATTTTACAATGTTCAAAGTGTTGACCTGTTATAAAAGTATTGACAGAACCACTATAGCTAGTACCTACTTCTGCATTTAACATCACGTTAGTTGTACCACAACTATCGATACATTTTTCAATAGCTTCAAAATGATTCATCATTATATGAAAGTGGACAAAATGAATGAATCATCGAAACATTTTTCCCTTATTTGTATTTTCAGATTAATTTTTGCAATAGCTAGATCATACGAGTGTGTTATTTCCATATGAGTTTCAGTGCATTTCGTAGCCAGTTGTTGACCCTGTTGACCATCTATGGTTAATATTACTTGAGTTCAATCCCAACACCAAACCGTTATTTTTAACACCTCTACACGTGTTTCAATCACCAAGTGATCATCTTCAAACGAAAGATTAAACTAAAATTACATTTGATATCATTCTTATTTATACCATAGATACCTCTGCTAGGTACCTGCGTCTTAATTGTCCTAAATTCATTTTTAATATTGCCTTATCTATTAGTCTCAAATTAATATTATAGTATTGTTAAATTAAATTAATTTAATTTTACAATATTGTACTATATAAATACCGTAGATACTGCCCTAATGGGGAATGTTCCTCCTGACGAAAATCAAGTAATTTTGCATAAAAGAGCTCTAAAACAACGCATTTTAAACTTATCATTTCAACCTTTTTCTTTAAAAAGATAATCGCGATTAAATTTAAATACGGTGCATACGAGCCTAAGAACTTCAAATTTCAAGCCATGGCTTAATGCGCCTCAATGGAAGCAAAAGCCATTAAATATAGAAAGAGAGAGAGAGAACTTCAAGCCACTTTTGTGGAGGCAAGCTATCGAGAAAAATGTTTGGGCACGTGCTTGAAAAAAAACGATGTCCAATACATGAAGAAGAAGAAGAACTCATTCTGTGCCACGGTGGTGCCACGCCACGTATACAATACGGTTGGATTTAAGATTCCTAGAAAACCTGGTGTTGGTAACGCTTAGATTTTGTTTTGAACTTTTTGAAGGAACCACCTGTTGCTTTTAACAACACTTACGAGAGTTTTCCCAAGATGGCGCTATTCTGAATTGTTCGAGTCCCCGCTGAGTCAGTCAAATTAATTATTATCTGTCATTGTCAAAAAGAATTTTCAACTTTTGGTATTTTGAAATTGATATTTTTTGTCATCCCAATCTTTACATTGTTCGCATTTTTTATTATAGTTTTCGTTCGTTGGTTCTCAGTTATTTTAGTTTGGTTACATTTTTCAGTAGTAATAAGGAATAGTTTTATATAGTGTATAAGGATACTTTTTGTACAATGGGACAATTCTATATTTTGTGTGGACAATGTAAAAATTCGAGTAATCATCTGTATTCAGTGCCAAAGGTAAATGAAACATTTTATAATTACTGTCAATCCACCACGGATAAACTAAGTTTGTATCAGCCTACACCAAAAACCAACTTCATATTTTGAATAATCCTTCACCCTTTCAAATCCACCTTCTGCTACTAGAGTATCATTACTTTCTTAATCATAATATCAAATTGAAAATAAACATTCACTTATGCTTTTTTTAATTTTTTTTAAATACAACTTAATACCTAGTTGCAAGAAAAGTCTACTCATAGAATCATAGATACCTACAGATGAATATTACAGTATGCAGATAGATTTATTGCATTTCTACAGAATTATTATGAGAAGTAAGTAAGTTTACAGTTACATGAAATTTAACATCCATTTAAAATATCATGATATTAATATCAGCATAAAATTTAAAACTAATAAAAAATTAAATCTATATCAACAATTAATAAATCATAGATTAAGTTTGAAAATCACTGACTGAGTAGGGCTCCATGTCAAACAAATAGTTCCCCAAGCCTAACAGAATGTTGTATATTTTTGAAATCTTGTGGAAAATTATTGTAGAACACGAGGGTGTTGACTTGTATAAAAAAAAATTATTGGGTGGTTAAAAGACTACTCATGTTTGATGAGAAACCTAATGTTCTCTTAAATATATACTTGCAGTAATTGTTAGCATATAGAATTCCAAACAACCAAACAGTATGCTCTTCCCCTTCTAGCTTTACCTATCTAGAAAAAAAAAGTTATTTTCAACCGGCTGTTCTCTAACGGTGACCCTCAGAAGTTCGCAGTTGGAAACAAACACTCAATGCTATTCATTTCTCTTGAAGATAAAAGATTGTTGTTTTCGGTTCAACTCAAGCATATCAATGTCCTTTTACAAATTTCATATAAGGCTCATAACGGACTTTAAAGAAAGTTATTGATAACATAATATGAGAAGAGATATTTATGTAACAATTATTTAATTGAATCATGTTGAAAAAGGGATATGTCACAAATTGTCTGAATGTGTGGAGTTTAGTTATAACATTTCACATTATTTTTAATTTCAATGATCACAGCTGCTGTTTTGTTCAATATTTTACATCATATTTTCCCTTCATACCTTTCATAAAAGTACATCATTATTCAATACGGGCTAATAGGTGCTAATATAATAAAAGGTGATAGTGGAAGAAAGGGGTAAAGTTGAACAACATTTTCTACAAATGCCTGATTCACAGAAAATTAACTTCATTAACTTCACCCTGTATTTCCTGATATTTCATATTTGTCAATATCTGTGTAAGCGTCCTGCTTACACATGGAAATAATAAATACGATATCATTATTATAAACAGCCTCTTCTGAGAACATAATCAAAAAGAGGTGTATCTTTTAGAATCTTTCTTGTGAGACGGTTATAATGAAATGCCAGTAGGAATTAAAAAAAATTAATGGAAAAGTTGTTATTGAACAAAGGGTTATAAGGTATACATGCTAAGAATCGCACGTTAAAAGGTAAGATTTCGTTAATCCCTGTTCGCATAAGTTTCGACTTCTGAGGGCTGCCGTTTGTAGGAGAATGACAGCTGGTTAACAGAAAAACCAATTTTAACAAATACCATTTCAGTCTCAATTTATTCATTTGTATATAGGTGAACCCCAATTTTTGTTTACAATAAATTATATAACAAAGAAAGCTTGTACTGTAACCACTTATACTTCTACTACTATAATTATTATAGACACATTTATGTGTGTTGAATGAAGGACAATCAAAGTAATGAAAAACATTTACATGAGCAAAGAGTGAGATTCTTAAAAATATTTTCATCATCACAGAAGAAATTGATTTTATCAGAGTAGTTATTTTCAAGTCTCAACATTTCAGATAAAGGAGAATGATACCAATAGTTAGAATGGGACAATTCTGTATTTTGTGTGGACAGTGTAATCATCATCGAGTAATCATCTGTATTCAGTGCCAAAGGTAAATGAAACATTTTATTATTACTGTCAGTCCACCAAGGATAAACTATGTTTGTATCAGCCTACACCAAAAACAAACTTAATATTTTGAATAATCCTTCACCCTTTCAAATCCACCTTCTGCTACTAGAGTGTCATCACTTTCTTAACCCGTAACTGTTACTACCGGGTCTGTACGACCCAGCGATATATTTGCATACCCCTCCCTTACCGGCCAAAAAGCGCAGACAGTTGATGATCCATGACTTCTCGTCCACTCCAGTTCTGTTTAGACTGTTATGCAGATCGCATCGATTCTTTCGATTTTTAACAAAGTACATGCTAGTTAGGGTCTGAAAGACCCGGTGATAGTAATAAGGGGAGTATTTCACTGTATGAACATAACGTGAGTATCCTCGATACGTTGGAAACTTATGTCTCAAAAACTACAGATTCGTTATAATTTTCAATTATTTCGGAATTCTTTTTTTTAGCAGTGAATATGGACAACAGAAAACTTTTAACTGAGAAAGAACTTGCTGACATACTAACAAATGAAGATTTTTGGGCCGATGAAGAAATTACAGGAGAAGATTGGACAGGTCCTTCTAGCTCCCAATGTATAACAGCTGATGATGAAATGGATGCGACAAATATTATTCTTCTTGATGGGGACAAAAGCAAGGAAGGGGAATCTGATCATGAACTGTTCAGTAATCATGATACAGAAAGTGAAGATGATGAGTGGGTACCCGATAATGAAGAAAACTCTATAGTGAATACAGAGTATAGCGGTTGTGAAAACGAGGATTCTAATGAACAAAATTTTGGTGTAGATAGAGTGGAAGAAACTATTTGTAAAAAAAGATTTTTTTATGGAAGATTGGATAAGAAACCTGCAAAACCTTGTATAAAATGGTCACAACAATATCCAATTAGAGGGCGAGAGCGAGCAGAGAATATTCACACCATTCTGCCTGGTCTAAAAGGTCCTGCACGAGAAAACCCCTCATCTGAATCTCCATTACAAGCATGGAGATTGATTATTTCTGATGATATCTTGACAGAGATTGCTACAAACCCTAACAAAAAAATTGATCCCATGTGAGTGAATTAGTTCATTCAAAACCAAACGTAACTCAAGATATAAATTCCATCCCCGTTTCATACAACCTACAAATAAAGTTGAAATAGAAGCATTTATTGGCCTATTATATTTGCAAGGTACTTTCAAATCTGGCCACGAGCAACAGATGGAACAGGTAGAGACATTTTTCGGTGTACCATGACGTTAGCTAGATTTATATTCCTTTTAGCTGCCATTAGATTTGATGACTTCGAAACGCGAGCTGAGCGTCGTGAAACAGATAAACTTGCTCCAATTTAAAATAAATTCAAAAAATTTGTAGAAAATTCAAAAACTAACTACACTCCTGGAATATTCCTAACATTGGCAAACAAACCGGCAAAGTACGGCATTCAAATTAAGATTTTAGCTGATTCGAAAACACATTATATGTGCAATGCTGAAGTGTATACCGGAAAAGAAATCAATGCACTAGAAAGTAGCAAACAATCCAAAGAAAAATCACTTTCTCATCCTACACAAGTTGTTATGCAAAGGACGGAATCATTCTACAATTCCAAACGAAATCTCACTGCAGATAATTGGTATACATCTATCAAGGCAGCTCGGGAGTTGAAAGAAAAAGGTCTGACATATGTAGGACCTATGAAGAAAAATAAAAGCGGAATACCTGCCGCATTTTTATCATTCAGAGCTAGAAAAGTGGGTTTCTCCCTTTTTGGTTTCACATCTAATCTTACTCTTGTCAGCTACGTCCCACAACAGAATAAAAGTGTCGTTTTGCTATCCTCTATTCACCATGACAATCGAATTGATGCTGCCACAAAAAAACCTGATATAATACTGTTTTATAATAGTACCAAAGCCGGGGTAGATGCATTAGACGAAAAGTGTGCCAAGTATACTACATCTCGTCGTTCTAGAAGATGGCCCAAAGGTGTATCTTTTAGAATCTTTCTTGGTTATAATGAAATGCCAGTAGGAATTTAAAAACAATTAATGGAAAAGTTGTTATCGAACAAAGGGTTATATTTAGGTATTCATGCTAAGAATCGCACGTTAAAAGGTAAGATTTCGTTAATCCCTGTTCACACAAGTTTCGACTTCTGAGGGCTGCCGTTCGTAGGGGAACGACAGCTGGTTAACAGAAAAATCAATTTTAACAAATACCATTTTAGTTTTTTGTCCATGTTTATTTACAGGGATCTCAATTTATTCATTTGTATATATGTGAGCCCCAATTTTTGTTTACAATAAATTATATAACAAAGAAAGCTTGTACTGTAAACACTTATACTCTACTACTATAATTATTATAGACACATTTATGTGTGTTTAATGAACGACAATTAAAGTAATGAAAAACATTTACATGAGCAAAGAGTGAGATTCTTAAAAATATTTTCATTATCACAGAAGAAATTGATTTTATCAGAGTAGTTATTTTCAAGTCTCAACATTTCAGATAAAGGAGAATGATACCACTAGTTAGTTAGGTGATATGGTCTAATAAATAGCTTTATTTGTCTAATGGACCTCAGTGGAACGTTGGAAGTTATAAGGGAGAGAATTTCTGGACAATCAATGAAACCAGATATAAATTTGAATAGATAAACTAATGACTTAGTGTAACTTCGATTCTGAAATCAGCATGAAATATTTCTAAAATTGAATTGAATGTATGAACCCATCCTGCCTAATTTCGTAATAGTTAGTTTCCTGGTTTTGCCCTGATCATTTTCGGTAAAAATATTTGACTGCAACTGGGGTAATCATATTCAGTTGCGTTGATGAAGTAATCTTAGAGAATAAAGTTGATACTGAAATTAGTTTCAATGAATATCTCATGAAGAGTACTTCGTCAACGCCACTGAAGGTGACTGTCGTAGTTGCAGTCGAAACGTTTGGAGTTTACCAAAGAAGACAACAGCAAAACCCGAAAACCAACCAATACATTGAAGTCAGTCATGAAATCATACTACATGAGCTATTGAAAATTGTTGATGAAGGATGCTGAAATTTTCCCAGATTCAAAGATTGATTTTCATTTTTTCATAACTGGTTTTATTTTTCAGTTTGCAGTTTGATTATGCAGTGGAAAAAACTCAGTTTGAAACATGAACAACTGAAATACTTGAATCCCTATATTTAGTTCTGTTATCAGTGTTTTCAAAGAATATTTGATAAAGCTTCTGCCATATATCTGATAAGGATTGTGTGATTATTTATATAGTTTGATTAATTTAATCAAATAACATTTATTGATCTAAAGGGTAAAACATGTTTTAGACAAGTAAATTGATGGATATATAGCCGTTACTACTGTGGTAGAAGATCATCATGAAAAATTTAGACAAGTTCTATTGTGAAATTGACGTGATAGTCATTTTTATAATAAAAATAGGTATTTTGATATTTTTTATTTCTCAGTGAAACCGCTCCTGAACTTCCACTAAACGTTTTTCCTAGTCCATCCTGTAGTATTCTACCCGATTCACACTCTGTCACAAAACATCCATTGGCAAATTCTAGCAGTATTCAACTAGAGAATATTCCTAACCCCATTTTGGTTTCAAATACTTGATGACATCCAGATTGAACCAAGATCATTTGGAGGTGATAATGTTCACATATCCATAACAATTCCAATCAACTTTGTTGATATCATTTTCAGCATTTTTGGGATGATGAGAGCTGCAGGTGGATGCAATACTCATCCCGAGTCAATTCAAGTTGGACAAATATTCCGCCTAATGTCCCTCTATTCTCTGATAAAACCGCCCAGGGAAAGTAATGTTAGTGGAGGAGAAATTTTGAAATCCTTTCTTCATATTGGAGATCTGAAAGAAAAACAGCAAAAATTTATATTCTATATTGAAATAGGAGCAAATATCTCCGAAATTGAAGAGGACTTCTCAGGTATTGATGCTTTTGCTTATTTCTGTGGATATGTTGCAAAAAAATTAAAGGCAACACCAAATGTGGGGAATGTGTGGATTCGATATTGGTAAAGTGACCAGACGTCCCGTTTTGAACGGGACTGCCCCTTTATTCGACCATCTGTCCCATTGTCCCCAAATAATGATCTGGGACGTAAAATGGATCACAACCTCAAATAAAAGCCATCTGTATCTGAAATTTTACAGAAAGCAGTTCAATGAAAAAAGAAACAAACAAACATAAATTGAAAAAATTATCATGACGCGTAGGTTTTCATGGGCGATATCTAAATGGTTTTTGAGCAAACATCAAAGGCTTTGTAGCATCGAAATATCAAAGCTAAAAACATAGACCACGGCTAATAAACCCAAAAATAACAAAAAATCGGTGAAATCAAATGATATTCATTTTATTTTTCTGCCTATGTTACTTTTCTTCACGAAGATGTGAAATGTGTGCAATTTTTCGAAAAAAAAAAATATAGGTAAAGTATAGGTTTATCGGTAATTTGTAGATAAAACATTAAAGAACATCAATGAAACTGCAGTGAGGTGAGTGTAAAATGCGCAGATAAAATCCGCAAAAACAAGAGAGCAAAACAAATGCTTGAAGATATTGAAAATACGTAGATATTGCTTATTTTGCGCTGGAATACGGTGTTAATTCTCTTTAACACCACAGAATAGTAAACAATCAGAATTGACTATTGGCGGGAAAGATTGCGCATCGTCGTGGCGCATCCCAATCTTGGTTTTAATTGACATGTTGCCGATTACATTAAGCCACTCGATTGCTATAGCTCCATCGTTGTGATATTGTATTAATTGTACCTAAACTCAAGAAAGTGTTTTAGTTAACATTTTCTTTAATATGGAGAAATATGTTTTTAGTGGAGAATGTTTGCGTGCCGCACATATCCGTAGTTATTTATTTCAATGTGTCAGGATTATTTATTGTCAATATAAAAGTAATGTGTTGACTCAAAAGATATAATAATAATGTCTTTATTTTTTATCCGAAGTTCAGTATTGATACTGCTCTGCGAAATGCTTAACCGAGTACTATTTACAAATATTCTATAGTACTATTTTAAAGCAAATACAACTAATATAGTTAATAATTTTACCTAAATTACACACATGAAGGTAATACATTATGAAGAGGAGGAAATCTGTTTATCGAAAGAGAATAAATTAAAAAAATTATCAAAAAATAAAATCAAATCCAGAGTAAAAATGAAGAGATCAATTTACATATAATAAACGCAATCCTTCAATAATACTTTTAGTTTTTTCATACTTTGTTATTTGAGAAGATTTTGTATTTTTTCATCCAAATTAATAAATTGGTCACAGGATAGAATGACTTCCGAGAAAACCTTAGGAAATGGGATAATTTCATTTCAATTTTCTCATGTACCCTCCCCCACAAAACAAAAATATTAAAAGATATGAATGAATAAAAATTTAAATATTTTCGGAATATATTCTTCGAAGTTCTAGAATATCTGGGATGATATTGAAACTTATGACTTTTTTTGTACGCATTAGGCAAAGCCGACCCTCAGATTTACACCGGAATGTACCTGAAAATACCGAATAAAGATCAAAGGCGCCGCTTTGGACTTCCAATTCTGATTGTTTACTGTTCTATGTCAACATTTTTATTTAATATGGTTTTCCATTGGTAAAACTAGTTCAAATTCATTGTATCTTCTGGTTCTGGGATACTTATTTTCTTTTACTTTATTAATAATTGATTTATAGAATTATAATAATCAAATACACATGTTTAATGTGCCCAAATGGGGCAATATCTAACAGGATAAACCATTTAATTAATACCATGAATATCTATGTCAACAGATTGTATGGGGTACTTTAATTGTGATAGTGTTGAACATGTTACATCCCTCTTTGAAGAAGAATGAAATTTATATCAGTTTGAATTAATTTCAGATATTTGGACTCCCTGGATACTCCACCGAATAGAGTGATATTCCTTGAGTGCGATCTTAACGTCTGCAGAGAAAGGATCCGTTATAGAAAAATAAATGCTTTCACTGGATCTATGACTAATATAAGAAACGATTTACGTGACAACCATGAGAAAGTCCTCAAAACTCATCCGAAAGATGACATAAGCATGATCGATGCCGAATTGGATTACTATTGCCAGAATTATGGCCCCATCAGAAAGTACTGCGGTGGCACTGCGAGTGTTGTAAATGGTGATCAGAACGAGAGGTGGGTCTATGAGTGTATACTGGGAATCATCATGAGAGCACCTCCGGCTGCGCCATCAAGGAAAGGTTTGACAGATCTAGACAGTTCTTCTTCTGGTACTTCTGTTGGATGCAGTTGCCTTGAAGTTCCTTCTAAAGTTATTGATTGTTATATATATCAGATATTAGTATACCCCAATGTTTCTGTAATCTTTGTCAGAAATACCTATTAAGTTCATCTTTCTTTTTTTTAATTGAAGGCCGGAATTTGAACCCTTGGCCTAGTATGACTCCAACGTCAACACTCACACATGAGAACTGTAATATTATTTTTGACGCAAGTTTCACCAACCAAATTACGTTATTTGAACGAGAACCATACTAGTACTCTGTGTAGCATTGTCGCGTTATTTTTTTTTTTTTCGAGTTTAATTATTTCTAATTTACTTGGATATGAAAGAATATGTCGTTAATAATTCAGACAACACATATTACGTGTATTTTAATGGGGATAAGGACTGAGTTAGAGTTATTATTAAACTTGGTGAAAACGTTTCTGGAGTCTGATAATTCAAATTTAAATTTTTTGTAACAATTCTTCTTGGCTTTTGGGTTTGGCTTCTTGGCCATTACTCAGCTGTACAAGACATTTTGATCCTCATACTTCCACAACATAGGCAGCTAAAAACAAACAACTAAACAATAATTGAACTTTCACACCAGTTTCACAAAAGAGTTTGAAACTAATTACTATTCCTAATTGGTTCCGCATTTCATATATCTGGGGACATCACGCTTCATTCCACTGAACCACTTTTTTGAGATTGTTTTCTAACCTCTAAATTCTGAATTTAGATGTGTAATTTGAAAATTACTTTATAGAATGTGAGATTAAGATTTTTCCCTTCCCATCATAGAGGAGAGATTATCATCTGTGTTGACTTTGCTTGGTTTGGTGATCCAAAATATTTTCAAATGCGGTCTTTTCTATTGGCTGAAAAAGGGACCAGAAATGTTCGTAGATAAACAATTTAGTTTCGTGCCAACGTTTCGGACTTTATTAAATCCATCATCAGGGCTCAAACATTAGTCATCCATGTCATGAAACGTTTAAATATATGTGTCAGACAACATAGTTACAAACGAAAATGAGGACTAACCAAATGAAAACACATACACCACAGACACATATCTGTGTCTAAACTAGAAGAGCCCAGTTCCAACTGCCGCGAGACAGACGATGTCATCTGTCCACAGATTTCACAAACTTATAAGTTGAAGAGTTCTGTGCATCTATTCATTTTAAGTATGTGAATCAAAGCTCTATTTCCTATGACCAGTCGGTCTATTTAGATGTTTTCAAATGTTCACCAGGGTTGTCAATGTGTGAGAAAATGCCCTTTGGCACAGTATTTCTTACCGTACTATAAGTATGGATTTCCTGTAGCGAGTTTGTGAGGATCCTTTTAATTTGAAATTTGACCGCGGAATGCAGAGCATAACTTAATATTGAACTTCAGAAAATGTAAAATTCAAATATAATCTTCATTTTTACATTCACGTTATTACTCTTGATTTCATTCGCATGTTGACGTTGATCCATGAATTATTCTCATTGTTCGGGAATATGTTTCAGTCGTCTTTTAAATTTTTCAATTTTTGAGGACAAATTTGAAAGAAAAAACTCACATAGGTATTTTCCCCAGTAGGAGCGACTTAGATGTAATTAACCTTATTGAGTGATGCGATCCCATGGTTGCCAACTGCGTTAAAATAATGAAATTTGACAATTTGTCATCCGCTAATAAATAAATAACATATCTTTCTGAGTTCCTTCTGCATTTTCATTTTTGGTAAATGAGAAACTGATTTCCAGAATATGTCTGAAAAAAAGAAATTTCCAGTCGTCCTTTATGAAGTTGGGGCTCCAGAATGAAGAATCAGCTATGAAGAAATATAAGATGGTCTGTACCAATTATGTCCCGAAGATGAAAATGCAGAAGGAACTCAGAAAGATAGGTTATTTATCCATTAGCAAATGTCAAATGTCATTATTTTACCGCTGTTGGCAACCATGGGGTCGCATCACTTAATAAGGTCAATTTTCTTTGAGGATTTTATCATTAAAAATTGAAGATTTGGAAGAAACTGGATTACTGGATTGGCAACCCTGTTGTTTACACACGTGAAAGGTTATAGGTTATCGTTAGATGATTGTTGAAAAACAAATTCAAGGTACCTATTATGTTGTTTTTGTCGAGTCAAGACTAATTCGATTTCCACAATGTCGTGTATAAATATAGCTAAAAAGGCTGCAGCTCGTGCCGCTGTCGATCGTCACGTGAAATCGGGAAATATTATAGGCATTGGAAGTGGTTCAACAGTTGTATTCGCAGTGGAGCGATTAGCTGAACGTGTCAGTAAAGAAGCATTGAAGGTGAAATGTGTTCCTACATCCTTCCAAGCGAGGCAACTTGTTATACAACACAATCTACCCCTCACCGACTTAGAAATCCATCCTGAGTTGGATATATGTATCGATGGAGCTGATGAAGTAGATTCTCAAATGAATCTCATTAAAGGCGGCGGTGGATGTCTGCTGCAGGAAAAAATCGTCGCCAGTTGTTCTAAGAAATTGGTCATCATAGCCGATTATACTAAAGACTCACAAAAACTTGGAGATCAGTACAAAAAAGGCATTCCTATCGAAGTGTCTCCAATTGCTTTTGTACCTATTCAGAATAGAATTCAAAAATTATATGGAGGAAAAGTTGAATTACGCATGGCTGTTAACAAAGCTGGCCCGGTTATTACCGATAGTGGTAATTTCATACTAGACTGGAGGGAATTTAACCAGGACATTAACTGGAATGAAATTAATACAGAACTGTTACTAATGCCAGGCATTGTAGATACTGGACTTTTTATACAAATGGCCTCAATATCCTACTTTGGTCTCGCTGATGGGTCTTTTAAGAGCCGTGAATGTTTGTAACATTTTTAACGTGAATTTGTTTGAGGACACTACAGATCCTATATTGTTCACTTGAATTTTATAAAATCATACAAATTACATTCTGAAATTGATTTGTGAGTTTATTTGCTGGAAATAAACTTATAATAATGAATTGATTCAACAAGAAATACTAGACAGGTATCAGATATTAGTATACCCCAATGTTTCTGTAATCTTTGTCAGAAATACCTATTAAGTTCATCTTGATAAGGTCGCATGGAATTAGCTATTAGACAAAAGTTCTGCAGTTGTAGTTACCTTGAACAGATAGAATGCATATTACTATATCTAGAGAGCTTACATGAAATCAATNGGTACATGCATTAGAAGCTTTCAAAATGGAAATCAAATATTGTAATTTTGAATAGAATAGAATATATTCATTTTTTGTAGCCTAAACAAAACTGTTGTCAAATTATATGGAGAATTTTTCACAATATATCAATATGTTTTTATACAATGTTGCATTTTGATCAATAAGTATGTAAACCTAAAATGAGTCAATTTTAATGAAAATTTAAAATGGTAAAGTACACAATTCTATTGCAAAACATATGTAATACAACCAGAAGCAGATTGTTAACAAGTGTTAGTAACATACTTGTCCAATGTGTAATGAAAATACCCAATTTGCGAATTTCAAGAATTCAATACAAGATCTTCGGATGATGTGGTGCTGCAGGTTTTTCCGGGTTTTCCTGCAGCTGAAAAAGCAAATGGGCCACTGGAATCAATGAAGTCGCCCCGGAGCGCCAATTAATTTTTATTGTTGTATTTATTTTATTTTTATCGTTGTTTTAACACATTGTAATAATTTTATATAGTTGGCCACATTTTTGCATATATTGTAAAGTACTATTTATATTACACTTCAAATTGGGAATAGGAAAAATGTTTGGGCAGTTGTTGATGTATATCAATTTAATTTCACCCCTTAATAAGTTATCAATTTGTACATAAAAAATCAATCTGAAAATAGATCTTCTATTTGAAGATATTTTTAAACTTTGTGGCTGTGGATACTCATGAAATCAATTTTTTTCTTAAAAAAAAACAGGTACATGCAAATTTAACAATCATAATATGCTTAAAAAATAATGCCTTGTAAAAGAGGAATAATTCTTTATACAATAATACTGCTCAGCAGTAACATTAACAAATTCTACGCTCAATGTAAAAAAAAAATAAAGTATTTTTTCAGATGAACAGATCAAAAAATAATTAATACTGGTGAATAAAATTACCCAAATATAAATCAATATAAACTAGTTTTTTTCATAATCCTAAGAAACTCATCTTGATTTATTTCTCCGTCTCCATCACGGTCGGCTTCATCAATCATTTCCTGTAACTCTTCGTCTGTCAAATTCTCTCCCAATTCTTTAGCAACCCGTTTCAAGTTTTTGAAACTTATTTTACCAGTTTCATCATCATCAAATAAGCGAAAAGCTTTCATTATCTCTTCTTTCGAATCTTTTTCGGCCATCTTAACGGACATCAACTGGAGGAAATCGTCATACGATATTTCCCCTGTTCCATCTTTATCAATATCTGCTATCATTTTTTTAATTTCTTCCTTTTTTGGTTCGAATCCCAGAGCTCTAATAGCAACCTTCAAGTCTTTGGCATCTATCTTACCAGTACCTTCACTATCAAAAAGATCAAAAGCTTCTTTAATATCATTTTTTTGCTCTTCACTTAATTCGAATTTGGGGCCTGATTTCTTTCTTGGAGCACTCGAAGCAGGTTTTTTATGAACACTAGTAGACTAAAAATGTTAAAATGAAGAAAACATTTTGAAAGATAATAACTTACCATTTTTCAAAAATTCTACTATTGATAGATCAATGTAATTTGAATGTTTGTAATTCTAATTTTTGCTAAGATACACCAAAATCGAATATATTAAAAAACAAACTGCGCGCGCAGTGCATATTCCTATGGCAACTCATCAGTTGTCATATGTAAGAGTTGCCATGTCACAGCATACCTAACAAGGTTAGCATACCTAACTTAACAAGGTTAGGTATGCTGTGGCCATGTATTCTGGCGCTCATATATTCAAAACGTATTCGTTTGTGATTCAAATACATACATTCATTCTAGCGTTGAAACGATGACGTCACATCAACTATGATTTTGAAACATACCGTGAGGTTGTTTTGAAATGGAATTTGACGTTACGTTGTGTCAGTTGTCAGAATAGCTACGTGTTGGTCCATATTTTGAATAGAAAAAATACTTTTGGTACACTGGTTTTGAAAATGCATCTACAAGTGTAATATTCATGCAAAAAATCCTATGCAAAAATCCGATTCCAATTGAGGTTGGCGAAAATTGAAAAGTTTGTTTTCATTATTGAATTTGACATCTGACACAAATTGAATCATCAATCTGCAAGAGAAAAAGGGGGACATAATATATGATGAATCACCTAAGCAAATTTGTACAGAAGAGAGCAAATATACAAATGACCAAAATATGTTTGAGATGAGAGTATATAATGGAATTCAGATTATACTCTATACAAACAGAATGTATTGAACTCAAACTGACTTATTCGAAAAATAATTTGTCCACAGTAACAATAAATCAGAAAGAAATATTCAAAATGGCAGAATATCACCTTATAATTTGTTTCTTTCTGGACAACTCATTTTAACAAGAAATCTTAAGTGTTTATCCTTTCCTATTCACTACTGCTATGTCAGGATTGGACAGCCTTCAATGTATTTTTTCATTTTCAAAATACTGCAGAAGTTTAATCTTAACCATTTACCATAACTAGAGTAAGTCAAGATTGAATACTTTTTAACACTCAGTAAAAGTAAATCGTTAACATTACTAAAGGAAAGAATGGTATTGCAAATGATGAAAATCATTTTGGTGAAAAATAAGGAAACCTTCGCATAAAACGTTATTGGCAATTAGAATCATAAATAAATGACGTTTGTCAGAATTATTTATTATCCCGTGTGTCTGTAATGTGTCCATTCGAATCGTATTCGGGTTCGCTATTTGATGTGTTATTGTAGCTCCATATATCAATAAATATTTATTCTATTGATGCTGTTCATTTTTTCCAAATTTTATTTTTTTTAAATATTTTCATCTCATTACTATATGATGTCGTTACGCGATTTTAAAACAATTCTTCTCTACGAATTCAAATTGAACCAAAGCGCTGCCGAAACAGCCCAAAAAATTAACCAGGCATTTGGCAATGACAGTGTTGATGAACGCAGTGTTCGACGTTGGTTTGGGAAATTTCGTTCCGGAGATTTGATTTGTTGACCCACAATAATCCAGGACGAGGATTTGAGGACCCTGGTGAAAACTGACCCATCACAAATGGAGCGTAGGGTGGCGGGAGGGTTGGGCATCAACTCCCATGTGGTTTTTAATGGTTTAAAATGCACTGGAAAGGTCAAGAAGCTCCAAAAGTAGTAGATAGAAATTGTAACGTTCCAAGATCTGTTCTTTTTCACTTTCGCGCATCCAAAACGATCCTTTTCAGGATCGAATCGTCACGTGTGATGAAGAGGAGATCCTCTACAACAACAGAAGACGTTCAAGCGAGTGGTTGGACACCGATGAGCCACCCAGGCACTTTCCAAAGGCGAAAACTCACCGAAAAGAGACCGTGGTTGTTGATATGGTGGTCAGTGGCTGGTGTGATTTACTATAACTTTCTGCAACCCGGCCAAATCATCACAGCAGATTCCTATTGTGACGAAATGTACCGAAAATTGAGTCAGCAGCAGCCGGCACTGGTCAACAGAAGAGCTCCACGAAAACACCCGTCCGCATGTTTCACAAATCATCATCCAAAAATCAAACGAATTTAGCGTAAAAGTTTTGCCTCGCCCACCATACTCTACAGACCTATCGCCAACTGACCACCACCTTTTCAAGCACTTCGATAACTTTCTCACCGGTAGAACCTGTCAAGTAAACAAAGGTAAGTTTCATACCCTTTATTTCAGTGTTGCCAACTTATCATAAATACACATTAGTGTCAATACACATTAGCAACTCCTTCACATCTCCCCTATAAGTCAAGTCTTTTAACAGGTTTTACTTCTCTACCTGAAGATGTTATTTTAGAAGCGTTTACAAACATTTGTTCTAAATCTATCACTCTATGTTCACTATCAGAACTTTCAGATATTTGTTCACCTAATGTTGACCCATTATTCTCACTCAAAGTAATAATGTCTGGGGGAGTGTTTTCCAATAATTCTACACTTGAATTATCGCTTTCTACATCTCTATCCCCTTCTCTAGACAAATCCACATTATCATCAACTATTTCTCGCCTATCCTGAAATTCTTCCATATTACTATCATTAAAACTTTCTATATAATGTTTCTCCTCAACTCTAGTACTTTTTACAGGTGGTTTTGGTACAAATGAACAATGTTTTTCCGCTATATTTTTATAATTCAACTTGATAAAGTTACGATTTCTTTTCAAAATTGACCATTGCTCATTTGTAATTTATAAGTCCTATTTCTAAGTTGTTCTTTTTTACTGCTTCAATAGCAGCACCAACGCCTCCTGACGCAGAGCTCTTCATTGTCTCACTTTATTCCTTGGACTTTTCAATAGACCTGCATGTCTCAATGGTTTTTTCCAAGGAAATGGACCCATCTTCCAGCAGCCTCTGCCTAATGTCTTCATCGCTGACTCCCACAGTAATCATGGCTTTCACTATCAAGTTTTCTAAATCTCCCAACTTGCATTTCTTTGCCTGTTTCATCAACGTGGTGATAAATTGATCTAGGGTTTGTCCTTGTTTCTGACGTAGACTTATGAAGCTGAATATTTCGAAAACCAAGTTTTCTTTAGGTAGAAAAAAGACTTCGAACTTATCTAGCAAGACCTGCAGCTTGACTTTCTCTTCATCCGTGAAAGTAAAGGTTTCTTGAATTTTGAACCCTTCTTCGCCGATGAGATGAAGCATCTGTGCACATTGGATTTGCTCCGTCTTTTTATTTAGTTCCGAAGCTATAATATAATTATTTTTAATTTTATTGATTTTGATGTTTCATGGCATGGTCTCGAATCGAATGCCTTGATCACAGTGTACACCACAAGTCATTGATTATTGATTAACAGGAAAATATACTACGAAAATGGAAAGCAGATTTTCCGAAGTGATTAGAAGAAATGGTTGAAATTATTGAATACTAGATATATTTATTCAGTGGCGATAACAGTTTCCATTTAATATTCTGGTGAGTTCTAATTTTTGTTCAAGAACCATATTTGTCATATCTGTTTATGTAAAAACGGCGTTCTCATGAAATTTCAAAATTTTAGGTTTTTTATACGTGGTTCTTGGATTCGGAGTTAACAAAAAGGTATGTATACTTTGATTGATTCCATTTTATAATTCAGGTATGGTAATATTTGGATAAAGAGCCTCATTCACGATTGAAATGCCTGGATTCTTAGCTCCTACAATTTACAAATTCATGATGGAATGATACCCTGTACCCCAATAAATTAGAACGATTTAATTTGATAAATTTCAGTACAAGAAGGTACAATATTGAATTGAAACACCTATTCCACGAGAATATGCAAATTTAGTTGAAATGGAAATTTTTTTATTAGGAAATATCAGTAGGAAATATCAGTTACAAAAAAGTTTTCTATTACTTCATCATTATATAAAAAATGAGAAGCTTTCATGAAAAGACAGGATAAAAATAAATGAATCAAGGAAAACTATACAAAGATGCGTAGATCTCACACAGAAATTTCTTTCAAATTCAAACTGAAGAAAAAATCCATTCAAAACAACGACTTCTAAATATATGAGTATTGAATTGCATGGAAATCACTTTTTCTCAATCGGCTAGGACTCCTAAACATTCATAATGGAATTGACACAGATTATTCACGGTAATGCTACACAGCATAATTTAATATAATATGTGAATTTTTTTTTATCAATACTTATATATTGTATATATATATCGCCTCTGTCTGGAAAATGATGAAACTGCAGAGCATATACTTTGTGCCTGCCCCGCTGGGGACCAAATCAGGTTCTTTGAGTTCGGCAAATCCGTACTCTCACCATCTGACCTGAAAGACCACTCACCATACAAACTAATTGGCTTCGTTAAGAAGCTGGGTTTATTTGGCCGAGTGTGAATAGGTGTGAGCCATAATAAACCCTTATGGGTTGCGGTGGAGGGTCGAATAGACGCACTCACTTTAGGCCTACCTACCTACCTATATATTGTATAAGAAGTACTGATAAAAAATTTCACTTGATAGGAAAACTTTCAATGTTCACATGAACTATGATTCCATTATAAACTAGTCTCCAACTCCATGCTGAGCAGTTGAAGACTATAATATTGTTTTTCAGTGCAAGTTCAATCTAAACACAGATGAAAAGGTAGTTAGGGAAGTGTGTCGATTCATCATCCAAATCTGAATTTTTACATTGATTAAAATTGTGCCTTGTCTATCTTCAGTCAGTTATTACTGGCTCAATGCAACCCTCTCCAATAGGTGTTGATGTATCTGAGGAGTATTTCTGTTTTGACAGAGCTTGCTCTGGAGATCAATACAGTATTTTCAGTGGAAACTTTGAGATACACCTGGAAATTGAAATGTGTTATCAATACTTCTTTATATATTACATTGTGTAGCGTTCCTATATACATGTTTGGAGTACAAACTGAGTGAGAAAAAGTTGTTCCTTATAATTGAATGTTCATATATTTGAAAGTAGTTGTTTTGATTGGATTTTTCATTGAAGTTTGTTTCTAAAAAAACTTCTGTGTATGATCTATATCTTTATAGGGTTTTTATTAATGAATGTATTTTTTCTTTCTTTTGGAAGTTTAGAACAAATTTAATTTTATTCAATTTAATTATTTTTGTAGTTGAACGATCTTCGTGACTACGAAACTAATTTCATATGTAGAATTGAAATCTCTCTCTTTCAATTAAACGTGTTGAATGCATTTAGTGATCTATGATATGCCATATACCTCTTTCAATTTAAGCAGTATTTTCGTTCTGGTTTGGAAAAAATTATTTCGGTAGTTAATTTTTTCTACTGTTGGAAGTGATTTCAATAAATATGGAAGTGATATTTTATCCAGGCACATTATCAGTGGTTTCTTTAGTTCATTTTGTCAATGTTGTCAGAAATAAGTTGAATTGATTGGATTTATTTCAGGACAAAACATATCCATTTAAATGTTCTGTCCTAAATGGGGTAAAAACTACAAAAATGATAATATAAGACATATAGTCACTAAATACATTTAACATGTTTATTTGAAATTTTTTTATAACATTGCTTCATACCTATAAAATGAATATTAATCGCTTTATGTAGAAAGATTTTTCAGTAGTTCCGCCATATAAAACAAAAAGAAAAAAATATCAGTATCAGTATGTATACTTGTAAATGCAAAAGTCACTCACTTAACACTCACTCATTCATCTCTGTTTCTTCGTACTGATAAGCCCTAGGAAGCTGAAATTTGGTGTATAAGTGCTTCTTAGCTCTCAGATACACACTAAGAAAGGAATTTTTTAAATATTCCAACTGGGGCACCTCCCGCGGGAATAAAAGGGGCGCGGTTACATATGAAAATTACCTTTTCATCATTGTTTCTCTGTATCGCTATATTTTCGGAGGCGGAAATTTTGTATGTAGGTTCGTTGTAGATGTCTAATAAGAAAGGCTTTTTAAGTATTCCAACTGGGAAGACAGCCGCGGGGCAATAAGAAGCGTTCATAAAAATAAAGGTACCTTTTCTTCATTGTTTCTCCATGCTCTTAAATTTCTGGTGGGTGAATTTATATTTAGTATCACTACTGCACCCCTGAGGAGCCGGGGCGGGTCGCTAGTACACTAAAATTCATGACAATGAAGGCTGTTGATAAAAAAATCCATATTTCGTGAAACATTATTACTTTAACCGTTTTCTTATTTTGATTTGACACTTAAGATGAACAGTTTAATTTGGTGTGATTTGAATGAAAAGAAACATATCAAAAATATCTATAATTCGCCCAATATAGTTCAAATACAGTTCATTTAAATCGAAACTTAACAAAATAAAGCACATTTTAGATGTCCAATAGTGAATATGGATACCAAAAAACTTTATTTCACACACAATTCTAGGAAGAAGCATGGAACATCTTTTTGGTTGGAATACAAATTGGTTATTTCAGATATTCGCGGAAATATATCATGAGGCAGTCTACTGGCGGAGACATTTAGTTTATGTTCGAAAATACGTCTTTGAAACTACAACAAATATGTCCAGTCTGGTATTTCAGATTTTTAGTCGATTAATGTTTTTTTTCTTGCAGTCCGGTATTTTCTCTTGTATTAAATAATCAATATTAGTAAATTGTTAGGTTTCACTTTATTGGAGTTCTCATTTTCCTCATTTCATTTTATTTTGTTTTCAAGATTTTTAATATTTGTACTTTTCATTCCATCATTTTTTGACACTGATTTCTTTGCCGAATTCTATCTCTTTTTCTTGGTGTATCTGAGTCGTCATTATTGGTTTCTTTCTTGACATGCGTTGACTAGTATATATATATCAATATCTGCTATCNCACAACTTCTAATGATACAGAGAATATGTGTTTTCGTTTCAAACTTTGGAATTGCTCAGACCGATCATGACCGGTTGTATTTTTTTAAGATGGTCAATATTTTTCAATTAACTATATTAAAACACCCTCTCCAGTTTATTTGTAGATAATTTTTCATATTGCAACCCCAATTCGACCACATGTTCAATTCAACACTAACAAAATAGTATTCGAAGATTTCCGCAGTAATTTTCAATCTCTATTATTTTCAGTGATTGAGGAAGCAAACTGGTTAACACTCTATGATGACATTGAGGATTATCTTGGAAATGGTTTCGATGCCGTAATTTGCTTAGGGAACTCATTTGCCCATTTGTTGGACAATTTCGGAGATCAAAGGGAACAAATGTGAGAGTAATATAATTGTTTCATTAGGTGAAATTTGAACATCTGGTGTAGAATGACCTTGATGAAATGACAGTTACGCACTGTGTGCGCATTGTGATAAAAAAATGTTCACATTTGCAAATCAAGTTGCAATATAAAATATCTTCTCAGTAATGAAAAGAAAAATTAAACTTTCTATGTTTTTTACCACTTTTATTTGTAACTAACGTTACTGCAGTTTCGTCCTATACGGACAAATAAAAGTGGTAAGAAACATAGAAAGTTTCATTTTTCTTTTCTTCATTATGATTTCCTACCACGTAGTAACAGCTACATTCATCAATTTATCCAATTTATATCTATAATGTTTTTATTGTACATATCATAGTGCATCCGATTTTCTTGAGGATCAAACTGAAAAATAATATCAGTAATTACGTTGATTGTAATGAACTGCCTCATCTCTTTGTAATCTAATGATACGTCTGTCTTTGGAAACTATTAAGAACTTTGAACTCGCACTTTCAACATTGAACTCATAATTTTGAGTTTGAACACGTTTCTTTTATTTTAGAAATATTTACTTGAAACAAGAACTATTACTCTTGTACTATACCAACGACAATGCTAGTATTTATAAATGTAATCCTAATGGATGTTTTGCTGTGTGTTTTTCATGATCGAGCTATTTAGTCATAGCGTATTTGAAACCGAATTTGTCTGCACCTGTTAGTTATAGTTTTCTAATATTTTTAACAACATATGTAAAATACTGGAGTTGAGGAAATGGACCCCTGGCAGTATGCAGATCTGACGCTGTCAGAATGGACGAATGAAAAATTTTGTCTTGAATTCTTGGGATTGAGAGAAAAATCTGAAAATCGTTGGTTTGGGTTATATTGATAAAGACCCACCAATAATACTTTTTTTCAAAAATCTCCATGTATAGACACCTACCAGTTATATTTTCATTATGTCTAGGAAAGTTAACCATTACCTCAGTTTATTCACTTGGTAAAGATATCACTGAACAGTACAATAAGAAGTAGGATGCAATTTCAGCTTCAATGATTTTAAATTTGATTTGTAACTCAGTGAATGCAAGTACTGATTATTTTTGTGAATATTCTTTCTCAAAGACATTTTGGATAATATCCTTTTCCATTATTTCTTTTGAATTTTAAAATTTTTGGAAGACAAAAGGATCACATTCCGAAACGTTAACCATTCAAGCCTTTTAAAATGAGGTGATCTCCTTCTTACTTCCTATGTAGTAGTGAACCACGAGAACTAACAATATTTTTTCCTAGAAGAAATGTATTGGAGGTGGGAAGTTTAAAATTTACCAACCATTCACCTTGGTGTCTATGTTTTCAATTTCAAATACAAAATTTCAAATAAATGTTTGTAAAACATTTTTAAAATATCAATCATTAATAAAACTATTGATACGTCATGTACACTAAGTAGGTTCATATATTGTGTTTTATTTAATTATCACGATCATTGATAACTTCACAATATGCAGAGTTGTTATCTTGTCTATAAGGTAAATCCTTGTTTAGAAATATTTCAACACTATAGAGTGCACCACAATGATATAACAAATTATCGTGAACTTGATAATTACATTATACATAATACTTTATATGTTAGTTATTTTAAATAGATGTATAAAGTAAAAATATAAGAATATTACATACATACATGATGAACTATGTATTTATTTTTACTTCTACTTGTGTTACACTGATATTTGCATTTTCAGGCTCTTTTTGATTAAAGAAGCAGCATTTTTTTCACTATTACTACTTAATTTTTTCTTTCTGATATGTCATTTATCTTACCTATTATTTTACTAATTCCAAATGAAACTTCTGCATATGCAATATGACATAAGTATGAGAGAAATCTCTGACTTTGTGATGTAGTTCTTGAGAAACTCGTTGAAGTTTTTTGCTTAAATGAATACGATATCATATATCACTATTATATATCACCATGCTCAGGAATTACAGATTCCTTCTTGTAAAAAAAATGTGATTCTTTAAAAAGTTTTTCAGGGGAATAGGTATAACCTCTATTATTGAAAATAATTTTGGTGGGCCATTTTTGTGTGATGTAATAACCGTGAGAAGATTATCAATAATACCTTCCCACACAAGTTTTCCATTGTTGATATGGGATTGTATTAAAATGAATTATATGTTTGTAACTGTGCAATACCGATAATGTTTTGAAAACTTTGAATTTGTTTAAGAGCGACCTTATTTTTTTAGCAACATATGCATGCTTATTTTACCTTAGATTTTCATCTTTGTACTGTGATGCCGAGATACTTTATACATTTGTGTCATATTTATAATCATCATTTCATTATTGTTATGGAATTCCTGTGAAGTATAATTTGGCAAATTTTTGCTGAAATAATTGGAAGATACGAAATGAGTTTTTGATCAGTATTTTTTTTTACAAATGTTACATTTTATTCATTGCGTCTGCTTTGTCTTGTCTCAGAAGACGATGTGATACTTACATTACACATAACAGAATGTTCCGAAAGATCCAATGAAAACTAAAATCTCGAACTGTGAATTGCGTTTATTCGGTTGAATTTTTTGTATATATTAAAGCGTCAAATATTCATCTGAAGCTACCTAACCACTTCATAATATAATAATGCTTCCCAACTTTTGGAAACCTCTGACCCAATTGGATCGTGCTTGTTCAACTTTCGATCAAAGATCCGTTCTAGAAATTTTAGTTTATTGATTGCAATTGGCGAGTCTAAATATCTTTTAGATTTCTTTTGAATGGTTGGCTTAGATCTGTGAAAAAATTATACAAAAATATCTTCTGTTGAAAGCTTGGCAGTATCAATGCCTGAATTTGCTAATACAGAGTTAATTTCAAGTTTTAGACAATTAGTACCTCTTGAAGATGATCACTTGGTGATGTCGAGGTGTTAAAATAGGGGTTTGGTGTTGGGAAAAAACTCCAGTAATATACATTACTGCATCAAAGGTTCCAAACAGTACATCACAAGAATTAACTTGTTGAAATCAAAATATTTGAAAACTGATACATTTGCATGTTTGCTATATTATTTGCTTCAAAAGTATTTGTTCTGAATGAAATTAGATTTTCGAAATAGTGTCGAAAAAGACGAGAAACATTTCATGAAGAAATATAAAATATTGTGTGAACCAGAGGGATTTTTTAAATTTATGAATGCACCTAATTTGTTAGAAATCCTAATCGATGTATTAAAGCACGTTTATATGAAGATGTAAATTTTTAGAAAATCAAGATTGGTACAACTTGTCTCAATATGTTTGTTTTACTTGTACTTGTTTTATCACATTTTTTGTATAAAAAACGGCAATAATTCTGATCAACAGTACATTATAAACATTTTATTACAGATTTTTTATTAAATTAACTGGCGGTTAAAATTTGCAACCAGATGGGATGTTCAAATTGAGAGCCTCAACACATAAGGAAAGTATAACTACAATTCGGTGATGGAGACATTTCATAAAAGAAAAAAAATTAAGCCTCAAAATATTGTGATCCGTTTAAACAACAGGCAAATTTATGCATACAATCGACCAGGTACACATTTTTATTCAGCCAGACAATTCTACCAAAACGTTTTCCCCAACTGTACTATAACAAACGTTGAGAAACCTCCGTGTTTCATCAGAAAATTCAGTCCTGATGGAAAACACTTCATCGCTTTTTCATCTGATCAAACTTCCCTGGAGATATATCGTTATCGGGGTCCTGCTGCAGCTGCTGATTTGCTAGCACACTATGAAGATAATCGTAATGAAAGAACTCTTTTCGAGGTCAAGAACCAAACTTTTGAACGTTTTTTCTCGTTGAAGTTTCGAGTCACCGCCTCGCAGGGGGCTGAGCAGTTGAATCGAGAATGCAGTTTATTCAGTGATGACGGGCGTTATGTCATTATTGGGTCAGCATCGTTCATTCCAGATGAAATAAGACCACACTTTTATGAGATATATACCAATAATGAGTCGGTTACTCCAAATTTAGAATCTCCTTTGGAAGACTATACCCTGTATTTGGTGGATTTGCATCTGGGAAAGCTCTGCGATACTAGATCTTTTAAAGTTGACAAGATATTCCTGTCCCACAACCAAGGACTATATTTATATAAAGATACTTTAGCCGTACTATCAGTTCAACACCAAGTGATTCATCTGTATCAGTTGTTAGATGGGATGTTTGTAGATATGAAAAAGATAGGCCGATTTTGCTATGAGGATGATTCATACTTCTACAGTTCAGTGTACCCGACAGAAAGGGCTTTCAGAGAGACCTGCATAAACTCGTTGAAACACCGATTACTGGCGTTTTTATATAAACGAGCTCAAAGTATAAGTCTTTCTACAAAAGATCCTACCGAACTCAGAAAATTCTATCACTATTTCGAAGACTTTAATTCGTTGAGGATGTGGAAAATGCAGTTAATTGACGAGCATACTTTGTTGATAAAGTATGCTAGCGAAGATGTAGTAACATTGAAGTCTTCCGACGTAAATAGCCAGCCACAGTTTTTTGTTGTTTATGATCTTAAAACTAATAATATCACGGCTGTGTACGAAAACTCTTCCAAAGAATTTTTGAATATTTTTGAAAAGTTTTGTGATTTTTTCAGAAACGCAACCATTTTCAACGAAACCAATTTCTTTTGTAGTCCTTCAAATAACATATATGCCAGATTGTTACAACAGAGATTTAAACAGACGATAGTTAATGCGAAGTATGGTGGTAAGACTGAGGCAACAAAAAGATTACTAGCTCAATTGCCCATCAGTGCCCAGTCTTACAGTAATTCACCTTACCTGGACTTAGCCCTCTTCAGCTATGACGAGAAATGGGTGTCTGTTATGGAAAGACCCAAAGGTTGTGGAGAACATCCCATAAGGTTCTACTCTAGAGACTCTGGCTTTTTAAAATTTCGGATTTATGCTGGAATAATCAGAACCTCTATGTCTTCATCCAGACGTTTGGTAGCTTTCATATTTCATCCGAGTGATCCTTTTGCTATATCTGTTCAACGTGCTAATGCTGAATATATTGTCAACTTTCATATTCGCCATTAATCTTTTTAATATTTTTTCAGGAATTTCAAATCAATTTATATTATATTAGACAATGAAAGTCCGAACTGATGAAATACATAGATCATCTTCATGTCTGGTATCGTAATTATGTTGTGCTCTATTTTCAAAGATACTATATTTTCTGACAGCAAAATTTCATGTACACGAGCGGTTAGCCGTATTTTGGAAAATGATAAAATGCATATCCTGAAAATTGACAAATATAGGTTTCCTATTATGCTTCATCGAATGAAAATAATGGTGTTGCCGGTTATACCGGTTATTCCGTCATGATTCTATTATGAGTTTATGTAATACACCCTATACCAAGAATATAATAAAAAAAATAGAATTCATATCCTGATAATTGACAAATATAGATGTTTTAATATAATTTATTCCTCAATTCAAAAGTAACATCCTGTATATTTTCACATTTTTTAATACCTTGCATAATCATAATGTGAGTTTATATAATAAACCCTATACCACGAATGAACCGTTTTTGAGATATTTATTTGTTTACTCAAAAACACTAGGTAATCGGCCCTCGAGTGAATCCCCCATAAAATTCGAAAGTTTGATAGAACACATAAATGATTCGTTATTGATTCATCAAAATACTGCATTCTTACAAGGGATTTGGAATCCATGACAAATTTTGAAGATGATTTTGATTCATTTTCATGAAAATATATCGGTAAAACCACCAACACTGACATAAAAACTTGGCAAGTTGAATTGGGTGACACACCAATAGGTGGTTCCACTTATGTGTATATATATTTATATAAATCAGTTCAATTTGTGAGGTTCAGTCAATAGCTGGACTGTTTCACACCTTCGTCAGGACAACTACAATAATAAGATTATATATCTTGTAAAAAATATATAAATATGGAGAACTAACTAACGTGAGAATAAAATATAAAATGGTTCAAAAACAGATAGAAAAACATTAATAAATGACAGTTGATNAAAGAAAATAAAAGATCTTGTAATTCGAGTATTATTCAGAATTTTCCCACTTCACATTGTCAGTCAAATTTTGATCAACTGTCATCATTTCATGCCCCACAGCTAATTTATGGTAGTCAGTTGCATCAACTATTTCACGAATGAAAGTGAAGAGGGCAATATCAAAATTTTTCCCTTCAACAAAACCACGTTGATAATCATTGATCCTTTGTCGTTATTAGATAGCCATTCAACTTATTTTGAATTGTAGTTTCATATATTTTTGGAATTGATGAAAGTTTGTTTATAATTTTATAATGTTTAAATACCGTGTTCATCTTCGTTTTTATAGAGTAACATAATGATTGATAGCTTGAGAATTCCAGGAAAAATCCGTTTTTGAAAGGAGGTAGTTATTACGTGACAAAGTGGGGCCAAAATAAGGAATATTTGATCTTTCGTCTGAGCCACATGAACGTGAATTTTTCAAAAGATCAATTGCTGAAGATATTTCATTTATAGTGACTGGTGTGATTTCATCTTCAGTGACTGACGTCTGGAAAAAGAACACACTGGTTGACGCAATGTATTGGTAATCAAAGTGATTGTCAAAGTTTTTGGATTTTTGTCCCTTCTAATAAAAATGCATAGGTATACATAAATATATTTTTCATATATATTTTTGATTTCGGTACATATCGTATACTCACTGAGTGATGATGTACGTTGTTTGGTTTTTCTTTCAATTGACAAACCTTATACGGAGTGACACGACAAAATAATAACCATCCTTTAAAAGGCCGTTTTTTGAAGCTAATTCCACTATTGTTATCTCGGAAACGGTATAGCCTACACAAGGCTTACTGCAAGGCACACACTGCGACAGGACGGCACATGACGGGAACATGCCGGGACGGGAAAATACCGAGACGAGAACATGACGTGAAGTTTCGTTTCTCTTTCCAAAGTTTCTTTTGGGAAGGGGTGCGCACTAAGGCATGCAACGGACAGGCACATGCCAGGGCAGGATCAGGGCGCCCTCTCCCCTCCATAAGTAACTATGGAAAGAGAAACGAAAGTTCACGTCATGTTCCCGTCCTGGGCCGTCCTGTCGCAGTGTTCATGGAACTTAAATTAGACAAAGTTCCCTTTTTGGGGAACTAGAATAGTCTATTTTCAGAAATTTTCGGCAAAAAATAGAATTGTCGAATTTCGTTTTTTGAAACTACCGCCTCCATTTCGAATGATTTTAAAAAAAGCAGAGGATATTTCAGTGATGTTTTATGTTTCTTTTAATCTGATATAAATCAGTTTACAATGCGACGTTTCATTCATTAGATTTCATCAACTTAATTTTTTTCAACATGGATCTGTATTATAATACAAAACTGAATTGGTTATTACAAATTGTTTCATCAAGGATTATTGAAAAATATTGTTTCTTTCTCTTATATATGTCATATTGAATGTTGAGAGCAGAATTTCAAATGTTTTTAACTACTATTCGCAAACTATCCCTTGCTAGTTATCCTTAAATTACCTCAAAAGGCCACTTTTTTAAAAATAAATATATTGGTAACATTCATGGATGCCCCCGTCACCGCAAGTTATACTAATACTATTATAAAATATAAAAGCAAGTGATACCTTACAATCGATTCTAACTTACTAAATTGCATAGATAACCTATAATTTATTTGCAAGTTGAACTACATCTGTTTTTCAGGAAGTGATTAATATCCAAGTGTAGACATTTTACCAATCAATGTGATGTATTTAGTTTCTTGACTAAATATTATTCGATGGTTGATATTGAACAAGTTCTGTAACATTCTCAACCCTGTCAAGTAGGTCTGCGAAAGGCCGAGTTCTTGTGGGCGACGCGTAATCGACTGCCTCGGATTCTCCTGCACACTCTCACAGACAGCGGCGATGGTCTCGGCAGATCTTGTGTTTTGTCGATGTACAGTTGTTGGTCGATCGTTTACTGAACCAGTGGACTCAAATTTATTCACCACATTGCGAATAGTACTCTCGGTAGGACAATTATGGCGACAGTAAAATGGGCGAAGCGCGCCGTACGTTGCCCGAACAGTCTAAACACTGCGACTGCCCTCATTTCGAAAATGGTTCAAAATATAAAAAAAAATGTTTTTATCAAAAGTTGTAGAGAATTCAATCCTCTACAATATTTATAATGAATACAAATAGCATAAACCCCATAGGAAACGAGATATTTGCAATAAATGTGTAAAAAATTGATTTTTTTTAACCTTTGACCTTGGAATATCTAGTCGCGGACACCATACGATAAGTAGGTTTTGAGACAAGTTTTAGGGTATCAAAATAAAGGTTTATACAAGCTTATAGCTGACTATCTCTCATTCCGAGATGAAACCCGTTAAATGTCTGGTGTAGATCTACTTGACGTGGCTAGATGCATCACCAACACGTCGTGTATTAGTGAGTTTCATTTGATTGACATATTCATTTGAGTTGTCTCAGTTGAGTAAGGCCCAATTCACACACAACGGACGTTTGGCAGAGACGAGGCGCGGACCTTTGTCCCCTCCCGCGTCTCTCCTATGCGAACAAATGATCCAATGTTCACAGAAGTGACGTGGCGCGGACGGTCGCTCTATCCCCGTCTCTTTGCCTCTCTCGTACAAGAAGGGGCACGCTTCCTTGCCACGTGTTTCTCCGTGTTCATCCTAAAAAATGTAGGCAAATAACATTGTTAATTTGATTTAAATCGTGCTGATTATTTTAGTAGGAGTGCCCAAGACCAGGCCTGGCAGAAAATTGTTGATAAAATACACCAAATCCAACATAACTTCACGTCACTGTTTGAAAAGCCATGTTGTAATCTACAAAATCAACAGGTTATACTGAAGTCCTTCCTCGCCACTGTCCCGCCCCTCTGTATGCGTTGCATACGCCACGCATCCGCAACGTCCGTGCCATGCCGAAGCCTCGTCTGTGCCCGACGTCCTTTCTGTGTGAATTGGGCCTTAGAGTCTACTTACTGTCATAATCATAATATCAAATCAAACCTGCGAATTTCTGTAAAAGCGTCATGCAAAGTTTCAATATTAAGTCACAAATATTTGAATAAGTATCTGATTATCTTAGTTCTACTCCCATTTGTAACGACTTACCGATACGAGATTGGATTTTCAGCTTACGCTTACACCAAAAATAAATACAGAAACAGACTGGATGCAGCTTCGGATCTTCGAAATCATTATTGGCCTAACTCAAACGGGCAACACATTTTTTTATATAATCAGAATGATTGTTTATTTAGTTAAAAATGATAATTCTAATTATCAAAGTAATTAAAATTCCAGAAACAGCAATAAGTAACGTAGTTTTTTTAAACCTTTATAGAATTTTTTTCAATATTACAGGATAGTGACTGCTTGATTTATTAAGAAACAAACTGATTTAACTTTTGAACTATTAGGGATACGATACATTCAGGTCGTTATTATGTATAAAAAATCAGTCTTTGAAATGAGTTGAAGATCAAGTTTGTAGCTTTTATAGCAATTTGTTTTTAAAATAACGATTTTTTTTTGGCATTTTAGCATTTTTTTATAACATATAACTTGTTGAATAATGCAAATACGATAATGGACACAAGAACAACTTATCTCTTATAGTTCAAATAGTTTACTTATTTCAATTGAAACTTTTTATATATTTCAGTTTTTTATTGCATCATTCATTTATATTTTGCTACAATTTTAGTTTCAATGTACCACAACCAGTTATGAATATTCTATCTGAAAGTACTGCTATTTGTTTAAAAATTAATAAAAACTACAAAATTTTGTAAAAAAATATATTTATTTTCAAATAAACAACACCAGCACTTTCAGATAAAAACTTTATGAGATGTAGAATTCAAAATTATAGAAAAATACAAATATGTCAAGCAAAAAAAACTTAATGAATATGTAAAACAGTTCACTAGTTTGATAAATGTTGATTAAAACATATGAAAAGAACTTGAGTATCCATCATCGGATCTCTGATAGTTTATTTCGCTGACAAAAGGAGCGGTCGCTGTCCAAAAGTGTCAAAAATTAAAAGGAATATTTTGTTAGAAATAAATAAATTTCTGACAAAATAAACAATTATTTATTTTTTTTTATTTTCCTAATGAGAAAAGCAATCTAGGAGTTTTGAAGAAAAAATAATTTCTCAACGAATTATTTAACCAATTATAAACTTAGTTCTCTGAATTGATTTGTATTTCACGATTGTTCCAAATTACACATTGTAAGTACATGTAAGTATATAATCTCTAATTAACAAATAATGAAAAATATTAAATATGTAATTAATTATGCATACTACACTTCTCTGTTTGTTAATACATAATTTAAGTAATTCATCAACAAATGATGTAAAAAATAGTGCCTAGTGACACTGCCGTTGTTAGTTGCGCAAAACGATGATAACATGTATGTGAAAAAAAAATTACCATATTTTCTTTAATGCTTTCAATATATATATATAACATTATGACACATGTCATAATGTTATATAAGAAACCCTCTATCTTCTGACCCTTCGCCAGAAAAAATGTTGAATAACAATTGTATAACCATTTGAAAAATCAAGATAATTTTTGTTCCAACTGAACTTTTCTTTGAAGTGAACAGATAACATTTGATGTTTATTTCAAATTTTTAAATCGATATTCAATACTAAAAAGAATATATTTCATGTCGTTATATCTACTGTCTTCAGCGGCGATTCGTTAATGCCGTAACGGGCGCATTGCTTTCAGAATCTTTTATTTTTCAAGTACGGATAGTTTTTGAGTTATTAACGAATAACTCAGTGCCTTTTTTTCATATTAATTTGTTATTATTCATCCAATGTTTCGTGTGCTGGAAAATCATCAAAACTCATTTTTCGACACGTCATTCTGAATTGAATGAGCTATCTATTGCCCATATTTTTATGAGCTTTTTGCCTATCGAACATTAACTTCAACTTGTGAAGTAGACTTCATAGCTTACGATGAACTCTTTACCTTGGGCTCTTGTCTCATCAAATATATCTTCGGATTTTGACTGGTGAAAAGCTAGAATTCCGAATCCGGATTATTCGTTGATGATTTGATTACCCCATCAAGAACATCGAAAAGTATTTGTCATAATGTTACTCAATGTCTATCTTGATATTATTATTTCAGGTAATTGATTTTTGAAATATTTGGATTACATCTGAATTTGCTGTATTAAAATTTAAAATATAAATGATTTTTAGATATATTGAGAGACTCTTCCTCACAATTATAGCGAATTGAAGAAAGTACCTGCTTGGTTCATAGTAATCGATAAGATTTAACAATACCTCAGATGTCTACAATATTAGACATTCACAATCAACAGTGTGATTAAAAATAGTATTGTAACAATTTTTTATTTATTGTTTTCATATTTTATATTCTGGAGTGTTTCTGTATTTTAAACTTGTAACACTTTGTATCCATTTGTAACAAATGGCCCGAAATGTAACCGCGAACATGTTACGTTACGGCTAGAGGAGATGAAGTACTGTTGCATGTCATACTTAACCAATTTGATACGTAAACGTTCCCAGCCAAAAAACCATGTGTCGGTTTTCAGCCGTCGCATTAAAAATTTTTTGCGTTACTCACGATGAATAACCTACCAGCAATTTTTGATTTGTTTTCATATTTGATATTTCCTAGTGTCTTCTGTATTTTAATTTTGTAGACTTTTGAAAAATGTGTAACAAATGGTATGTAACGTAATCGTGAAAATTTTACGTTACGGAAGTACTGTTGCATGTTATAAATAACTACTTTTGCACGCGTAAACGTTACTATTAAATCATTATTTGTCGGTTTTCAGCCGTTGCATCAAATAATTGTTACGTTACGCACGGTAACGCTAAACTACCAGCCATTATTAATTAGTTTTCATTATTTCATTCCAGTGTGTCTTCTGTATTTAAAATTTGTAGAATTCTTATCCATTTGTAGTTAATGGCCCATAACTAAGTCGCGAAATTTTCACGTTGTGACTAGAGGGGACGAAGTACTGTTGCATGTTATATGTAACTACTTTGACAAGCGTATGCATTACTAGCCAGACCACCTTTTGTCAGTTTTCTGCCGTTGCATAAAAGAATTGTTATGGTACACACGGCCTCGGAAAGCTACCTTCAATTTTTAAATTGTTGTTCTCATATTTTATATTTTTAAGCTTTCGTATTTTATCTTTGTAGACCTAACAAATGGCCCGTAATTTAACTGCGAACATGTTACGTCACTACAAGAGGAGATGGGGTACTTTTGCATGTTAGCCGTGGTTACGTTATGCGTGACGATACGTTGAGACGAGTATATCAGTATCGCGTATCTTGTTACGTTACAAACGGTAACAAATTGGAACGAGTTTATATGTGCCGCTTTATTTTTCCTGTTGCGTATGGCGTTGTTTCATACCTGATTCGGTTGAATGCGTGTTATGACAAAACTAAAAATGCTGCCAGAAGGGAACCGTCTCATTTCGCAACAAGCCGATAATGTGCACTGTTTTATTTATATGTACAATTCTCATGCTTTGAAGCAGTTTTCAAAAACCACTTGAAAATGAAATTACATGACTCGGCGACGGGGTCGTAATCTACCTGACCCCCAAGTCTCGCCACTAGCTTTGACGTGCCACTATTTTAAACATAACTTTCCTTGATTATCCATATCAACAACAAAATCACTAAAACCAAATCAAAATATAGCCCAACCCTGCACTTGCCGTCAGCGCTCTGATGATGACCAGTTAGCTTGAAAGAAATACATATTTGACGGGTTGATACTCTTTGATGAATATGTTTGCGTTAATTGGAGTTTCTACTGTCTTTTCAAACATAAGCGTCAATAAGATTGGGACAATTTTTTTTTTAACAAAAATCTTTGAAGGATAATATTCTCAGATTAGATTACATTTTAGTAATGGAAAGTTACTGTAGAGTCAGCACTTTCAGTACCGGGAAATCTGGTGCTGAAATTCTTGCAAAGGTGTTATGGTAATTAAAATCTCTAAAATGTTTTATGATAGGCAGACAGCACATTTTTTGTCCCACCTCTCATACTATTAACTGCTCGAGACTGGTGAAATGGACAATTATTTTAGATTCAGTGTTGCCATACAAAATAAAGAAATTATTTGTGTTTGAAGATTTCTGAGGAATAGGTTGTTTTGTTTCCAGAGGCAATTCGTTGTTGTATTATACTTGTATTTTGGACTCAACAAAGCTCAACAATTGTTGAGTATGTCAACTCTATCCAGTCCTCTCGGTTTTTTTTATTGACCCAGTTATGATTTTGGAACTGCCCGTACATACAAAGTGTTTAATTTCTTCATTATTAGAAAGCCGACACTTTATTATTCGAAGTTGGTGATATAGTTTCTATATCTAAAGTCTCACATAACATTGATTAAATAGCCGCAGTTTTTAGGTGTCTAATAATCCATTCCATTCACATTTCAGTCTTCTCAATACTATTCTAGGTTAAAAAAAGAATATAGAAGGCGAAAGGGAATCTGATATTATATTACCAAGGTAAATATTATCCAACACAATTTTCTGCATATATCGCAACAATGCTAATTTTAGATAATGTCTTGGCCAACATGGTCCGCAGCTGCGGCACCTATACCAGCAGCAGTAGCAGCTCCAGTCCAAACGACGTTACTTCCAACAGGAATTAACTCAGCTCCAGCTGTTATTCCTCCCACTCTACATCAGTATAGCCAAGAGCAATGGGCGCAAGCACAACAACAAAACTGGCAACAGTGGGCGCAATGGCAACAACAGTACCAACAGTGGCATCAACAGTATGGGGCTGAGGTAGGTTGATTGCATAGTTTCGTTTACCTTTTCATATTTTGTTGTGATATTAAAAAAAATAAATGGGCTAGCTCTTGAGATTCAGCAATAACAGTAGCTAACATGAATTCAATTTTGTTTGTTTTTTTTTTCAGTATCAGAAATCGTTAACTGCTATGCAAGCAGGCGCCTTACCTACTGTTACTCAACCTACATTAACAGCTGTTCAGCCTCCTTTGCCTGCAGTTATGGCTACACCATTGGCCCCTCCCTTACCCGTTGATAATAAACCACCTTTACCACCAGAAGAACCGCCTACATCCGTAGTTTCTTCATATTCTACAGCGCCTCCAAAACTCGGCCAAACTGGTTTCCCAACTACTCCTCTCATGGCGACACAAATTCTTCCCCCCCAAGTTGGACAAGTACAATCTCAACCTAATCAAACCGATCAGTATGGCAATAACCAAAGCTGGACAAGTACCAGCCAGAAGAGACCTTATGGGCAGGAAACCGAATATTCTGATCCAAAAAGAGTAATGACAGAAAGAAGTGTTAACCAGTGGGGGCAACCAAGACCAGCCTCCCAGTGGCAAAGCAGTAATCAAAGTTACAATCAACCTCCTCCACAAACCCAAGTTCTGCCTCCAGCCAAAGCTAATGTTGAAGAATTGTCTGAGGCTGAAAAGAAGTTTGATAAGGAGTTTGCGGCTTGGGAGGCACAGTTCAATAAGTGGAAGGAACAAAATGCCAATCATCCTGATAAAACTCAATATAGAGAGTATGAGAAAAAGTGGGAATCTTGGAGAAATTCTCTGTTGGAGCGACGTGAGCAAATGAGACGAAAAAGACTTGCTCTCACTGGCCAAACTGCCGCTGTCGTTACCAAACCACAGACTTTCAATCAACCCCCTCCAATTCATCAATCTTCGCCTAGTCAACCTCCGCCGCTTATGTCTCAACGTCCTCCAGTGATTCAAGACCAAACTGTTACTAAACCCAGTTTATTGGGTGCAAGTCCAGGCATGTACACTCCATCCTCTGTGGTGGCTCCCAAAGCTACTGACCAGTTCTTTAGCAAACCTCCTCCCAATCAAAATAACGAACCTCTTGCTTTCAAAAGTGCTGGATTTCCTCAACCAGTAGAAATAGAGGATACAGGAAATGACTTTCTAAAACCTTCGTCTTCTTCAGGCGGAATACCTGGATTGGATCTAGTTCCAGATGAGGGAAAACCAGATGAAGTACCTGAGAAAGAGAATAGTGAATTGAGCAAAACAGAGCCAGTACTAGAAGAACAGGCACCTCCTTCAGCAGCAGCACAAGGTCCAGATTTTGACGCAATTTCCAAAGGAATAAATACCATATTGGGTGATCAGAAGCTTTCAAGTATGTTGTCGATGGTACCACAGAACCCTTCTGTTAATACTGGAAGAAATGTTGCTGTAGATAGTATATCTACTATGCGACCTAGTTACATTCACGGGAGGCCCAATTTCAGTGGACCACCGCCCACTCAAATGCCTCATCAAGGAGGCAACTTTAACATACCTCCACCTTCTTCCAATTTGCCATTCAATGAACAGTCAAATCACAGTTTTGAAGATAAAGTTCACAGGGATGACTATAGTCAACAAAGAGAAGTTGTAAATAACTTTGATGACCAAACTAGAAGTAGCTTTACAATGGGTCCCAGCGATAATGATCAAGGATTCAGAAATCGTGGCCCAGGAACCAGATTTGGGGTTCCTCCTCCGGAGAGTAGAAATAATTTTTCATTAGGTGGACAACGGAATATTTCTGAAAATTTCGGCAGAGGTTTGGGTAGAGACAGTTTTTTGGAAGGCCCTGGAAATTTTGACAGAGGAAATAATTTCAATCGCAATGACAGATTCAAAGATAATATCAGAAATGATGACGGCTTTCAAGGGGACCGTTTTGATAGTTACAGAGACGATAGATTTGGTGGAAATAATGAATCCAGAGGTAACTTTGGAGGAAGTGGTGCCAAATTTGGTAGACAAGATAACAGCAACTTTAACCGGTCAGATAGTGGTTTTGGAAGAGAAAATCCCATCGGTCGTTCTAGTTTCAATAAGTATAATGATTATGATAATCATGACGAGGATGACTTTGAAACTTATCATCAGAAATTTGCTGATGATGAAGACCAGTATCATGATAATGAGTATCAAAGACCGAACATCCATAGACCTCCACCATCAGAGCAGTTGCCTCCTCAGAAACAACCAAAGATTCCTTCACTGATGGATCAGATAGCTCCTGCACCTCCTCAGATTCAGGCTCAGATTCAAGCTCAACTTGAGGCTCAGGCTGCTCCTCCACCAGTGGAAGAAGAATTATTCGAGCCAGAAAATGTAGTTGATTATGAACACAAATCACAACAGCAAGGTAAGCAGAAACGCATTTCAATTTTTTTGTTAATTGTTTTTCAGTAAAGAACGTAAAAATAAAATGACACGCCACAACTGTCCCCCTATTTTTGAATGTAGAAAATATATATGTTCTTGAAAAATACATTGGCAATACAGAGTGTATCACAGATGTGTGGTTGGGTGGTAGCCGTTTCAAATAAAATTATGGAGACTAATAGAAACTATCTTTGAAACATAACCATCAAAATATATTAAATGTGCAATTTTTTTACATGGAACAACCTATATATATATTCACTTGGATGATTTCCTTCGAAAGAATTGTTATAAAAAATGTAGGTTTATTTGGGTTTATACCGGGTGGTTCGGAAGTTATGGTGAGATTTATGCCACAAAATAAAATATTAGATTAGTATAGTTTTTGATGGGGTATGAAATTTTGTCTTCCAAACAACCTTCAGGTAAAATCCAAATAACTTTATATTTTTGAGAACAATTCTTTTGAATGAATTCATAACAGCGAAACTATATATTTCCAAAACTTATCTTCCATTACTCTACAAGGAACGTGCTAGGAATCGTACGTTGAAAGGTAAGATCTTGGTAATCCTTAACAAGCACAAGTTTCTAATTTGGAGTAATATTGTTCGAGACATTGTTATCTATCTCGAATATAAAACAGCTATTTTTCACCCACCCACTCCATATAATCACACCGTTTTTTATCAAATTACATAGTAATTTACACTTTTCAGACGATCCCGATATTTCTGTGGAACCATTAAATATGTTCGACTATCGTCATAAACCATTCAATAGAATTCCTTTGCCTGAAAGACCAAAGTGGCTCGCTGAATCAGTCAAGTTTATAAGAGAATTTGATCCAATAGCTTCACGATACGACAGAATTTCTGCGCCAGGACCTGTCGACAGGTTTTCAGTTCCTAGAGAGGAAGACCGTTTCAGTCGAGGAAGGTCGTTCGAAGAAAGAGAAATGACATTCCCAGTGGCTAGAGGTGGTCCATTTGAGAGGGAAGAGTTTCATCGTGAGAGAGAAGAGTTCCATCGTGAGAGAGATGAGTTCCCCCGCGAAAGAGATGACTTTCACCGTGACAGGACTGATTTTCGTCATGATAGAGAAGATTTTCAGCGTGAAAGAGAATTTCCACGTAACAGAGATTCTTATCGCCGCGATAACAAGATGGATAGAAGTAGGGAAACTGGTCGACAAAGATTCGAAGAAGATAGATATAGTAGGGGTAGAAGTGAGAATGAGTCGAATAACAGGAAAAATGAAAGAAATTCAGGATCAAGAATGAATAAGGACGACTTTGATGATTTATCAGATGAAGATATGGATTGGGAACAGGGTGAACAAAAAAGGCATCTGGACCAACAAGCGGTTAGGAATAGTCGTAGTAAGAGTCCTGAATTGAGTAACCCACCTAATCCTTCTAATAATTCAGCTGAAATAGCAATGATTGAAGATATTATAGATCCCCCAGGTCGTCTGAATCGTCCTCCACGTATTGTCATAATTATAAGAGGTCCTCCTGGAAGTGGAAAAACTTTCCTTGTAAAACAGATAAAAGATAAAGAGGTATGTTGTTCCAGAGGTCTGGAGGAATGTCGTTTTTAAATATTTTTCCAAATTCCATGCAACATGAATAACTCAATTTTTACTTTATTATCCAAAGACCCAAAGAATATTGGAAAAAATATAAAAAATGATTATCTTTTAGTACTGAAAGATTCTCACTTTTTCACACACCAGAACTTTTACACTTGTACATGTTTCGGTAACCAAGTTACCGAAACATGTACAAACAATTTTAGCATACCGTTGGGTATCTGCCACACGTACCCACAAATTCGTAGGTCTGTATGAGAGGAAAGGGCAACATTTAGCATGTCATAATGCTAAATCCCCTCAGAAATATAATATTATTCCGACTCCCACGCCGGAGTATGCTTGTGGAGTTGTTTCCTGACTCTGTCTGCAGGTGGCGCAGTGGACATCCCACTGAATTATATTTGTTTGGTCGTGATACTCAGACGGTTCATACCGTTCTAAAGAAACCATGCCCGGTAATGACGATGTATGGGGCAATCACCCCGAAACCGGTCTATCGTTTGGTTGGATCGACCAAACGAAATTAATTTCTGCTTTTCATAGTGGGAAATAATTTGCGACGAATCTTCAAAGTCGAAATTGTTGCACAGGTGCCTGATGGTTTTACTTCAACTCTCTGAGCGGCATTGGCTGGGTTAGTTGTTGTTTTTTTTCGTTGGGTATCAGCCACACGTCCCTACATGGCATGTCATAATGCACCTCTCCGGAATATTAATCAAGCCAAGTGTAAGGATGGGCAACACTTGGTTACCAGAAGAAATAAATACAAATGCACGGAGCCACCAGCAGGAGCCAGCCGCACATTTGTGGTTTCACTTAATAGATCTTGTGTTTACAAGAAAACAATCAAAATCACCACGGTGGTGGTGATACATATATGTGGGGAAGTGGCGGGATTTTAAGACAAACATACTCTATTTATAAAATTTGTCTAAATTTCGTTTCATAATAGAAGCTTCTCCAGGACAAAGTTAATTGAGCTTGAAACTCGTTAAAGTTGATAATCTTGAGAAACAGATCATAAATTTCGATGGTGTCAATCTTTCAAATATTCGAGATCTTCACACCATCCACATCAAACAATGAAAAAGACTGCCAACTCCTTGCCACTAAATTTATTGAACTCTTTGGAAGTTGTGGGTAGAGTAATTATTGCTAATTATTAAATCATTGATGTATGATTTTCATTGTAGAAGTGAAAGTTTACCTTGCTGGAAATACCTATGCTAGGTTACTTTTCAGCATTCTATGTACATTATCTCCTGATTGATTATGAGCTTAGTGTGTGAAAGATGTATCAGGAAAAAAGTCTCAATTCTGGTGTGTGGAAAGTATCAAAATTGGAACTTTCATCAATACTTTAGATTTTGAAATTATTTTAGGTCGAGAATGGTGGATCAGCGCCTAGAATTTTGTCATTAGATGATTATTTCATGGTTGAACATGAAAAACAAATTTTGGAAGATGGAAAAACTCAAACAATTAAGGAGATGGTTTATGAATATGAAGCAGAAATGGAGGAATCCTACAGATCCTCACTTTTGAAATCATTCAAGAAAACGATAACAGATGGATATTTTTCGTTTGTTATTGTAGACAATGTAAACGATAAGGTTAAACATTTTGGAGAAATGTGGAGTTTTGCAAAACAAAACGGATTTCAGGTATATTCATTTACGTTTCACATAAAATGAAAGTGGAAAAATATTTAATAAAAATATGAGATAAATGAGCTGTTTGATAAGGACGTAGAGTAAATACTATAAACAAATTGGTTGAAATGTTGATAATTGAGAAGGTAAAATACAAAAGGTCTTAGGTCACACTAATACAATTGTTCATTAATTTTTTTAATGGAACACATAAAATTCCAATTATTTCAGTATGATCATATGTTGTCTTGAAACGAATCATTCTTTTGAGCATAGCCTTCTAAAAAAAGTAAATAACATCAATCAATTTTTTTTAATAAGAGGTTTTGCATGAAACAATAGTATGAAAATGAGTTGATTTGTGTGTAAATAATGATAAGTATTGTTTTACAAACCAGATCTGTTTTTTTTATACCGTGGTTATTTTTAGCCCATATTGGAAATATGTTGTCAATGTGAATATACTATTCTAGGGGACTATTGTCTCGAAGTGGCAAGAAAAACAAAGAATTATCAAAGTGACATTTTGTATTGACATTTCTACAAAATGATAAAATTTGGTTATTTCACAAAAATTCTCACAGAATTCATATATTGTTGAATGAAATCATTTGTTATCAGAACGATAATGCTATATGGAAAATGAAAGGTGAAGCGATTTTCAAAGAGAAATTGTGTGATATTTATGTAAGAAAGAGGATTGACCGACATGAAGTTTTTTAATGGAATCCACTTCCATAAAGTGAGTGGTGTTTTCAACGAATTAGATGGATAAATGGTGTGTGCAATTGTGATCCGTTTTTTCCTACAGTCGTTATAATGAGCTTTAAATGTTTACGAGGAACTGTACTTGGTGTAAAATCATCTCTGTTGAGTTGTAAACATCTAAATTTGTTGATTGTTTTATCAATTCTAAGTATAATTTTCTATATGTTTGCTAGTTATAGATGTTAGAGAAAGCGGTGTATGTCCACGTAATACCCTTTAGACTTTTTAGTCATTATGAAAAGTTGTCTGTAATTTATGTGAAAAACTATTACAATAAAGAAACGCAATATAATCAATGATTTTCTTATGCCTGATGTTCAAAATTACAATACCTAGATGTGCCACTCTGTGATCCCCTCGAATAGGAAAAAGTGGTTTGCACAGAACTATGATAGAAATAAGATGTTTTCGTGTGAACCTTCACAATGGAAACAAGCTGTTTTGCTTTAAACAAGATTTTCAACATGTTTTTACTATGGTAAATAAGTTTTTTGTATGAAACATTATATAAACACAACTAGCATTTGTACGAGGTGATAGTGGTTTAGCTAACTAAATTTTGAATTTTTTGTAACTTGAGTTCTGCATTTTAGATCCTCAAATAAATTATTTATATATCCCGATTTTTCAACCATTATTTTCCATTAGGTGTATAAATTTTATAATAATCTGTAATACTTTGGAAAAAAATACTAAAATACCAAAACAAAATAATACTGAACCTAACGTGTTGAGGTTCAATATGTTCGATTGAAAATTATCAAATTATTTCAGGTCTATATTTGCCAGTTGGATTTGGATCCTGTAGTTTGCATAAAACGTAACATTCATAATAGAACTGAAGCTGAAATAGAAGAATGTATTGCTGGTTGGGAGCCCACACCATCTCATCATCCTACAATTGATGCTTCTAACCTTCTACAAGCATCTAGTGCTATTACAGAAGTTGAAATGGAACTTGAAGATAACCAACCGACAGAACGACAAGAAAATGAGCAAAAAGACCAACCACCTCAACAAAATTTCCCAGAAGAAGAAAAGAAGGTTGGAGAGGTAAGGGTAAGAAAATCTTTGAAGAAGAATAATTTTTTTTTCCTTGTAGGTTATATAGATAAACGTTATTACTAGTAGTTTTGAGTTTCTGTCTTATGCTATGTCTCTTGATCTGATCTTAAGTTAATGATGAAATTATATCAGATCACTGGACAGATGCAAACTGTGGAAACCCAGAATTTGAGTTTTGTTAGAATATGTTATATATGTATATTTACTAATGACATTTTTTCACAGCGCTGATTTTTGGTAGTTTTGTTAGATTTCATTTATATTGTGTTTTCAACTGTTGTACTAAAAATTCAGTATCCCCTTAGGACCAAGTAAGAAGCAAATGGGACACTTTCGACTGTTCTAGTAATAATCTCGGTAAGTTCATTAAACACAATGATATTATCGAAAGAAACCTAGAGTTGGTACTAATAGAATGTACAATCAATTAGAACGGTTGGCTCAAACATAGTTAGTTTCACTAGAGTATTCAAGATGAATGATTATCATGAATATGCCACCTTTGGTAAACTACATGATTTCTTTCGTAAAGGTCACAGACAATCTGAAGTGATCGTAGAATTATTTATAACATGCACAAAGTTCGATAATAATGAATGAATATTTAATGATTACTGGTTTTATAAATAATGCGATATTTGGTTTTTATAACTTTGCATTTTTATCTCATTAGTATTTTGTTTTTTACCTATCCTACAGTTTAGCTATTTTTAAAATATATCTACTAATTGAGGAAATTCTTTAGTATAATGTACTACTGTACTTAGTGATGGTCTAAATATTCACTCTATCAAAACTATTTTAGAAAGTTTATCTTATCAGAAAAATATTTTTGAATCATGGTGCTCTCTTATTATTGAATTATCATTATTTGACAGATGTAATACAAGATTCATAATTTTTGAACAATTTTTCCTCATTTCAAATGAAAAAAGTATATGTTACATCAAGTTGTTCTTAAACCAAACGATTGCTTCCATTCTTAAAATTCTCTATTGGTAGCTTTTTTGACGGAATTTGCTGAAAACCTTTAATCCCTCCCTAATTCACTTGATATGATCGTCTTTACTTTGGGCGTCCTTGGGTAATATAAGGGTATATTCGCTAAATGTTTATGAAGATCAAATCAAGGGAGTTGAATCTGGTAACTGAAGATAGGACTGCAAAAATCTTAACATCCCTGTAGGACAAGCAACTGCAATAAAATTACTAAAATTTCATATCATAGAATCAATTGATTCTGGCTCTGTACGCGTCATCATAAGAAGAAATTAATATTTGTTTGAAAATGTGTGATGAATATTATGAATGAGACTCAAATGATTTGAAACAGCCTGTGCTGAACTGTGGAGGATATATCTCGAAGCTGCGTCAATAACATATTATATAACTATTATTATTACCAAGAAACATTGTGTGTTCATAACAGAAATCAAATTACATTACAGTGTAATAATAGAGAAAAAATATTTAATGAGTATTACAGAAGAGTTCTACTGAAAAGTAATGGTAAAATCTGATATTTGCTAGCCTTTCAGCATGAACTTCTTCTCAGGTTAGATTTCTTTTATCAGAACTGAATGAAACAACAGATTTGTATAATCTGTTAATATTCATTTTTCTAGGATTGTATAAATTCTACATTGGTTCTGAATTCCGTAGTTTATACATTCATTTTATTTTGTCACTTCTTCATTGGTTTCAATGTTGTGGAAGCTGAACCCCATGTTTGTTTTAAGTATTGCCATTGCGAATAAACAAAAAATATGTTTTTTAGGTATTGAATTTTAACATACTGACCCATTATATACACAAGGTAATAAGTAAACAAATTTCTTATATTTTCAAAATGATTCCTCTAGGTCGACTTTGTCTATAATTAGACCTAGGAATTTAGTTGTATAACTATATTTCAATGTTTTGCCATAACCATAATGGTTTATTAGTGTAGTAGAATGTGATGCGGATAATTCAATTGCATAATCAGCTCCAGATAGCTTCATGGTGTAGTTTTAACAGAGGATATTGTTAGTGGTATTTACGGCTTGATAATGAAGAAATATTTTTTTAAACCACTTAAAAATTATGCTTTATAACAAATTCATTCAACAAAAACCATATCAATGAAATATCCAAGTATTATGACCAATCATCTTATCTCTTCATTCATGCCTTCATTGGATGTAACTTCATCCACTAATAATGAAGGAAAAAATAGTAAATAACTACTCAAAACCAATCAGAATGGCGCAACTTGCAGTCGTTTTTTAAACATTTTTAAATATCTAGGATTTCTCTCAGACACTATAGCATATCAAATTATTATACCAATCAAAAACAACTTCAACGCACTATGGAAATTTGGATAGTTATACTCGGACATTGCTTCCAAGTTTATTGGGATTTATAACTTATTTAAAACGAGTTGGAATGGATAAACTTTTGATCATATAGAAACATTGTGGGTTTTTAATCCACCAACTGCCACATAGAAAAAATTGTGTGATTTTGAAAAATGTTTCGTAGAAATTCGAGAAAAGCGTTAATCAGCTATCAAGAGTTGAAAACTTTGCTTTGTGATAGCAATGCAATAATATATTTTCAACCTTTGACATATCTTACTTTTAACAACATATATGTTCATAAAAGACCTTTGGAACACCTCATTTGGATTCAATCGATTAAAATCATTCAGTGAAATGCGTGAGAAATATACAGAAAATCATGGAATCTCTAAGAAATAGATTCAGAAAGGAGTACTGAACAAAACTGGTGAATATTGGACTTTGAAAGCATGGCACGCTACAAGTGAAAGATATTAAGAATGATTCCGATGATATCAAACAAATGAATTGGCCTTTAGGAAGAATCGAAGAAATGATTCCTAGAAAAAACAATATAAGCAGAGTCGAACAGAGAAAGAGAAATTTTCCAGACCATTTCAATGACTTTACTCAGTGTCATGTCATTAAGCAAAAGATAAGTACCGGAATCCATGTGGTAGCATAAGGAGTGTAACAAAATCTATGATTGAGAAAGAAAAGTAACCTTCTTCACTGGAACTGGCAGGCAAGTGAAATGATGGACAACTACAAAGAATAATTTCTAGGAAGAATGTTGGATTTCAATAGTTAATTTTATACGTACTTCAAAGTCAAATAAATAAAGTTATAAAAGTGTATTTATAGAAAGTTCACAGAAACTTTGAGAAAGGAAGATATTTAATTACATGGATTTTCAGTTAGGAATTACAAAACAATACAGTGAGATTATTTTGCAACGAGAAGATAATTTGTAAGGACTGTCAACTGCAACAATTTACTGAAAATATTTTTATCACACAAACGCTTTTCAAACTCTTGTTAATATATCAATCCCAATTACTGCAATGCATTTACTAGCACGGGTTGCGCAACATTAATGTTGTCATCCAACCTTAGCTTGTTAATCATATTCAATAACACTTTTGTGAAATTTTCACCAAACAATCTACAAAACCATAACCTATACAGAAACTTTTGTATGGTCAAACTTGTGCTGCGGTTTTGTATAAGCTGCATTTTGATAATATTGCAGTGTGTTATTGAATATGTGTATATGTATTTTTATCAAGTATTGGTCTATGCCATTACACTTATCTTATTAATTTTTATTGACTAACTTTTCCATATATGACAAAAAAATATTTTTTTTTAAATTATCATTATAAAATTCTTGTACATTATAGTATGGTCTGTCACTTAAAAAACTTTTCACAGCTTTCCTGAAGCATTGTAAAGATTTTATTTCTGTTATATTCTTTGGCAAATGGTTGAACATTTTGCAACCATTATAGATAATGGAATCTCTTATGAGTGATGTCCTAGGTATTGGCAACTTAATGTTGTTGGATTGCCTTGTCACATAATGAAACCCGTGTGTGAATTTAAATACAAATTTGATAAGTTTATTCACCTTGATTGTCACACGATCATGGCAACTTTTTACTCCTCGTAAGAAATCTCAGACCGAACTAAATAATTGACTTGATAGTGAATAGTGAACTTATTTCAAGTTTGATGAATTATTTCATAACTCTCGTCGAATTGAGCTGTATTAGTGTTACAAATGACGGAAGTCAGATATATTTTGTATGGTGAAACAAAGAGAATATTGCAAACCCTCCTTGTAAATTATTATAATTGTTTTGGTGGCGGGTTATTAAATCGTTGACTATGGGTTGCATAAAAAAGAACCCTTCGTCCTTAATTTATGGAGGGAGAAATCAATCGGAAGTCCTTCTACCTATATAGGATTTGTTGATTTTGTTCTTGAAACTGAAGAATGGGCTTTTCAAATAGGATTATCTTTGATCTGTGGGTAAATATTTATCAAGGTAGGTTGTATATGATACACTTCAGATATCACGTTTCCCCTCAAAAACGCCTAGAGCCATTTATCAGGTGGCCTCTTCTAGTAGTCTGAGAGCCAGCAACGTTTTTGAGAAAGAATTTTAAGAAAAGTAGTTCTTCAATATATCATTTCGAAGGCTTCCTTGAACAACACACATGCGGGATACCTTGCTACCATTAAACGTTGTGTTAATTACTGCGCAGTGCGCCTATACAGGTGAAAATATTGAATTTCAAATTATTTTGAAATTTTGTCGGTAACTTTTGAACACTATTTGAAACATGAATTTCTTATTGCCAGACATTTTTGTTATTGACAATTATGTGCCAGATGCTATTTTCAATTAAAAAAAATAACCATTTTAGTTTGGTTGTAAAATATTGTTTTATCTATATATAAATAATTGCAAAATTTATTTGCCAGACAGTAATTCTGTTGTTTAGTCAACATTCAGATGACGTCAATCTTAAGTCACATGTTCACGTTCGTTGTCGTATTTGAGGGTTTACAGTGAAATATTAACACAATAATGGCTAATAAAATGCAATGTTTGTTATGTGTTAAATTTGATTTGAAACAGTGTTACAGTTCTTTAACAGACGTAATAGCTAAGTATCATAGTATATATGGCAATAATTGCTTCATCGACAAATCTTCCTAGTAGATCTAGGTCTCCACTGTCGTTGCCGGATACTTCAATAAGTGTGAGGTTTTTCTAGTGCATCTTTTTTCCTCAACGTAATTACCGAATACTCAGTTGGTGTGAGAGAGTGTCATATGATGCTTGTTCAAGTCCAAGAAATCTTGTCCTGAAATCCCGCCTATCGCGAATCATCGATCAACAGACACAAATTATTTCAAAAACTACACCTCACGATTTGATCTCGACAAGGTGTAGTTTTTTAAATTACTATGGATCTTCATCAAATAACAGCCGAATCAATCATAAAAAAATAGACACAAGTCTTGGAAAAAGCTGGAAAAATATATGTTATATGTATAGGCTGCTTAATTCTTCAAATGTCAACGATGTTTGCTTCTATCTATTTTCAGAAACTTATCAATCGAGAAAATCTGCTGGTACTTTTGAACAAAAATTCGCAATTTCGATTCATCAAGCCTACCACTATGTGAAGTTGAATTATATTATGATTTATTTGTTTTGGAGAAGCTCTTGCTTAAAAAGTCCAACATTACTATCACCGACAGCTTCTAGTTGGGTCATCAGTGACGATAAATACGATTAAGTATGGTTTGCTGTGGAGCGTTTTCCAACAAAAGTTGCAGATATTATTGTAAAAAGTAAAGTATTATAAAAGTGTTATTTACAAATGACAAATAAAAAATCCACAGCTCATGGTTAGAGTAAGAGATGCTCCCAACGAAATTACTCCAGAAACATTCCATAAATGAATTTGTAAGCAAACTTCATTACTGTCAAGTGGATGGTGAACATTTCAAACACGCATCAAAACTATTATCATAGTTTATTAGGCAACTTGAAAAAACTGTATCTCTGAATGTTCTTATAAACTTGCCTATCATGGACTAGTACAGTCGACTTTAATTTCCGGCTTGATCTTCTGAGAAAAATCAAGTTATACAAATGGAATATTTTCCATATAGAATAAAATAACATAATAATATTTTTTTCAATGCAATACGATCAATGTGGACACATCAAAAGTCAAACTTTCGAGAAGTTGATTCTCATTTACCCTAAAAATGTACTGATTTCAACAATGGTTGATTTTTCCAATTGAAATAAATACATTGTTTCATCATCAACTTATAATTGAAAATTACATAAAGTAAAGATTTGTTTTTTAAATATTCAAGATGAACAGCATTTACATATCTATTCTTATTAAAAATTTTCGTGACAAATTCAACTTATCCAAAAACTATTACTTCTCACTCTCCCTTGTTTATACATATTCTCAATACCATTGAATATAAAGAAATATGAAAGTGCATTTTGAGAAAAATAAAAAGTATCATAACTGTAATACGAGACAAGATATGATTTATTCATGNTTTATTTAGCAATGAAACTGCTAATACAATACATCTATGATCAAATACGACACCACAATGTATTACACAGAAGGGTTTTTAAGTGAGGGTTGATCGATCAGATGGGGTGAGGGCATCAAACTATTTTAGTTCCCATTATTTCGCCCTGATGCAGGTTTAATTATTGCTTGCAATTTTTCAGTTTTCAAGATGTTCCAACAGGCAACTTCTTGATTTGACAAACTGTTAAACTTCATGTAACCTTATATAATGTATCTGATTTACCAGCTATTAAAAACGCTCTAGATTTTTTTAAACCTTAGATTACACCAATTAATTTGACTTTATTTCAAGAATTTCCTTTATTATTCCATGAATTTCTTGCGAAGGATATTAATATTTACTTACTATAGTCTATTTCCTTAAGCAGCGGAGTAATACATCATTTTTAAGGTGCTGTTCATAGGCGTACATAATTGAGTCGGTTAAAAGTGTGAATGTTTATTTTAAACATTGAATGTTTTATAATTTCGTATAACAAATCTCAGAAGACGTTTTATAACTTTATGTATACGGTGAGTAACAAAAATATGGAACACCTGTATTAACAATTATCAGATTTTTTTTCAATTAAGTACCGACATTTTTTTCTCCTTTGAATTTCGATTAAAATTTCAAAGCAAAGCAAAGCATTCTGTCGATTACCACGATTACATAAATGGCGACGTGTTTGAAGAATATTTTGAGCAAATGTTATTCCACCGTATTCCACCTAAATCTATGATTGTGATGGATAATGCAAGTTATCATTCCAGAAAAGTTGAGGGAAGTAGGTGTCATTGAGTGGGTTTCGACAAAAAAAAAACATGACATTTGATGAAAGTATGGTTAAAAAAGAACTATTTTTCGTTGTTCAAATGCTCGTTTCACGGAATATATAGTCGACGAAATGGCAAAACTGTTTAAGGAGCCCCTAAAAATGTCTATTTTGAAAAAGGGTGAAAATGTATTGAACATATAAAAGAACAGGAAAACCTGTGGATTTTATCACATGAAAACACCGATAACACCATAAGTTTTGCCTATACTTGATATCTTTTTAAATGAGCATACCTATTTATTATGTAAATATTTTGAACGAAAATTTTATAACATTAATTTATAAACACCGTTACTAGTTTTATCAAAGCAAGTCGAGAACCCGGTACAGTATTATAAACCCGGCTTATTTCAGCTGTGGCAAATCATAATTAAATCTCAAAATGTTTAAGCACTCTGTGTTTAAGAAACAATTCACAAACACGAAACAATTGTTTATTGTTTTCATTTATGCCTCTTTTTTCTGTGTGTTGGATTGTAGCAACTTGTTTTACATTATGGTCATTCTTTTGAATTTGCAACCACCCATAAGATTATCCAAAGGGTGAAAAGTTTAGCCCCTAAGGTGAATGCGAGAAAACTGTTTCTTGGTAACAAAATCTTTCAAGTGAATGGAATTTGAGAAGGCATTGAATTCTCTTATCAAACGTTCATTAAAATAAGCGGCACTGGCAACAAAAGTTCTCATCTAATTTTTTATATGTCTAAAAATAATCTTGAACAATGGAGATGACTTCGTATTGCGATGGTAGAAGCTAATTTTTTTTCAGTGTTGGATGTTTCACAGTTGTGAAATATCAGAGCAACAAATTCACCAAATCTGTTCATCAACGTGAAAACACAATCTAAATATTTGAAAAATTATTTAAAAAATCGTATTGCAAATTCTATAAGTTCGAATAGTAACAACTATTTTCTTTTACAGCCAAGCTCGATGGAGTCAGTAAACCCCTCCGAAAATCGCACACCATGGAAGAATACCTCCAATTGGAATCCGAATGGGAACCCCCGAAACCCTCCAAATCGGGGAAGAAGAGGGTAGGTCATGCTCAAAGTATTTAATAACTAAGTTATTCAAACAATAGATAATAATTCAATGGTTGTTTATTGGGGGGAAAATGAAAACAATCATAAACGTCAAGACATAAATAACATGGCTGAAATGAATAAATATAACAATCATGAAAGGTTATTGTAGTCAAGTTGCTGAAAAATAATTCCATTATTAAAATGGAAAGATAAATAGATGAGTACTATTCTGATCATTCCCAATTTAAGAGCCACCGGTAGACAGCTGTTTCAGCCTGTTGGGCATCAAGTTCAGGTGAAACACCTAACACCTTGCCTCTCGTGTGAACCTACGACTTTGTAGGTACGTATGACAGATACCCGACAGAAAAACAACAACCAGCTAGTACCGCACAGAAGGCTGAAGTAAAACCATCAGGCATCTGTGCAACATCTTCCGTTTGGAAGATTCACTGCAAGTAACTTCCTATACATAAAAAACAGAAATAATTTCATTTGGTCGGGACGACCACCAATAGAGCGGTTTTTCGGAGTACTAGCTCCTCGTCAGTACCGGGAGGGTCATTTCAGTTATATAGTATAGTATTAGGTATTGGTCCACCATCGTTATTCATAATATCATCATGTTAACTTATTGTTAACGTATTTCATGTTACTTATTTCTACACTATCATGAGCATCTAAAGGCCTGTTTTTAACTTGTCTTGGGACGCTAGAAAATAAAGAACTAACATCAAAGGAAACAGAAATCTCATTGCCTATTGCGGAACCTGGTTCCGCAATAGGCAAGTCTTCAAATTCCCTAGTGACCCATTTTGCTATTTGGTAGGTAGGAGATCCAATAGCGATGGGGCACATTGATTTGTGGAATTTTGGGAGGCAATATAGCTTTGACACCGTTGGGTTGGAAAATTGTAAGTTCCGTTTCAGTTGAGGCATAAGTATGTTGTCACATTTCTTGAGGAAGTCTTTTATTTTGGCAATCATCTTTTGTAACGGGTTCCTGGACAATTTCGCATACGGTCCGTTAGTGATGGGAGTATTGACCCTTTTGTAGTAATCCGATTTATCCAGAATTACTGCTTTGTCTTTAGACTTTTCCTCTCACACATGAGATGTTCACAAAATAGAAATTGACAATACAGGAAATAGCAGTCAGTGACGGTTTCTCGATGGGTATTGTAGATGATATTATAAAGAAGAAAAAGTGTAGGTTAAGAATGAACAAAATCTCAACTTTTAGAAACTTTTATGAAGGTAAAACAAGTCATACACTACAGAGCCTTTTAGGACACCCAAAAACAAAGTCGAGAATTCGGAAAAGTCTGGAATGTACGAAATTAAATGTAAATTTATTATTAATTGATTGAAGGAAGTGATAGGCTAGGTTAGGTCCAAAGTGAGTGGGTCTATTTACCCCTCAACTGCAACCCGCAAGGGTTTATTGTGGCTCACACATATTCACATTCTACCAAATAAATCCAGTTTCTTAACGAAGCCAATAAGTTTGTATGATGATTGGTTTTTCAGGTCAGATGGTAAGAGTACGGCTCTGTCGAACTCTAAAAACCTGATTCGGTCCCCAGCTGGGCAGGCACCAAGTTTGTGCTCTGCTGTTTCATCATTTTCCAAACAGAGGCGACACACACTGTCTTCCGACAGTCCAATTCTCTGCATATGATTCAAATGACAGTGACCTGTCAGAAGGCCTGTTAGACATCGTAGTTCATCCCTACTGTAGTCCAACAACTGTTTGGTATCAAACTTCGAAGAGTGAATAAACGCGTTGGAGTGAGCCAATCCTGGAAGATTCTGCCAGAAGTCCATAAATCTTCTTGCCATCCAGGTGTTCAATCTTTGTTTGGCAAAGCCTAAAGAGAAAGACCAGAGACAATCTTTCAAGTCTTTCTATCGAGAAGAGTCGTTTTTGGCAATTTGCTACTAATTTAAAGGTTGATCGGTAGGAGCCAAGAGCTTCCAACGGCGCTTGACTGTCCGAGAATATTTTTATTGACTTGTGTACGAGGTTGGGTTCTTCCAATCTCTCCGCACACAATTCAATAGCGTAAATTTCCGTTTGAAATACAGTCGCATAGGTTCCTAGGCAGGTTAGGAGATAATAACACAAAGCCTTTTAAAAATATTTTCAATCATTACCATATGGTTGCTATTGTGGTTCAATTTTTTTAAAGCTTTTTAGCAGTGTTTCTCAAAGTGTGCGCCCTGGGGCGCCGTGGAACCTTTACTGAGGCGCCGTGGGCCACGGGTCAGTCTCAAGGTACAACGTTTTACAACATAGATAACTGAGAGTCAGTACCTATACCTATTAATAAAAGTCCTCTGATATGATAATATCTGTAATTGCAAAATGCAATCCATTCAGACAGCCATCTCCCTACTTTTATTAATTAAATATCTAGTGTAGTCTTAGTAAGTTCTATCATATCTTAGAAAAAAAATTGATATTATTTTAAAACAGTAACTAGATCTCAAAAATGGTATTCCATTATATTGAAGCTTTTCCAGGAAGGAAAACATACGACATTCAAATGTACCAAAAAGGAGTTCAAGAGTTTTTGGTGAAATATATTCCATTATATTTTTTAAGAAGAAAACAAAACTGGGATGATACAAAATATAGTGCCTGATAAATGATGTAATGTTGAATATAACGGACCTTAACTGCAAAATGAAAGAAAATTACACCTACATTGAAAACTAAAATGATAAAAGACTGGACTAGGAATATGAAGTTTCTGCTTATTTTGCAAAAAATTATCATTTATTCACTTTACACTTTGGTACAGTGGGTACATGTGTTACTTCATAATGAAATAGACACAAAAACAGTACAGAACATCACAAAAATAATAGATATGTCACATGAACATTATAATTGATATAAATTGATCGCTCATCAAGTTACAATTCGAAGGGAAGCTCTATTACCAACTACTTTCACAAAGTCGGAAGAAAGTGTCAGGCAAAAATTACTCATGACTGAGTAACTTCTTTACAAGAATAATTTTTTCAATGCAGAATAAAAAACTACTTCTGACTTGACTTTCCTAATAGTTGACACAAGTTTTATTATTGCACTGAATAATGAGGACCATCTAAAATGAGCCGTTTTATGTGAAGGAATTCTTAATAGCTTGCTTTGGCGGGTGGGGTGTCTCAACCATGAATATATGAGTTCATGGTATATGTATTGATATTTTTATGGACAAAAGTGACACAATTCAAGATAAATATGGATAGTGTAATTAAAATGCCCTCTCTTATTTGAATGTTTTCATCTCATTTTCTTTGTCTTCAAGGAATGATTGACATTTGGTTAAGTTGTGAAGAAAAATACATGTGTACATCATCAAATTATATGGTGAATTGAAATGGCACAAAACAATATCAAGTTTATATTACAGTAATTATGTCTAATAAAAATGAATAATAGGGATGTAGGTACACGTTTTTAGTATCATTTCTCTTGATCTTTTTTCTTATCCAGAAGAACACTATGAATACCTGCTTTTTCTAATTCCTCAATCAAATCACCTGACTGATGCATTTGAAGCATAATGTCACAACCTCCCACAAATTCGCCATTTATAAAAACCTGAGGAATTGTTGGCCAGTTTGAATATTCCTTTATTTCTGAAAAATACAAAATCCAGTGAATTATCAATTGTGTAATGATTCATATATTAACCTCACATTTAAATTGAATACAATTATTGAATGATCAATCACCTCAACTATCCAGTTAAGAATATTAAAAAGGTCCAAGCTCTGTAATGGTTTAATTAATATTATATACTCCCGAATGAAATTCCATTTTTCAGATGATCACGATGGTCAGAACTGAATCATTTTGCAAGATCAACATCTCTAATCACACTATGAATTACAAAATATATCTACTTCTTATTAAAAATTTGACGAAAGTATGCAGTTCTTATATATTCATAGTTATGGATGTAATTAAGATTCGGTTTCAAAGTATTGAAATTAGTTTTTTTTTTATTCATTATGGTATTTCAGAAGCTCAGTTTTATTCATTAATCACACATTACATTTGTAAGGATTAAAATATTAGGCATTCTCAATTGGCATTTGGTGTCTGAGGTTGGCGTAAAACTGACAGCAATTTGATGAGAGGTTGTGTTTCTGAGTAAAATTGGTATCTTGATAATAATTAATGAAAGAATCACTGTTGATCGCTAATTGTACCTGTAAAAAATCACTTTATGAATTGCAGTCAGTTTTATGTCAACCTCTATGACAGCAAACCCTAATCCAGAACGTCTATTATATATCATATTATGGGTAGAGTAACATCCAACTAAATACTGAAAACCTTTTTCTTTTCCCTGGTTTTGGAGGACATTAGGAAAAATAGTTTTCAAAGAAAAGGTCCACTATATCTTAATCACTTTTTTTCATCCCAGATATAAAAAAATCATACCTTTTCGGAGAGCTTCGTCCTTTAAAACGTTATGAGAATCATAAGTTACTCCATGCATTCTCAAAATTTGGACTACTGCATTGCTAAAGCCACATTGAGGTTGTTCAGGAACACCTTTCATAAAAACTACAACTTTATTATTTTTTACTAATTTCTCTATTTCCTGTCTAGTATTTGAGCTGTATAGTCTGGAGACTGAAAAAATATGACGAAAACTCCTACTTTTATTTAAAATATTCATTTTCCACTTTTATATAACCTGTACTGTAGTTCCGATATTCTGTGCCCGAACCCTGTACAAAAATGCCATACAGTGACGTCTCATGTCTCATCTATGATAAAGATGGGTCTGTATTTTATGATACCTTCATTCTGTGACCGTACTGTCGCGGTATTGTATTTTGCTAGACGGTTGACGATATCGCAGAGTATCGTCACAGCATATTATGCTGTGGTATCGTATAGCGTCTCTTCGCCTCCAGTATATTGTACCGTTTCGCTGAGTTTCATGAATGGTCACAGTACTGTGGTCTAGCGTCTAGTCACTAGTGCTAGTTCTCGTTCTTATTGAATCACCGAATCTCTGTCGCGGTGCTTTGCTGTGGGTTACGTAATCGTGATATACTATACTTATTATCTGCAAGGTGTTATATTATGGATCTTTCTGGCATATGTATTAGTATGCATAGTATGGTCGTTCCTTCTCGTGCAGTTTCGCTAAGGTTTTCTGTCGTGGTATTTTCCAGTCTCGTTCGCGGTTGAAACATTCCAATGATGGAGCGGTATTTCCCATCTCTATTCCATGATGCTATGTATGACATTGAATTCTTGTTTTCAATCTGTGAAAAATACTTTTACTGAAATTTGGTATTATTTAATTTGTACATATGCTATTTTCAAAGAGTTTTGCATATACATTCATCAAATATGGTGTTTGTTGTGTTTAGCAGTGATTGTTTTGATTTTCAATCATGACATTTAATATTTCCAGAATATCTTTATATATGAAAGAACGTGGTGTTAGTTACACTATTTATAACTCAAGAACGGATGAACCGATTTGTCTGAAAATTGGTGGAGAGGTAGTTTAGAACAAGGAGAGGGACATAGGACACTTTTCATTCCATTCGACTGCGTTTCCGTGAAGTCACCAAGAAGTCGCTATAAAACGTGGTATAGCAAAAACGCATCTGACATGGAATAACAAAAAAAAAGTAAATGACAGCTGAACGTAGTTTTGTCAATGGTTAATGAAGGCAATTGATGATGGAAATGGTGGTTTATATTTCCTGGATGCCCCTGGTGGAACTTGTAAGACATTCCTGATGTCATTAGTTTTAGCTACTGTTTGTGCGAGATCCAACATTGCGCTTGCAGTTGCTTCTTCTGGAATAGCAATCACATTGTTAGAAGGATGCCATACAGTCATTCAGCAATAAAATTGCCGTTAAATCTTCAAAGTATTGAAGAACCAACATGTAATCTTTCAAAAAACTCCGCAATGGCCAAAGTTTTATCAGCATCGAAAATCATCATATGGAACGAATGCACAATGGCGCACAAACGTGCATTAGAAGCACGTAACCGAATATTGAAAGATATACGCAATGACTCGAGATGTTTTGGAGGTGCAATGATTTTACTTTCTGGCGATTTCTGCCAAACACTGCCAGTAATTCCAAGATCAACGGCTGCCGACGAAATAAACGCTTGCCTCAAATCATCGAATCTATGGCGCTATGTGAAGAAACTTCAGCTGACAACAAACATGGGATTTGCATTGCTTAATGATACATCTGCTGAAGATTTCTCTGAGCAATTGCTTACTATCGGTAATAGTCCAGTACCGGTCGACGAATCGAGCGGATTGATTTCATTTCCTCAGAATTTCTGTAACTTTGTCTCATCGAAAGACGAACTTATCAGCAACGTATTCCCAAACATAATCACCAACTACAAAAATAATGAATGGTTGAGTGAGCGAGCAATTTTAGATCCTAAGAATAAAGATGTAGATGACCTAAACTACATAATTCAGAATGATGATTGGAACAATGCATTCATTCAAATCAATTGACTGTGTAACAAATGAAGATGAAGCCACTAACTATCCAATTGAATTTTTAAACTCCTTGGATGTGTCTGGCTTACCACCGCACAATTTAGGCCTGCAACGGTACATGATTGGTGGTGAGTAAATTGATGAACAATGTGACTTACACGACGATATTCAAAGGAAAATTTGGAGGTGAGGAAGTTCTTATTCCGAGGATCCCGATGCTCCTAACCGACATGCCGTTTGAGTTTAAAAGACTTCAATTTCCAATTCGTCTTGCATTCGCCATGACCATCAACAAATCACAAGGTCAATCCTTAAAAGTTTGTGGTCTGAATCTGGAAAATCAATGTTTTCACATGGTCAATTATATGTGGCATGTTTACGGGTCGGAAGACCATCTGCGTTGTTCATTTTTGCGCCTGATAATAAAACAAAAAATGTCGTGTATCTCAAGGCGCTTAACTGAAGAGTTTAACCTAATAAAAAATAATTGAAATACTTGATTAATAGAAAAATTAAATTAATAAAATCAAAAATGTGCTTTTTTTATTGCCTCTTAGGCGGAACGAAGTTCGCAGGGTCAGATAGTTTATAATATGTGGTTTCAAGTCGATGTGTTTCATCACATATTCATGTGCCATCCATTTTCTTCTGCGTTCTAAATTTATTTCGCCCGCATCTGCAAGTATGGCGTTACTAGGTGTGGATTTTAAACATCCTAGTATAATTCTAAGTCCATGTACCTATGTACGTTTGTTCTAGTTTTAGTTTTTTTGTACATTTGTTAAACAGTATGGCTCCATATATTATAAATGCGTTCTCACCAGGCCATTGTATGCCATTTTCATTGTTGTCGGACTCGCCCCCACTATAGGTATGTTCTGCAAAAGCATTTTATTGAATTCATTACCACTTTTACTTCATTTACTATATATTTTGTGTTTATCTCATTTTAAGTTATGTTATGATCGTTTATATATAGGTATTAACATTAACATCACTTTATATTTTTACATGAGTCTACCCTATTTTAATATAAGATCTACTCGTATGTATATGATCTTTCTCGTTTAACCAGTGTTGTTTCGCATTTCTCCTGTGATAATTGGAAATCATGTTCTTTCGTCCATGTATTCATCTCATTTAATATTATGTTCATTTTATCTTTTGTTTCCATTATATGATAATATATTTTTTTATTGAATATGCAAATTGAATAATATATTATATTGAATATAGTTTATGAATGTTGACGTTGTCATATGCTGCGTTTATATCTAAGAACACACTATAACATTATATTTGAGGTTAAAAGCAATTTTTACATATGAAATTAAATAACTATAGGGCAGTCCATTGTACCTAAACCTTCACGGAATCCCATTTGATATCTAGATAATATTTAATTGTGTTCGCATTTCCATTCCACCCGGTGTCTAATTATTCTTTCTGATATTTCAAGTCCGAACTTAACCAATACTAACGGTCTATAAACATTCACATTTTGTATGCCTGTCACTGAAAAGTTTTCCATGCTTTCCGTAATTGATTTCCGTCTAGTATAAACTAGCATGCCGCCAGGGTTCCGCACGGGTGCATTGCTGATACTAAATATACATATAAATCCGTGGGATCGCTGCTAATCATAAACCCTGTGGGGTGTAACAATTTTGCAGGTCTGCAGGTCAGCAAATGGTTCTCAGTAGACATTCCTCTCGTAATCTTGTAGTAGGACAGAAATTCTTGCAGGTGGGGTCTGCCAGACATGAATCTCGACCAGGTTGATCATTTTCGACAAAAAATGCAGTGTCCGACCGGAAGTTCGGTTTCGGTTGAGTTTCGGCAAAAAAACGGGTTTCGGTTTAGTTTCGGTTTCGGCGCCAAACCTGCCGAAACTGCGGGAGTTCCCGCGCTGTGATAGGTCATGTTCGGCGCATTGAATTTCATACAATCGACGAAGACATTTTGCCGCTTCCACGTGCCTAATCATGTCGTGACTATTGTGATATTAGATATCAACTCAAATAAGTAATTTTATGTTTAATATTTTTGAAAACCCATCAATAATATTCAAAAAAAGAATCTACACCTACTCAAATGTTTTAAGTATTTTCAAAGTGCAATTAATATTTTTTCTTGAATAAGGGTTTTTAATGTTGATTATCAATAAGTAAAAATGTTGAAGAGTGCATAACGTTGTGATTTAAAGATAAAAAAATAAAGACTGACTGATTATAATAACGTTTTCTTTATTTTTCCCTCGAAACATAATCCATGTAAGGAAGTTTCGGTTTCGGCCGAAACTGAGACCGTTGCCGAAATTCGTTTTTGATTTCGGTCGCAAAAACCAGTTTCGGTCGGAAACTAAAAAAAAGTTCAACCCCCACACAAAAGTTTCACAATTCTTAAAAAATTAAAAATACATTTTACAGATCGATAGAAATTCTTGCAGGTTGGGTCTGCCAGACATGAATCTCGACCAGGTTAATCATTTTAGACTATCGATGAGCCTAACTTATGACGCTCACTTATCAATTTACTCGTCCAAAGAAAATTCTTTCAAATAATATAGCGAATAAAAATAATTAAATTTGTCGGTCCCATTCTGACTTACCTCTACTATGTTATAAATACTACCAACATTCAAAAATGTTCAATAGGTTGACAATTATTTCTATATGTTATAAGAAAGTTGTATCATGCGATTATTGGACACAGGATATAAGTTCTCTTCTCAAGACATATCTTTAGTTTTTCGCAAAAATCTCAGAAACCTTCACTTTTAGGCAAATAAGATGTTATGACTTTTAGGTTGAGTATTGATGAGCTATGCTCTATGCTATGCTATGCTCTATTGTCAATTCAGTTGTCCAAAGAAAATATGTGGGAAAATATGATCACATATCATCGTAACAACGCCACTGGTTTACGTTAATTGAAACATATAACTTCGAATTATCACGTTGATGAACCTTGATTAGTGTACCAAGTTTGAAATGTCTTCTCCAATAGTTTTGAAGAAAAAAAAAAAAATTTTTTTTCGTACTTTCAACACCCTGTATCTCAGAGGGGATGCATTTCAGGACATACCTTGATAGAAACTATTCATCTCAAAATGAGCTGAGAAATCTCTAGTCGGAGTTTGTCGGTCTTATTCTGACTAATCCTGTATATCCTACACGTCCATGCTTATCTGTAAATGAATAGGCTTAACACAGAAAGAACAGCGATGGATGCATTATTTTCGGAAGGCCTATTTCCAAATCTTAATCAATTAGTGGATATCTGATAACTGAAATCATAAAGATGACGAAGGTTAAAATAAATATAGGTGGGCGGGACGGCATTTTTCAGTTTTGTATTTGTATTGCACACTTCCGGTACTTCCCTACGTTGTTCTACTGAGATTGGATTGTTGTTTATGTACCGAATTGTTAATAATCAAGATCTATTATTTGATTTATGTTCATTTCTTTGGCAGTAGAGGCATTTATTTGTTGTACAATTTTTATATTCTCCATCATTACTGTGTTGTTCTGTATATGAGAATAAGCATTTCATTTTGCCCTTGCATTTTTCAATCTGTCCTTAGAGGAAACAATTGTAACATTATGTGACTGCTGGTATATATGGGGTTGTAACGTACGTCATAAAACGTTTGGAAATTATTGTTTTTTTAATGTGATTAAAATTATGGAAGCTGATACATACGTTGGCTTTTCGTTCGATATAATTTTCCTATTCATTCTTTCAACTTCAATCACTTCATGAAGACTTCTGATCATTTCTGTAAAAAATTGTTGAAATACCATATGAAATATATGCTTTCTACCCTTTATTCTTAAGTTGTTCATTGTTTATCATGTTATTAACGCTTCATTATTTTTAGTCTCTGCCCATTTTATTATTACCTCTTATTTTTATTTCCATTATATTTTCCAAATTTTAGTCGGATATATCTTCAACTATTTCCATTTCCAGATGAGGGAACCGTCTAAGACCAAACCAATGTTTGCGCCGCCACTTTGCGGCAATGTTTCTTTCGAATATACCCTGTGTCACCTGTCAGCATATCACATAATTCAAAAAGAAGAAGAAGAACAAAAAAAATCTGTCTAGGTGTCAAAGTTTTTTAAAAAAGCAAAAATATGTTTTGAAATTATTTTCGATAAATTTTGATGTTGTGTAAGCTTTAAAGGACATCCATGACTGCAGCGAATATACCAATCCACAACTCTAACTCTCCTCCTTTGTACAATGATCAAAGGAGGTCTATCATGCCTGACATTTCTAGAGACAGTGGAGCACCTCCGTCCTATGAAGAAGCCATTAATCCTAATGGTAATTATATCATATACATTTATAACTTTTGGAACAGCACAGGGAAATATCTCTGAATTCAATATTTGTACTAATCTACGTTTGGCGAATAAGATACATTACTCATAATATGCTTGATCCACATATAATCTAAATAAATTCATCATCATTTATATTTCTCATTTGTTTTTTATGAAGGTTATTATTTGATAAATACTGTTACGGAATATTATTATTTACAAGAGTTTAAGGTGGATTCATGCGTATTTTAACTCATATGAATTATATACTTCATGGTCATGAAGAATGTTTTAACATCTAGAAGACAAAGTAAATAGAGTAGATAATATAATGTATCACCCACTGTGTCCTCATAAAAATTTAAATTACAGAAGATTTATATTGATACATAAATAAAACACAATACAGATTTGAGAACATCAACACAAAGATAATTAATAAACATGAAAATGTCAAAAAATGCTATTTAGAATTGTCAGAGAAAAACTCTTCCAGTCGGTTATATAATAGTTTTCCTTATAGCCTTTTTGAAATGTTTATACTAATATCTGAGATAATTCGGTAGGTAATTTAATTTTCTTAAAGCTGCGAGTGGGATAGCAAGAAGGGGCAGTGTTTCTATGCTCAGAATGGTATGCCATACCTTAAATGTTTCCTGATTATGTAAAATATTTCAATGATAAAAAAAAATGGCAAATGGATTTTCAGGGATATGAATGTAGGTTTTCAAGAATTACGGAGCTTTGTGTTGGATAAGTATCTAGCTGCACGTTTTTGAAGTACTAATGTAGTCTGTAATAGGGTGTTAGTGCATGTGGTATGCATAACGCCCTATAACGTGTTTTTCAAAGCGTAACTTGTTATCTAAAAAACTAACCAATCATGCACATAAAAATTTCAAGTGTAAGTAAATTGGACAATTGTCAGATACTTGATGAAAATCCATGATGAATGTATTTGATAGAATTAAACACACCTGAAAATTAAATTAAAATTTAACACACGAGAAAAATTCTTGCCTAATGTTGCGAATCAGCAACGTGACTCTAAAATAAACAAGTGTTGTTTACTGCCTATGCTTGTTATTGGTAAAGGCAAGGAACCATGTTATTTCGGATATATAAATATATCTGCATAGCCTATTTCTCATACCTATCAACAGCATGGAAATATTTATATATGATGCACCTGAACATTATAATCAACTACCCTGAGAGTTTCAATCATAAACAATTGAAAACTTAAAAAAAGACTCACTTAACTGTCTAGTCTTTTGTCCGTTCCTGACCCTTGGCAATACAAAAACGAATCTTCTATTGTTATTGTTTAATCATTGATATTTCCAGGTTGAATTAAAAAACAGTCTTGGCTGATACTCCGCCTGTCCACCTTTATACTGAAAGTTGTTTTCTTTTTCTCTTTTTGTCTGTTTTAATTGTACTTTTCATGGTGAATAAAGATGTATTATTATTATTGTTTTTGTATAGCAAATAGCAAAAGAGATAAAACTTCATCACTTCTTGATAACGCACCAACTCCTTCATCATGTGGCATCCTGAACGAAAAAAACAAGTTTATAAAAAATATGTTTTTTCCACCTAATGTAACCTTTGTACAGCCAATGGATCAAGATGTTATTGAGACTTTAAAGCAAATATTACAGAAAAGAATTGAGGACTTCTTTAAATGTTAATCTTTAAGCGTACTGCAGGTAAAATATTGATTAAACATGTTTCTTTAAGCTATATGTATCTTATTTCCTACTTAGATACTACTCTAATGACCGGGAGTCAAAATATAAATGTATGGTTTTTTATTGGAATATTCTTACATGAAAGTATATAATTCAATTGTTCAATAAAAAAAATGAACACCCATGTCCCCAATTGAAATATATCAGTGATTTCAATATGTATGTAATAGAAAACTGCGATTTCTAACCTCAAGAGATCTTTGGTCTTTCATTGGTAATATAAATTCTTTGTTTTCCAGCTCCACCTCCTTCATATGATTCACTGTTTGGAAGAGTCCGTGAGGCTCAGAAAACAAGTAAAGGAGTTTTAGAATTTCTGAAGAATCTCATCATTATAGTTTTAGGAACACGTAAGTTCATTCTGAGTAGTTTTTTTTTTTCTGTCCTTACAACAAATTATCCTGAAAATGAGTTTTTACAAATGTGAGAAAATGTTTTCAATAGTGCTCCTGTCTAAAATGAAATCGTCCCTTTCAGACATGAAATTTAAAAGAACAATTTCACATAAATAATTTGTCTTGTTTTTTAGTTTCTTGTTTTTAAAATGTGACTATATTTTAATACAACGATAAAAATAAAAACAACAATAAAAGTTAATTGACGCTCCGGGGCGACTTCATTGATTCCAGTGGGGCATTTGCTTTTTCAGCTGCAGGAAAACCCGGAAAAACCTGCAGCACCACATCATCTGAAGATCTTGATCTACCAATGTCCTCTCTCTTATAAAACAAAATGTACGGTGTCTCCAGAGGCTCCAATAAATTCAGTGCATCGCCAGAACACTTCGTGACACGACTATCGTCAAACTTAAACCAGTCACATATATTATAAAGAAACAAAAAATTACTTGAAAAAATTGTGATACCCTTCAAAATTTGTGAAAATCAACAAAAAATATTTGTAATGAAGAACACCAGAATAAATTACGGGACTTTATCCAAATTATTATTAGCTTTTTCAAAAGTTTTGTCAATTTTTATGAGTCTACTTTGAACTGTAATATTTCAGTGAATAATTATTCAATATCTACAAACCAAAGGTAACTTAATCCTGCAAAAATTAAACACCTGGTTCAAGGAAAATTCCCTACATTTGAATAATAGAAAAACACGTTTGATAAGATTTCATGCTAGACAAAAAAAGAAATAGCCAGTTTCAACTTGAGAATTGAAGATGATGAAGTTTCCTTGGCTCTACGGTGAAGTTTTTAGGTGTACACTTGGATGAATTTCTCAGCTGGAAAATTCATTGTGGAACAGTTATATCAAAATTGAACTCCATGAATTATCTTCTGAGGAACCTTTGTAATATTTTAGACCAGAAACAGCTGATTATACTGTATCATGCTCAAGTTGAATTGCGTCTTCGGTATGGGGAGCTTCCTCTTCATGCAAAGATGTTTTTGTCGCCCAGAAAAAGATTATAAGATGTATAGCAGGAGTCTTAAGAAATACAAGCTGTAAAAGCATTTTTTAAAATTTTGAAATACTTACATTGCCATGCCTGTATATTTTCGAATTATGTGTTTTTATGTATGGTAACCGTAATTGTTTCATAAGAAATGAAAATGTGCATTCTATTGATAGCAGGTGCAAGACAGACTTTTATATGCCATATTGTAAAAATGCACTGACATACAAATACGCCAATGTAATAGGGCTCAGATTATTTAATCTGCTACCACTTGAACTGAAAAACTCTAGTACTATCCACAGCTTCAAAATTACACTTAAGTCTTTCCTACTAGAGAAAACCTATTACTCCCTTCAGGAAATCATTGAATAATAAAATGAAAAATTCAATAAATGTGTTACTCTTAGTAAATTGTCTTATTTTCAGTTTTAAATTCAAGCTCTTTTCTGACTAATCATACACAATGTACCTTTTTGATTGTCTTACAGGATAATAAAAATGATTATTATTATTATTGATGTAAATGAAATAAGCGTCATTTGAATCAGTGCACTTTTGCCAACATAAAATCGTCAATATAAAAATTCTATACTTGGGATTGGATGAAGTCGACGAAGGTCGTTTCTGTCTCGTCCTGATTAGCGAAGGTTCCACTGGTGAGAAAGTTATTGAAGTACTTGAAAACATGGTAGTCGGTAGACGAGAGGTCTGGGGAGTAAGTGAGGCGAAGCAGAACTTTCGACGCTCAATTCGTTTGATTTTTGGACGGTGATTTGTGAAATGTGCGGACGAAGGTTGTCGTGGAGCTGGATCGGACCTCTTCTTTTAACCAGTGCCGGTTGCCGCTACACAATTTTCGGTACATTTCTTATTTATTTATAAACGGATTTCACCTTTTTTTACATATGAAAATACAGATATATACTTGAACTAAATGTATACTAAAAATGGACAAATTAGCAGTACTACAGTAATAGACGGACACCTATACTACTAATCTTTTTAAGTTGGTTTTGAATGTATTTAATGTTTTTCGATTAAAATCTAAACCTCTATTGCAATATTCATTTCCTAATCTTACAAAACGTGACAAAGCACTATGATAACTATAATTTGTACGATGGTAGGGAACTTGGAATAATTCAGAGTTACGAGTAAGTCTGTTTGGAACTTTAAAATAAATCGATTGGAGTAATGAAGGACAATCAATCTCCCCTGTTAGTATCTTATGCAGAGATATCAAGTCAGTTCTTGTTCTACTACCTTCCAAGCTAGTAATATTCAGATTTTGCATAACTTGCATGTAATCGTAATCACCATATTGTAGATTCATTTTAAAAGCTATACACCTCAAAAAATTTTTATGTACTCTTTCTATTCGATCGATGTGAGTTTGATGATATGGTGACCACACTGGTGAGGCGTATTGAATAACCGAATAAACCAATGTTAGATATAACGTTCTAAAAGCCGGTACTGATAGTTTTTTAGCATTTCTAGAAATGAAACCCAATAATTGAAAAGATTTGCTGACTGCGGAGTCAATATGATGTGCAAAATTTAATTGATGATCAAATATGACTCCTAAATCGCGAATTTCAAAAACCCGTTTAAGACTGTTTTCAATTTGATAATCAAATTGAATAGGATTTTTGGACCTAGAAAATGAAATACAATAGCACTTATCAACATTCAGAGACATTCCATTATTTTGTGACCAGTTGATCAATTCGTTCAGATCAGATTGAAGACATTTACAGTCAAGGTTGGTTTTGATTGGCATATAAATTTTGAGGTCATCAGCGAAGAGAAGATATTTACAGTGGCGAAAGTTTAGAGCTATATCATTAATAAAAATATTAAAGAGAAGTGGACCCAGATGTGATCCCTGCGGAACGCCAGATGTAACCTAAATATCACTGGAAATGTAGTTTTGAATTTTTACCCGCTGTTTCCTATCAGATAAATAACTGTTTAACCAACATGTTAACCAAGTTGGAAAACCTGTTACTAATCAACAAACTGTGGTTGACTCTATCAAAGGCCTTACTGAAATCAGTGTAAATTGCATCAATTTGAAGGCCTTTTTCTAGGGCCATGGTGATGTCTTATTGATATACCAATAAATTCGATGTTGTTGATCTACCTGCAGCAAATCCATGTTGATTTTCATTTAGCATATTTTTACAATGCCACGAAATATAGTGCACAAGTAAAGATTCGAAAAGTTTTGAAATAGCTGAAAGTTTGCTGATTGGACGGTAGTTTTTTATGACTTCCTTTTTGCCACTTTTGAAAATGGGGGTGACATAACTATTCTTCCATTGGCAGGGAAATATTCCAAGCTTCAATGATAAGTTGAATATTATGCACAATGGCTTAGTTAGCGAGTAGACACATCTTTTAAGGAAATAGGCAGGGATCCCGTCCGGTCCACAACTCAAATTTCCTTTTAATGAGTTCAACCCTTCGAATACTTCAACATTACTCAATGTTATAAACGGAATATCAACCACTGCTGCAACTGCTTCGTTCATGACATTATCTAAATCCAATTCTTTTCTAGTATAGATCCTTGAAAAAATTTCGGCAAAAAGATCAACAATATTTTCCCCTGTATTAGCTATTCGATCCTCAAGATGCATATAATTAGGAAATCCATGATTTTTTCTTATTGAGTTTATATAATTCCAAAAATATTTTGAGTTGCTGATTATTTGGTTATCAATATTAGGGAAGAATAGGGTAATGGGAGTCAGCGGGTAATGGGAGTCACCCTCACATCCACGAAACAAAGTCTAGTTCTTAAACCACCAACATTTTGTAATATATTTCCAACGTGTGGTAAGAGTTATATCTTAGTTTTTTAATTCTTCAATTATTGGAATGCCTTTCCTATATTTAATAGTGAGATTTTGCTCACCTCGATCCCGGCGATGCTTTAACTCATCCTGTACTTTTTTCATTTGTTCTTGCTGTATTTTGATTCTGTCTGAAGCGATTCTGAATTTTGTATTAAGCAATCTATTTTTGAGTTTGAGAGCATGACCAACTGCATTTGGGTTTATTACCTTGTCGACCTATGCGGATCACTTTAGTTAGATCGTTGCTATAAACCCCAATAGATTCAAGTACTTGAATAGCAATTTTTTTGTCATCAGCTATTTTGGCTTCTATACCTTCAGCCTTCGATTCTTCAACATTGAACAGCATCAGATTATTCGAACGTATTGCGCGTTCATGGACCTCAGTAAGTATATTTTCCATGCCAGCACTACTTATGGTTTTCACATCATTTAATTCCCGTCTCAGCAGACTAAGTTCATCCCAGTGTTTCTTCTTCATATCTTGGACTTCTTGTTTCAGACGACTTATTTCATTTTCCAATACCGATAATTTGGTTAGAAGATGGGGTACTCACTGAATCTTTATTAATATGGATTTCTTGATAGCTAATATATCATCACATGAAGCTCTTCTATCAGATTCCAATGATATTAAATTCACTTCACTTTATTCGCAATGTCCTTAGAATAAGAGATTATAAGTGAGACCAGTAAACACCTGTGTACTGCACAAAAAAGAATTTCGTCGATTTCCTCACAATAGGACTCTGCTATAATGGTTTGGCCTGGTTGCAGAAAGTTATAGTGAATCATGAAAGCCGCTGACACCATACATGTTTTTTTATAGGGTTTTCGCTTTTGGGAAGTGCCTGTGTAGCTCATCAAAGTTCAACCACTGTCCAAACGTCTCCTATTGTCTTAGAGGATCCCCTTTTCATCACACGTTTTGGTTGCGCAAAAATAAAGAAGAACAGACCTCGAGTTGTGACAATTTCTGTCAATCATTGAAATCGTAAGGCAGCTAATTTTCGACCTGTCCAACCTTTTCAATACGTTTTAAACCACTGTAAACCGTATGGGAGCTGACCTTCAGTTCTTCCGCCATCCCACACACCATTTGTGTGTCTCCCATCAGGGTTCTTAAATCCTCGTCCGGAATTACTGTAGGTCGACCACTTCGGGGCTCATCTTCGAGCTAAAATCTTCGAAATAAAATTTCGCAAAGCAACGTTGAACATTGCGTTCATTAACACTATCATTGCTTAATGCCTGGTTGATTGATTAATTACAAAATTATCGTCCAATATCATTGATTTCAACATTGGCAAAAGTATTTGAAAAAATGTTGGAAATAAGAATTGATAAATATCTTGAAAAAAATAATATTCCCTCTGAAATGAAATTTGGTTGCTGCAACAATATATCTACTGAGCATGCGTTTTGTCACCTCACAATTAGAATTCATGAAGCATTTGAATTGAAAAATAAATGGTTTTCTTGGTATGAGTTATAAATTGTTAAGGAGTAATCTACAAAATCGAAAACAATGTGTTGTAATTGGGGACCATATCACTTAAAAACCATATTATGTATAATCTTTGATGTGTGCTTTTGGTAAAGTTGCTCTATCTGGACTCTTCCATTTCCAATACAATTGGCCGTGATGAAAACAGATTATTCCACAAAATCCTATATCTTTTAGCAAATATCATAGTATGTTTGAACTAATTTCAGATTATTATCGTTTTTCAAATTATTTTTTATTCCTTCCTCTGTTTACAAACCAGATTCTTCAGTTATGGTTTGAAAGAACTCCCTGCCTTGAGTAACAATTTTATTGAATTTTTGACAATATCTGAAATGAATTTTTGGAGTCGGAGTCGGAAACTCTCCAACTCTATAAAAATTTGACCTTCAGGTTTGTTTTTTGAAGTTTATTTCCCTTTGCGAAGCACTGTAATCACTTCTCATTACAGTTTTGGTGTGTGGGAAAAGTGTTATTGTTGAAGTATAATTGTCAGTTGAATCTAATATGATTACCTATATTTCACATCCAAAAGTTCGAAATTATATGAAAATGTAGGACGATATTGAGAGAAATATCTAATTGAGTCATCCAAGGTCATACTCAATCAGTTTTTTTCCGCTCTTTCTGCTTACGAGAAAAAATATGAGTTTTTTTTTAAAACTGACTTCAAAATTCAAATAGTTTTCAAGATCATGATCAAGGTCAAGTCTAAAGTTGGCGTTGAGTACTCGAAAGTAAAATGTGAACATCTTATACATTTTCTTTTCCTCACCATATAGTATCTTTGACCCTCAAGTGATTTTACTTTCCCAATTGAAAAAAATTACCTTGATTTCTAAAAAATATTCAAGATCAAAGTCAAAACCAAGATCACCATCCGGCAAGTCTTTGTTTTCTATAGTTCCACATTTTCAAGTAATTGAACAGTATCGATACTTCTGGACCACCCAGCAGATATACATACATATTCGTTTAATAATACTATTGACTTTTCATTTTGTTTCAGTTGGATGTACAATAATATTAGGTGTTACAATAGTTATTCCAATTTGTATGATTATAATGGGGTCCATTTATTTACATGATTGTCCCCAAGGAGAATATATTCCTGTGTACTTATTAGTTGGAGGTAAGTAATTAACAGCATTTAAATTCGTATTAATAACTAACTACAGATAATAATGATAAAGACTAATAGAATTGGAATGTCATAAATGAAAATCTTATAATAATATGTCATTTTCAAGCAAAGCAAACCTAATGTCGTAGCACTCATGGACTTGGATACTATTAGTTAATTACAAAGTTGTAGCAATAACTACATCCATCTAATTCATCTAAAACACTTGCAGGTATATTTGGGATAATAAAGCAACTTTTGCATTTGTCAGCTAGAGTAAGACAAACAGAAGAAGAGAGACAAGAAGAGAATTTAAGGCAATCTCCCACCCAAACATTATTGAATTGTTTCATGCTCGGGTGGTTTATTATAGGTAAGTGCCACAACTCTGTACCTCTATGTTAGTGCCAATTTATTTCTGATTTTGAATCAGTGAGAATGCAGTATTATTTGCTTATGATGTCAATCAATGGAATGTTTCAGTTAACTATGTTTTGCACAAAACCATTTGATGATACATTTCAGTTTAGGTTAACCAACTGAATATCTCTTCGAACATTTCTATAAATTTTTTATAGAAGGTCATTCAAACTTGAATTGCAGTTGCACTGAAAAAACAGTTATGTCAATGTTCCTTATTTTCTCAAAAAAAAAAACCTAATTTCTAGTTGGTCCCTGATCTGAGTGCATTTTTGAAGTGAATTTGAAAAGCACAGATCATTGTCCTTTTACCATTTTTTCATATCTTCAGAACAGTTTATCTAGTAGTACCTGTTACTACCCTTGCTGAAATAAGGTAGCTTGTTAACTTTAGTGTTGTATGATCTGGATGTTTTGATTTGTTAGATTCTACCACAATTTTCTCAGTTGCTATAATTTCTTTTTTCTAGAACTTGGTCGCCTCATTTTTTTCAGTCTCATGTTTTTCATTACTAATCTCTTTATCTCCTTTATATTGGGTTGTGAATATCTCGGTTCATCAACGAACTTCAAAAGTATTTCTTTATCTACATTCTGCCTTTTCACTTTGGTAGCAGAAATTTAACATGTTACTTTAGCCGTATATCTTTTTCTTCCTTCTTATTCTGTAGAAACTATTAGACCGGGAGCCCGTGACAGAAATTTTGACCCCATTTTTTTAACTTCGGCCTTTTTCAGAGAACATATTCATAGCCACAAGCAACAGTATTAAGCTTTAAACGAATTTTTTGCCCATGTTACACATGCTTAAACATTAACTCTAGTTAGCAAAAAAAGCTTTGACCAACATTTCACCGTCTGCCATTCATGCAACCGGAAGGCTAGGTTATGCAACTCACAAAAAAATAATTGGCAGCTAAGTTTTTATAATACACTCTCAACAGTTTAAAANGAAATATCTGTCAAATGAATAATATCTCCAATATTATATGAAAATTTGAATATATTATTTCTAAAATGCATCCTTCAGCTACGTAAACTTTCTCATTTGAGTATTTTTTTTATAATAAGAAAAAAAAATCTCATAGAATTGAAATATATTATAATTGTTAATGATTTTCAGGTTCCGTTTGGGTTTATAAAGAATACCAACCCAACTATGATCCCACTTACGCTAGATATTGTAACAAAAATTTATATTTATTCGCCTTTTGGCTAATCACGTCTGTGTATATACTTTTAGGTGTGATAGTTGTATGTTTATGTTCAATCAGCTTAGCTACTGTGGTTTTTCAAACAAATCAAAGAGATGAAAATGAAGTGAATGCCAATCGCCTGTGGTAGTGAATGTAAAAACACAAATATATTCTAATATTGAGCATATACGGGGTAAAAAAATTGAACTGTGCTTCAATAATCTGAAGAAAGAATGTTTTCGAACTAATTAAAATGAAATAAAATTTCGAGCCCATCAATCGAAACTTGATAGGTAGAATTAGAATCTCTAGTGTAAAATGAATCAAATGAAAACACTTTTATTAATAATAACGATTTATTTTCCCAAGACACATACATGCTTATAAAAGGAAAAAAAAAAACAAAACTTCAATATAACCAAGTACGAATAGAGCAAAAAAAAAGATAAATCAGAACTGAGACTTGAAAACAAAATATATTATTGAATATACTTTTAACATTTGGTAGTTCATTTTGAAACTTGATAGCTTTATATTGAATCGAAATTTGCCTAACATTTATTTTCATTTTTAATATTTTTAGATTGCCTGAATATGTTGTCGAATGGTCACCATTATGGTCAAGTAAGGACGACAAATCTGATAGATTTTTTGTTTATATAAGTTGATTGTAGGCTCCTTGTAGTATTGCTTGAATATACACTTTATAATTCCATTCTTAATGAGTCAGTGGGCTATGCTTGAAGACTGGCAGTAAACAAATCTAAAGAAATGAACTTTAAACAAGTGGCCATCATCGAAATAAAGTCAATGAAATTCCATAATTGAAAATCGGAATTCTTTCAGAGTATTTCATTCCTCTTCCTAAGTTGGAGCGAACAACAAAATGTCACTCCATCTAGTGGACAAGATACTAACCAACTGCACATCCGAAATTTGCCCGATTCCTCTGAATAAGGAAGAAAAACTTTCTTATTAGTCAGTGGGCTATGCTTGAAGACTGATGGCAGTAAACAAATCTGAAGAAATGAACTTTAATCGTTCCAACCAGTCTCGGATATACCTACACAGTAGGTTGAATGGACTGACGCCTATCAGGTTAGTATCAGGTTAGGCTGAAAGTTTTGTTACATTTTATGGCATTGAAGCCATAATGATATTTGACCAAGGTTTCTTAAAATATTAATTTTAGTTTCTTGTGCACTATTTCCATTGTAAGTCAAAGTTGTCCATCCGCAAACACTCATAATTTATCAAATAGCGAATGAATTGAAATATATAAGAAACAAAACAGGTCCCAGTATAGATTCGTGCGGTACCCCACATATTACTTTTTTTTACTAATTATGTCACCCGTATAGCCATATTGCTTTCTATTCAATAAATAATTTTGAAACCAACTTGTAGTAACGAATAACTAGTTTGGCTTCCAGGTATCCCTTATCTCCACTGCTGTCATCAAAATTGATCTGCGCCATATTGTAAAAAATGTTGACGAGTAAAGTTATGAGTTAGGAATTCATCCTCTCGTTTCTTTAAAAGTTTATTACAAAACTAAAACTCGGATACCTATATTCTGCATTATATTCCAGAAGAATTTTATGGTCCAATGTCAAATGCTTTCTTTAGGTATAATGAAATACTCATCTAATATTATCACATCAGACCAAAAATTGTGTCTCTGGATGCGCATTTGGCTAACGAATTTAGCAAAGAAATAAAACTTTTAGTCGTCTCCTGATGATGCTATATTGGTGAGTGGAACGTATGTCGAGAGACAGTATTTTGTTTTGGTGTGGAAAAAGTGTTTTCAGTACATTCATTTCAAGCCAGAGGTTTTAATTCTGCCTGTCAATAGATATCCAACTTTGATATAACCTTGCAAAAAAGAGGAAAGTTTCAATTGATTCAACAATCGCAAAATGAATAACATTTTTAATCTTTTCGCAGTTCTTCTATTGGTTATTCAAAATCGAAGAACTGAGATGGGTATGTGCTTTGCTGCTGAAACTGCAATTGTTAAAATGTTTCATAATGTTCGAACACCTTTCAAACATGTACTTGGTACACAAGTGCTATTTTTGGAGGAGCCCCTAAAAAAGTTTAATCAGGTATTTTCTACTATTGAGATAAGTTGATAAATTAATCGTTTCCTAAGTATAATGGTAGCATAAAGACTCGTAAGATAGGTAAAGAACAACTCTTGTATCTAGATGAAATAATTTGTTTACGAATGAATTTCATTTCAAATTGTGTACACATTTTATTCAAAAGAAGGCATTTTTATGTTTATTTTAATCAACCAAATTGAAATAAAATATGTGAATTGATCATCTTAATTACCTCTTCATTGAATACGTTATATTTTACTGCTATATGAACATTACAAAAATTCAATTGCCAAAAGTGTTTGATAAATGATGAAGATATATATCCAAGGAGGAAAAATGAAGACCAAATGTTCTTTACCCATTTTACAATATATTTAATTGTTGATTCTTGTGTATGTTGATAAACTGCTTCATTATCCTGTTATGATATACTATATTTATTATAAAATATGGCTCTTAAGAAGTTGAAAGTGCGGTATTTTGTAAACTACGAATGATAGCTTTATCATATGACGAGTCGAGTCAACTAATATTATGGTAGTGAAATTGGTAGTGAATAGGCTTTACCAAGTAGTTTCGATTTTGAGTGGAAATATTTTTCAAACTATAATTGGATACCACCAATACAAGATGCCTATAGAGAATAATCCATCAGTTTATCGATTTTCCACATATTTTTGAATATTTTCTGACTACTGACTTTTGGAAATATTTTTATATAGAACTTACCGAGGTCCTCAAAAACGTATTTGACTAAATTTTGTATTTCATTTCTTTTTCATTCCAAGCAAATTTTTATTTTTCTCAAATATATTTTTTGAACCATTGGGTTCATAAATAAATGTAATGTGGTCCCCAAATTTGAGTTTTTTTGTCAATAAATATACCAAAAAATTTGTTGCATAATGTATTCCCAATTACACTAGCATTTGAAGCTGAGGGAATATCATCCACACCACAAATGAAAGATAATATATTGGTTTTTAAAATATTGAATGCTGAGAGATTTGCCTGACACCAATCATTATCTGAGCAAATGCCGTTGTGAAGTTCAGTAGTATTACTTTCATGCCATAAAATTGAAGTGTCGCCTGTAGATAAAGTGAATTTACCCTCTATATCAATGGTTAAGTCGTTGATGTAAAGGAGAAATATGGTGAGGCCTAGTATTGAACCTTGTAGCACTCCGTGAGTTATATGAGACATTTCAAATGAAGTAGAAGATTTAACCAATGACTTAATCGGAAAAAACAAAGACCTAGCAGCATTATTATTGTATTTTTCAATTTTAAACCTTGGAGTAACCTGGAATCTGAATATATGTATTTTGAAATTCAAAAGTAAAATATTTTTCTTTAGTATCAACAATCAAGCTATTAACGTATTTAGCACATTGCCAATTTCACTATTCAATGGCACTTTATAGGACCTCTATCAGTTTTATTAACTAAAGGCTTTTTGCCTATGTACTCCTCACTAAAAAATTGACTTTCTGTATTTGGACATTCTTGTTAAATCTTCCCGGCAGACATTTGATAATAGAAAATGAAATGAGAATAATTGTGATCCCCACAACTCAATTGCAATTTTCAGATGTTATAAGATGTTATTTTATTATTTGAAAGAATATATTTGTGTTTGTGCTTTGACAACAGTTTTGAAAAAGAAACAATCAGTGCCTGAAAGTATCTGTTCATGTCCTATATTTTTAACATAACAGGCATTTCTTGGGATATTACCATTAATTATTCATAAAATACGTTTGACAGGTATTGACAATGAACATACTTCAAAGAACTGAATTGTTTTTTTTTTTTGTTGTAAAATTATGGCTGTGGTATTTTTGCATTCCACGGATCTGATTCGAGTCGATTTTATTTTTTAATGTATGGTTTGAGAAAATTAATGCCATGTTTTATCTGTGATATCTAATTTTATAATTGCTATCCTTTTGGAATTTTTGGGAAGGTATTCTATTTAAATTTCTATATTTTTGTTACAATTACTTTATACAGTTTTGGATAGTTGGTTTAACATCATCATGAGATTTTAGGTAAGACTCATTAGATAAATACTCTTACTGTTTAATTATTTATCAGTTCTGTAGAATCTCAAAATACACACATAATGAAGTCCCATTCAGATGGTAAGTTGCGTTTAATTATATATACAAGGCAGCCCAAACGGGTACCTCCACAAATTTTTGTTAGATAAGATTCTCCAAGACCTATCAGAATCACCACCATAGATTAGATTAGAGTACTTTATTTGACCATTTTACATACAGTTGTACATTTAGATAAGTCACAAATACAGAAATCCTTGATATGTTATGAGACTTATTGTAGTTTCCAAGTTATGAATTTTTCAGAATCTCTATAGAAATTTTGGCAGAACTGACTTTTTAAATTTTTATCACAGGAGTAGTCTTTGATATTTTTTTTGACATGATCTTGATGAATAATACGATCTGAAATTACCTAACGATATGAAAATGTTCATTGATATTGAAGAATTCACATTTTCACAAGATAAAGTTAAATTCTCATATCATATCATAAGGATCATGTAACAAAAAAATCGATGAAAACTAAAAAAATATTTGGGCTGACCCGGTAGAAAAACAGAAATATTGAAAAAATTGATAACTTGATAGGACTTGAGATCTCCTATCTGAAAAAAGTATTTTGGACATGTCCGTTCGGGCCATTCTATATTTTTTATTTACTTTTGTTATAAAATGAGAGACTGTGTGCATCTCTATTGGGATTTGTAACTAATTAGACTTTTTTTTTCAAATCCTGTTACTTTTTTTAGTGGTTTAAAACAGTTGTCAATACCTATTCAATGTACAAGTGAAATCATAAAGCATTTTGATATCTTGTGACTCCCATGTAAATTATGATAATAACTGATGGTACACCATTGGATAGTTTTAAGGTAGAGATTTAAACTCCAAAAAGTAAATGATTAATATTTTGATACCATACTGCTCAGCTGAATAGATGTTAAGGTTAATTATACCCCAATCAGCTTCCATTTTCATCAGTGTTGACAATGGAACTTTCCACTGAAATTGTATAACCACATAGGTGAAAACTATATGCATAATAATAGCCTGTTTTATGTCTTTTAAAATATTTTGTCGGTGGATTTTTCATAATCGAGGAGAAACGATGGTCGTGACATCACTAACATTTGATATGAACTTGGCATCAACGTAAAACTTGTTGACAAAACATATCCCAAACACAGTGCATTTGTGTTCCAACACCAGGTAGCGCTATTTCGACCTGTCATAGGTCTCCTCAGTGGTGCTAGGCCGAACCACAAATGCATTGGTTGACTCAACTGTCCTTAATGGACAAGCCTAAGTGAAGAAAGGCTATGACATCTCCTGTTACGAAGACGCTGTCTGTGAGATCGACTCAATCCTCGAAAGAAAAACGAGGTTTCCCAAGCGGTCATCCCGTAGATGACGTTCTCATAAGGGGAAATATCGCCCTTCTCTACCATAGCACTAATTGAATAGTTATGTCGAATATTTATTCATATACATTTTTCTGCTTTACAAATCATATACATTTTGGAACGTGGTTTGAAAGGGGGTAAGTATTATTGAGTAGTAACGTTGTCATATTCAAAACTTTGATTTTCCTTTGCAGTGGAAAAATTTGGGTGTTACTTTTTTTCTTGAAACCCAACCTAAATGGATAAAAATAAATATTTTACAAACTATTACAAAACTACTTTTACATTTGAATGCTGAAATGACTCACTTGTATGTAGAATAAGGATTCAATTTAATCTAAAATAAAAAACTATAATCGGTAACCAAAGACTAGCAGAGGTGCACTTTATTTGTAAAAGTACCGATTCTATAAGATACTGTGTGAAATAATCAGCAGTTACCCCATGATACCATGCTGTCGCAAGAATTGAATTATTCTTGGCAATTATGAGATAATTTCGCTGAATTCAAAGAATCCATGTTCAAAATTTTGATTTATTTCCAACAATACTCGCCTACAGACAGCATTTTCACTTTTGTTTTCTGGCGTAAACATGTACAAGTGTTTCGAATTTATTACTAGAAAGCAAGCTACATGTAATTGACTGCCAGAAAAGCAGGATTCTTTGCGGCAGATGCCTCGTGCTATGTAAACCTACCAATGGATAGCGCCACTCATACAAAAAAGGCTTCGTATGATTTACAATGATCTGGGATGTTCCTGAAAGTTCCAAAATGTTCCGGAATATTCCAGAATGTTTCGGGATGTTCTGAAGTGTTGTATGCTCTCAAATATTCTGGACCGTCCTAGAAACTTATAAATGGCGAAATTTCATCCCTCATGTTCGAAAGAACGCTCGTCAAGTAAAAACAAAAACCTTCTTCATGGATGGGGAATAGTGGTTCTTCACACCATGTAACTTCCTTGATCATAGCGGAACTTCTTTCTTAGTTTTTAGCGGCATGCACATTGTGTACTTTTATAGTATCTATTGTTGGGAAAGAAAGGTTTCCTTCCTACTTCCCCATATAAAGATGAAGTAGAAAGACAAAACATTTCTTTCCCAAAAATTAATCTCTCCTAAAATTATACCCCCATTCAATTCAAAGTATATAATGATTACAGCAAGCTACGACACTTTATGTGATGGAATTGGCCAATACTTGATGAAAATTCATAACATATTCAAGTAACACTTTATTGTGAGATTTTCACTAAACAGTGTGCAAAGCTGCAAAATGTGTTCATACTCGGTATGATAATGTAGTCTTACATATACCAGGATTCATTGAATGGGAAGCGAATTTTAAGAAAAGATTTCACCATAAACTTGTTCAATTGGTACTTGAAAATTTTTATATTACGAATTACTCAGTAGTGTTTCTCATCTATTTTTTTCAACTTCGAGAAATCCAGCGAAGCTGTTCTGCTTTCCTCTTCTAGGGCTTAACTGTAGAAGCATTTATAGATTACCATATTTGACATGAACATGAAACTTGTATAAACCACCAAACTATGTATTGGATTTGAATTCATTCTTTAAACTCAAAATTAGCCGTTTCGTTCATTCTGTCAAAAATAATACGAAGAAATCAAACTTGAATTGGACATATTCTTGCCACAAGACAAACCAAATTACTGTAAAAAATTTGGAAAAAAATCAGTATATCACGATGGGATCATTATATATAATTCAATTCCAGAGAAAATAAAAGAAAACGATTCCATTACAAAATTTAAATATCAATTGAAAAACAAATTCCAATTAGCGGAATTTCATAATTTGCATTTTTTCCCCCAAGCCTGAAATTGGTTTTAAACGGGAACTTCTGAAACCAATTTTATATTTGACTTCATTTCATTTTTTTTTCTTTGTTCATTGTAAACTATTTTATTTCTGTTATTTTATAATACTTTGCAGTTAGTAGTTATAGTCCCTAAGTATAAGCATTAATTGGGACAGTAAACTGAAATGAATTTAAAAAAATACCAATTATAGATAGATATTTATTTTCAGTTGATACACGAAAGTGTTTACAATCGTCAATTTAAAAAATGAATTGTTGATTTTTCAATATTTAAAGCATAACTTGGACCAGAGTGTTCATTTATTTGCATTTATATATTATATACAGTGCTAACGGTAATAGTCCCCCTCTCTTAACTTCCAAGCAGTACAAGATATCAAGGTCGGACAAAATGTACGTGAAAAAGTACATTTTCTAGTACTCTTCAATAAGAAAGAGAATAGTGTTGTTGCATCACTCGTCGCCGAGAGGGCGCTATCAACATTTTTTTTTAAGTGAAAGGGGGCGTTTTGTGTGTCCTAAACTTCACTTCATTCCAGTAGATGTTTGAATTGGTCCCCATTCACTTAACAATAAAGAGTAACTTTCGCGGTCTTTCAGTAGAAAGGAAGAGGCAATGAACATTAAGTAGTAAAAATCTGGCTACTTGCCCTTATTTGTACATAAATACGGTCATTTATTCCAATTGAAAGAAACTAAGCCACACCCACCAATGATGATATAAAACCAGCTTTGTAGTTTATGCATTGAGAACAACTCAAGCACTTCGACAGTGTCTTTGATAATGGCTACCGCAGTAGTAGACGAAACGACAGGCATAAAAACCTGCAGACCACGGCCGAAAAACCCGGAAAATAGCTTTGACACAACAATGGAGTTTGTTTATAAAATTTTATGGAATGTTTGTCTTATTATAACCATGTGTTCTGGAATACTCTGCGATTTATTAAAGTATACTTCAGATTTCACCACCAATCCTCACAAAATCTAAGGGTCTCATATCAGGTAATGCAGTAGGTCATTCTTAGAGACCGCGTCTACCTATCCACTGTATTGGATAATTGTTATCTAGTCACTTTCAAACCAGCTCGTCGTAAATAAAGAGGTCCCTCTTTTTACTGAAACCTAATGTCAGTTGAAAACTCGTTCGGATTTGACAATTTCCCAAACCCGTAGACAGGCAATTGGTGATCCCACAAGATCACCTTATATAAATAACACCTCTAGATATTTTTGTGGGAATAAACGACATCTGAAGTGCACACAACCGCAATTCATTTCAGAACTCATGGATAGAATAGGTGTTTGTTACGATATTACCCCAAAAACAATACCTATATTATGTAGAAAAACATACTTCATTATTGTCAGTGAGTGAATGATGAACATTTTTAAGGAAGGATTGATAAAATCTAAACTTTAATTTACACAACCGCATGGTTAGAATAAGAGGTGCTCCTAATGAAATTAAACCAGAAAAGAACAGAAATAATCGCAGGTTTCTTCAGAAAAAACAATGTGGAAGTAGCATTCAGACCATGTGCCAGGTTATCTCATTTCCTTTTCAATGCCAAAGTCGACAAGTTGGAAAAATCTGGAGTTTATAAGCTTAAATGTCCGGAGTGTAATAGTGTTTATGTGGGACAATGCGGACGAAATTTCCAAAAACGGTATGCTGAACATGAAAGGTCCTTCAGACTAGGAAAAAAGATTCGACGTTTTCAAACCATTCCTTGGTTTGCAACCACAAGTTTCTTATCTAAACAATACGGAAATTCTGCACTATGCAAGGAAGGGTTGCAAACTCAATTATTTAGTATCCTTGGAAATTTACAAGCATAAACATTGCGGGTGCAACCTGTTAAATGATCAAATCGATTTAATTTACTCTCCGGTTTTTAAATTGGCACATGCGCATTGTGAACTGTAAATTCAGGTACTCTCAAGTACCTGATTGGTATATTATATTGGCGAGTGTAATGAATCGTTGTTAGTTTATTGTATAAGTTTGAGAAGTTCATATAGGACGAAACTGCAGTAACGTTAGTTACAATTAAAAGTGGTAAAAAAACATAGAAATTTTCATTTCTCTTTTCATTATGATCTACCACGTAGTAACGGCTACATCCATCAATTTACAGAAAAGTTTCATAATGAACTTGTAAACAAACTTCATTATTGTCAGGCAGTTAATGGTAACCAATTTAATATTTACTGGAATTAACTGAAGTGAGTTTAAAATACTTTTTTCTTAAAATTAGGATATTTTTCATTTGTAAAATCATTTAAACTAATATAAATCAATTTATGTCATATTAGACAATGGAAGTCCGAATGAATGAAATGCACCTTGAAACATTGTCAATTACCTTCAAACAAACGTTAATATAAAATTGTTAATTACTCGATTTCCAACAATGAAAAAGTATTGAATAGAGAATTGAAATATCTGTCAAATGAGTTATCATAAGATCCCACTTTCTATTTGCAAAAAAAAAGTTGGTAGCGCCCTTTTGGCGACGAGTGATGTGACACTATTGTCATTATTTTCAAACAGTACTAAAAATTATACCTCTTACTTAAATTTTGTCCGACCTTGATATCTTGTGTTGAAAAGATGAGGGTGGGTCTATTTACATTCGTACTGTATAGGTATCTTTGAGTGTGAACTCAGAATCTGACACGAATTCTGCTCAGTAGTCGAGATCTATTTTAGAATCAGAAGATGATCAAAATCATACAAAGTAAACAGTTAATTTAACAATATATATATAATAACTTGATCTGTATGTAACATCATTCATAATTTAATTATTTAATATTCGGCTAAAAAGCACAAAACATTTGTTTCTTATTAGTCAGTGGGCTATGCTTGAAGACAGGCAGTAAACAAATCTAAAGAAATAAACTTTAAATGTTCAAGCCAGTCTCGGATATACCTACACAGTAGGTTGAATGGACTGACGCCTATCAGAAAACAACTACTCCACTGGCTAATACCACGAACGGCGTTGGATTATATCCGACAGGCGTCAGTGCAGGAATCTTCGCAGAAATTTCCTGCATATGCAGTTGGCAATACAACTGAAAGAGTCGACTTTCAATTTTGGAACAGGCACACTTGCAGACCGGTTTCGGGCTCCTTAGCCACTCGTAAATGCAAGATAGAAACTGACTTGGAACATTTAAAGTTCATTTCTTTAGTGCCTGTCTTCAAACATAACCCACTGACTAATAAGAACGTTTTTCTTCCTTATTCAGAGGAATCGGGCAAATTTCGGATATGCAGTTGGTTAGTACCTCGTCCACTAGATGGAGTAACATGTTTGTTGTTTGCTCCAACTTAAGACGAGGAATAAAATACTCTGAAAGAATTTCGATTTTCAATCATGGAATATCATTGACTTTAGGTCAACAGAATGATTGGAAATATGTTCATTCAATATTTTTAATTCACTGGATTTCTCGATTATAAATTGCATTCTGTTGTGTGTTCATTTTATCTTAAGGTAAGAAATATCTGCTAATTGTCCCAAGTGTCGTCTGATTTTTATTGGTTACTTGTCTTCAAGTGGAGAAGTATTATGTTGGTTTTTGATTTTTTTTGTTCTATTGTTACTTAACAAATGTTTTCATAAACTATTTGGACATTCATAAGCTTTTTTGAGATGTGGCTATGTTGTAATCTACGAACAATTAATACAAGACTGTTTTTCGTTAATATGAGTTTCATTTCATAAACTTTTTTTTTCAGGAAGTGATACCATCTGATCATCAATAATGTATTATTTGAACCAAAATACGCAACGTGGGATCTATCAATAATAAGTAGAAATATTACTATGCCCTTTATTATAAAAATACATATATACAAAAAACTTCATATCAATATTTCAATAACAATTTCAAATATATCCATTTCTATTAAACTAAATTTGGAAATAATTTTAAGAGTAGAATTGTCGAATGAAAAAAAATTATCTAAACTACCTTGTAGTGATTTTCCTTAGAAAATTTGTCAGGTGTAATGAAATTTATTTCTTTACATACAGTAAACTTGGTAATCAGAAAATAAATTTAAAAAATCATTTATTGTATCAAACTGAATATTAACATTCAGTTGAACCGTAATAATGATAAGTGGAAGTTTACCTTTCCGAAAGAATAAATATACAACCATTCAACAAAATTATACTTCACTAGTGATTATGGTTTAGAAATAGTTGATATATCCAACAGAAGTGAGCATATTCAAAGATGATAATTACAATAATAAATCTAGAACTCCAATTTGAATTTTGCCACAAGGGATAGATGATCAGAGCCTAGTTGTTTGTTGGGAATTCTGACTTCATCCAGTTCATCTTTGGTTGGTAACCTATACCGAGATATTAACTGTAATTTCCCTTCACTTTTTTCATTTTTCATGCTGGAAATAAAAAGTTATTTGAAAAAAAAATTACAAAACTATTTGCTGCATATTCTATCATTATGTTAACCATTAAAAAATCTAGTAAATTTTTTGAGCAGACCAAAAAAAGCAATCGTTTAATTGAATCATGTCGCGGTAGAGAAATAGATGGATTTCACTCCAATTCATTTCAATAACTATTCAAAATGTTCATCATTCCCTGACAATAATGAAGTCTGTTTACAAATATTTTTTTCACATTATGAAACATTCCGGGGGTGATATCATTGCAAGAACCTCTTTTTCCATCCACGTGTTTTAAAATGATTTGCAGTTGTGTATCGTACAATTCAGATGTCACATATTCCTTCAAAAACAATTAAAGGCGTCATATCAGGTGATCTAGTGGGCACTCCTAAAAAGTTACGTCTGCCTATACCGGTTTGGAAAATTGTCAAACTTGAATGAGTTGTCAACTAATTGTAGATTTCAGACAGACGAGGTACTTTTTTATTACAACGAGCTGGTTTGGAAGTGGTTAGACAAATATCCATACCAGTGAATAGGAAAACATGGTCCATTGAAATGAATCTACTGCATTACCTGACATGACACTCTTAGATTTTTGTTTAGAATAACAACTGAATAGAGAACATTGCTTTTTGTAAGTAGCTGTTTAGAGAAGGCTTTTTCTTTCACTTTGTGTCTGAAAGTTACTTTTTGCATGATCTACACATCTTTGTATAGAGTTACTTATTTTCAGATTGATTACTTCCTTCCTTTTTTTTTTGGAAGATTCTCTCATCCTTTTTTTTGTATCAGATGGAGTAGTAGAAAGCCAAAAACTTTCTTTCCCAAAAATTAATCACTCCCAAAAATATAACCCCTTCAATTCAAGTTTATCATGTATTTATATCAAATATATGTCGAATTATTTTTTTGAAATTGATTGCTTTCTTCCTTTCTTTGAAAGATTGTAACGGTTTCAAAATCGCTACCTTCTTTCTTTATACCTACTCCCATCTCCACTGTTTAAAAGCTGGTAGGGCATTTGAGAAGGTAATAAGATTCCAACATGTTTTTGTATCAAGATGGAGAAATAGAAAGCCAAAATCTTTCTAAAAATTAACCTCTTGTTAGGAATGCCTCACTGGCTAACAACGATATTAAAACACTTATAACACCACCAACTTTATAACATTTATTAGTCTATTCAACAACAATGTCAGTTTCAGACTGCCCCACTTAAACATATTTCAACACACAAAGGAATGTATCATCCTCTTATGTAAACTTATCAGGTGATATTCAGGGCTGTCCCATCCAGTACTCCCAACAAGATAATGTCCAGGGCTGTACGGAGCTCTGATCCTAACGCACTCCCTAACACTCTCTTAAAAATATACCCCTTTCAATTTAATCAGGATTCCCAAAGTTTACTTTACACAACCGTAGTGTCCAGAGGTCATGATTAAAATAAGAGGTGCCTCTAACGAAGTTATCCCAGAAACATTCCATATCGAATTTGCAAACACACTTCATCATTATCAGGAAGTGAATGGTAACCAATTTAAACATTTTCTGGAATTAATTGAAGTAAGTATAAACTACATTTCTTCTAAAAATTATGATATTTATCATTTGTGAATACTATAAACTAATATAAAACTGCTATTTAGCCAGGAACGGCTGACCCAATTTCCAAAAATGAAAAAATTTTGGAGAATTGAAATACCTATCAAAGTTATCACAAGATCTCCCTTTCTATTTAAGAAAAAAGTTGATAGCACCCTCCTGACGTCGAGTGATTCAGCACTATTGTCTTTTTATCAAAAACTACTGAAAATGGTACCTTTTAACTTAAATTTTGTCAGACTTTGAAATCTTGTTCTATTCAAAAGTCAAGAGAGGGAGAGGACTATTTACTTCTACACTATACTTTGTCTGAAGAATGAGTTCTTATTGACAAAGTATAAATAAAAATACTTAAAGTGTGATATTACGTGGACAAAATAAATATATGCAAATAACAATTTGATAATACAATCAGTGACAGCTCGTGCATTGGAGAACAGGGGAGGCTTAAGTCATATAGACTATATACACACAGAAAAGCCTGCCGGAGGCGCGAAAATATTTATGTTGTTGCAAGCTTTGCTTAATACTAAAGTTAAGGCATGGGCATGACAATGCGTAAAAAGTGCATGAGGAGCTATGGACTTTATTTTAGTTTGTAAACCATTTAAATGGCCGGCCATGACCGCAGCCCCATCATAGGTTTGCTCAATTAACTTTTGCCTAAAATTATAGGTGTCACACGTACGAATAAAAAAATTAAACAAATCGTCAGCTGTGCGCCCAGATGAAACATCATGAAAACCAATTAAACGTTCTACCACATTACCATCTTTGACATATCTAAAAACGATTGAATGTTGTGATGTACAGGTAATATCGGTAGTTTCGTCAATTTCCCATGCAATCTCCTTGCTTATATTTTCCTCAATAATGTATGCCACACTGTCTATAATAAACTCATTTTGGATGGTTTTTGAGGTGCTACCGTTTAAAAACAAATAATTAAATAAAAAACAAACGCATTCTTACACTAATGGAGACCAACTGGAAGCAAGCCTCCTCTGACGCTATAATTTCTTCAACTGAAACTACAAATCGGGATGTATGTCGTTGGTTGGATCGGTCTCGTGAAAAAACACTATCACTCACGCAGTGAGTGATAGTGCATATCATGTATTTATATTGAAAATTAATGGTAATGATACCCAAGCATTTTCAGAAAAAAATAATCATAATTATTTGTCAATATCTTTTAATTTATTGCAATGAATAGCCTCAAATTTTATGGGGAGGCTAAGCCTCCCTTGCCTCCTCTGACGAGCCGCCGCTGAATACAACCACAAAACGTTCAAAAAATATAAAAACAATCTATAAAATAAAATTCTGTAACTATTATAGTTGACAAAATGGTTTAGACTTTCGCGGCTGAGGTCATTATTTTTCGAGTTTGAAAGCCGTGGATTTTTGGAATAATGACACTATTATAGTTGATCATTCAATGATGATAGTTGAGACTATCATCACAGAATTCTGCTAAGCCAGTAAGGTCTCACCAAAAGCAAGTCTTTTGAATTGCTTTGAGAATGTTATGATCCTTATGATTTCTGAAATGTGGTTGAACGTTTTGAGATCTTTCCAAATAATTGAATATTCATCTAGGGTCTAGGAAGGTAGCAGTCATTTTAAGTTGATTATTTACCTGGTCTTATACACTGCCTTGTGACAGAGTTGTTAAACAAGTTTATGCATAGGTAAACACAGATAGCACTTAACTAATGCTTTGGATATTTTTGGGTCATTGCAAATGTTTTGAAATTTATTTCAAAAACCTGAATCGATTATAAAAAGTTCATTTCTCTCACTTTTAGCCTTCCCAGTATTTATTATATATGTAAGTTTTACTCAATATTGTTTAAACTGGAAAATTTTCCCCTAATAAATGAATAAATATGAAAAACTGCAAATCACCTATAGAATATATAATCCACTGTGAGCCATTCATCTTGATGAGTTGTTCCTTCATTCATGTAAGCTCCGCCATGATTGTAAACAGATTTGAAATAAAAGTTATGTGACAAAATTCCTTTGCTGTTCAAATGACATTTTTTTGCAAGTTTAACCTTGTTGTCTCCAATTATTTTGATATTTTCCAATTCATTCCTACATTTTTCTTCGTTCACATTTGATTCGATGTTCTGCCTTATCTCAAGTTGTTCTAAACGTTGACAGGTATCTAAGAAAAGAATCATTATCATCTCAAACTTGGTATTGGAATATGGTTTATAAGGCTCAAAAAGTAGGTTTTTTCAGTTAGCATATTACTAACCTGTTATGCCTAAACGAGATGTCACCAATACCCTCCTAGATGAACTACCTAAATCTGCTTCTAATAATCTCGGTGATAAATGTTCATATTTCAGTTCTCCTTTTGTTATGAACTCGTAAAGATCGGAGTCAGGAGACGAATTGAGATCTCCTGTAACTAATACTGGTACATAGAAAGACTTTCTGAAATGATCAAAATATTAAAATACCTTGATACAGACATAAAGAACATTAGGTAAAATTAATTTGAATAAATGTAAAAAAGGGTATTCAAAAGAGATAGGAAAATACTGATCCTAATAATAATACAATCAAATATAATCTTCACCATAAGTAGGATATAAAACAGTACATTTAGGTATGATTTTGAAAGATTTGAAATTATAATGAAATAGTACATTAAAACGATACTTGGTTTCTGTTTACTGTTAATAAATATCATGACTTACATCTTATTGCAATAATAGTGCGAAAAAATAAATAAAAACTCAACAAATCCAACAATCAAATTATAAAAAAATAATGCCAATCATAATTGAACTTGATTCAAAAAACACCAAACGTTACAAATAACAAAATTTATCTTTGAATCAACTTACCCTTTTTCTATACGATAACTCATTTTTTCGATTTCAGTTAAAAGTAGTTGCATCTGAGCCATCCTCACATCATTTCTTTTAGGATTGTATAATAAATGGGTGGTAGCAACTACAAATTCTCTTGTTGGATGCAATTTGGGAACAAATTTAGCTAAGATTCCTATGTTATCTCTATTTAAAAGGGTAACAGAGGGCTGAAAATACTCCACAAATGTATTCTCAATAAGTGTAATATTCTCTGTTTTGTAGTAAATGGCACATCCATCACTTTGATTGCCCGTTCGTTTTTTGTATATTCCTTTGTAACCTAAGAATATAAACATTTCACTGTGTTCACTTGTGAAAAACAGTTTTCTTTTTGAAATTGACCACTATATTATGTGCACTTTCCCTATGATGAAATGAATGAAATAAATGATTTAGGTAAAACACTTCTTTCAAAACTATCCAACTGGCCATCATGGTTTACTATCAAAGGGTTTATAATTTTTTTTGCCAATAACGTCAAATTATCAAATTTTGGGAAAAAAGTTGAAAAACAATGAAAAATGAGCTTAAACTAGATAATTCACTACTGATAAAATATTTTCTTTTCAGTAATAACTGAACCAGAATAAAATGATTCCCTTAATACACATTCTCACCTAATGTTTCCAACAGAGAAAAGTATTCTTCAATATGGGATTCTTGGACTTCTTGAAGGCATAAAATCTAAAACATATCAATTTTATTCTTCAATAACCTTATTAATTTGTTTTGTTGCATACATCCGGGGAGAAATTGGATATTTCTTTTAATAAATTATTCCACCTTGTTTTCCATCCTAGGAATTCTCTATTATTATTCAAGTATAAATGAGGATGTTGTTCCAGTAAATCTTGAGCGAGAACGTTGTAAGACATTAATGTAAAAATAAAGCCAGGCTTGCTGCTTGGTTTTTCACGGATTTTCTCCCAGAACCTCAATGACATGATTCCATTACCTATATGAATGAAAAAAGAAGGATTATAACGAAATAAAAGTTAATAAATCTAATGTAACACCAAAATTAAGCTCAATATCTCAACACTAAAATTGAAGTTTTAGTCTTTTTGATTCAACTAAAGTGCAAGAGACAATATCACAACAATCACAAATTTTAATACAGTTCATGCCCCCGTTTATAAAAAGAAGGCAATTTTTTTGCGATAGTTTGTACACAAAAATTATAGAAGTATGTGTTCTGCTAAAAAAACATAAATTTCTGTAATACTGAAATATAGTTTGATCCTCTAGGTGGGTATATTTCATCAGAAATATTTTGACCTTATAAAGGATTCTATATATCAGAGTTGTATATTCCATATTCTGCTCGTCAGAGCATACAAATCAGTAAAATTTCTGTAACTTTCTACAATAAAGCCGTATGCACAATATGATGCATTTATTGTATAAATGTGTATGTTGAAGGTAAGCGTCGGGCAAACCGACAAATCAGCTGTAGGCGAACATGTTCTCAAAGAAGGCAGTCACATTATCCCATTGGAATATTCACAAATACTCGATAAAACTCAAAATTACTATCCAAAAATAAATAGGGAGGCAATAAAAATTCAGAAACAGGGAATAGAAAGGAGGAGGTAATGAACCTTAGTAAAATCTGGCTACCAGTCCTCAATTGTACACAAACAAGGTCATTTAATCCAATTAAGGAAAACAAAGCCAAGCCCACCAATGATGATATGAAACCGGAGACAAATTCCAACATTGTCCTTTATGGGGTACGTACGTACGTTGGGGTTTTGCAAACCCCAAACAGAATCTAGTAGACCTCTCTTCAGAAATCTACAAGTATTACCCCTTATTTCTCTTTACATATTGGAATCTGCTTGTTACATTTAGAAACATAGAAATACTTTGCTCTGTTGTAATGACATTCGCGGTCGTTCCACCAGGAATCGGCATTTGCTGAATACTCCTCTAAACAGATTGAACTTATCACAAAACGGTCCTCTAAGCATCGGAATTCGAATTTTTAGTAAAATTCCTCAAAACATTAAAGATGAACCTACCTATTTCATATTCAAGAAGTCACTGAAAAAAGTACTAATTGAGGGTGCATTCTATACTTTGGAAGAATTTTTTTGTATATAAATCACTGATAGTATGTTCTGTCATACTCTGTGTGTATTTGCATATTTTATTGTGATATTTAAAATGTAGTGTACCTACTCTGTCTGTACTTGTACTTATCATTTTAACATTTAACTTTTAACTCTGTAATTTTGCTTTTTGTCTCTATAATTCAAATTTTTGACATGTCTTATACCACTTGTGGTCTTCAGATTAATAATAAATTTGATTTGCTTTGAGAACAACTTTAGCACTTCGACAGTTACCTCATTGTCTTTGATAATGTCTACCGCAGTATTAGACGAAACGACAGGCAATACAACCTGCAGACAACAGCCAAAAAAACCGGAAAATAGCTTTAACACAATAAGGGAGTTTGTTTACGAATTCGTTATGGAATGTTTCTCTTATTCTAACCATGAGTTCTGGAGTACACTGCGGTTGTGTAAAGTATACTTTAGATTTCACCAATCTTCACAATATCTAAGGGTGTCATATCAGGTTATGCAGTGGGTCATTCTAAGTGACCAAGTTAACCTATCTTCTGTATTGGCTAATTGTTAGCTAGCCACTTTCAAACCAGCTCGTCGTAATAAACAGGTGCCTGATTTGAGCTGCCGTTTTAGCGATGGACGTGTATTTCGCCACTAAGCCATAAATGAAATAATCAAAAGAGTATTAACTTCAACAAAAATTCCTGCGATATTGGAACCCATAGGTATACAAGTCGAGACGACAGAAAACGACCAGATGGTATGACACTTGTTCCATGGAAAAACGGTAAATCAGCTGTTTGGGACTTTACTTGTGTAGATACATTAGCAACTTATCATAGGTCTTATACAGTTTAGTTTTTTTTGTATTTCGTTTAATAACTGATATATTTGTATAATATTCATGTATATTAGGACATATATTTCTAATAAATCGATTTCTTCCTACTACTTCTGGAAAGCCGGTGCTGCTGCGCCCAAAAGCTGTTGAAACTTTTGCTGTTTTTGGCTCTGAAGCATTATCTTTCATCAACAAAATTGGAAAAATTATAGCCAACGAAACCCACGATTCAGAGCCACATCATTTCTCATTCAAAAAAATTAGTATAGCCATCCAAAGAGAAAATTCAGCTTTGTTTTTTTATAATTTTCCTGATTCTAAAAAAATTTACATGTTTCCTAAAAACCAACTTTAAAAAAAAGTTAATAAAAAACCACTTAATGGAACTGGAACAAAATCAAATGGAAAAATTACTTTATCTCAGCAATATTCTGAAATGGTTTCCAAAGATTTTTTGAATTGTATTGAATCCAGTAAAACATTCTTCAATCAAAACCCTTGGATTCAACGGATTGAAAAATTTTGTTAACACCTGTTTCATGAACAGTGTAATCCAATTTTCATCAAACACGAGATGATAATTGGAATATTTGAAAATAGGATGAATACATGAAAGATATCAATACTAGTATTTCTAATTTTTGGAGGATGCTTTAATCAAAGAGTTTGCTGAAGTCATCAAGGAATTTTGGTCAGATAATTCATTTGATAGAGTATTAAATATAGTCTCGTTAAAAAGTCAGTTTCAAAGTTTTGCCCCTCAATTCATGAGTCATACCCATCAAGATATTTGCATTTATATATTATATACAGTGCTAACGGTAATAGTCCCCCTCTCTTAACTTCCAAGCAGTACAAGATATCAAGGTCGGACAAAATGTATGTGAAAAAGTACATTTTCTAGTACTCTTCAATAAGAAAGAGAATAGTGTTGTTGCATCACTCGTCGCCGAGAGGGCGCTATCAACATTTTTTTAAGTGAAAGGGGGCGTTTTGTGTGTCCTAAACTTCACTTCATTCCAGTAGATGTTTGAATTGGTCCCCATTCACTTAATAATAAAGAGTAACTTTCGCGGTCTTTCAGTAGAAAGGAAGAGGCAATGAACATTAAGTAGTAAAAATCTGGCTACTTGCAGTTTATGCATTGAGAACAACTCAAGCACTTCAACAGTGTCTTTGATAATGGCTACCCCAGTGGTAGACGAAACGACAGGCATAAAAACCTGCAGACCACGGTCGAAAAATAGCTTTGATACAACAATGGAGTTTGTTTATAAAATTTTATGGAATGTTTGTCTTATTATAACCATGAGTTCTGGAATACTCTGCGATTTCTTAAAGTATACTTCAGATTTCACCACCAATCCTCACAAAATCTAAGGGTGTCATATCAGGTAATGCAGTAGGTCATTCTTAGAGACCGCGTCTACCTATCCAATGTATTGGATAATTGTTATCTAGAAGTGAGAAGGCTTCTTGACAGTCTGCTTCTTCATCTAATAATTTGTTCCAATCTACAATAGGTTAACCATAACAGAAAAATCCTCATTACATGTCAATGAAGCTGTACAATAAATTGCCTAATCAAATCAAAGATTTGAGGAGCATAAAGAAATCTAAGAAAGAAATAAAAAATATTTAATAGATTTAGAACCATATAGTGCATATAGTGTAACTGATATTCCTTCGCAAATGTTTTTGCCGGATTTGATTATGTCGGCAATGAATGGTTGTCTTCTCTGGAGTTAGGAAGTTGTGCAGTAGTAGAGGTTCTCAATTTCTGGGCATTTTGTTGCAATTGTTCAATACTCATTTGTGTTGAACAAAAGGAAAGGTTGTTGAGGTAGAATCATGAGATTGGATATGGGGATGGGATAAATTTGGAAATATTTGTAATTATTTGCTATCATAGGTGCGTGAATTTTGAATATTATGACATCTTCTCCTATAGTCGCTTCTGTTGAAAGTAAATTATAATAATTCATGAAGTGGAATTTGTCTAGTTTCTTAGATTTTGTTCAATTTTGTTGTAAGTAAATTCAGCCTCTGTGGTTCTGTGATTGAACTGTGCAATACGTAAGTGTAGCAAGGATATCGCATCTTCTATATTTGAAATCAAGTTTTGAATGGAGCTCAATTGAATGATAAGATTATCAACTGTATTTGTGAATCAGAAAGCTTGCTCTAAATTAATGAGTTCATTCATTTCTTTTGACAAACCTTTTATTTGGCTATGTAATACATTTTGGTTGGTTACTAGTGAGTCAAAGTCTTTGGTATATTTAGTTGACATTTCTTTAGGTATGTCATTAGAAAGTAGGTTATGTTAGGTTAGGTCCAAAGTGAGTGGATCTATTCGACCCTTCACCGCAATCTGCAAGGGTTTATTGTGACTAACACCTATTCACACTCAACCAAATAAACCCAGTTTCTTAACGAACCTGATTAGTTTGCATAGTGAGAGGTCTTTTAGATAACATGGCCGAACCTGATTCGGTCACCAGCGGGGCAGGCACAAAGTATGCGATCTTCTGTTTCATCATTTTCCTAATAGAGGCAACACATAATGTCTTCCGACAGTCCAAGTCTCTGCATATGATGATACAAATGACAGTGACTTGTAGGAAGGTCTGTTAGACATCGTAGTTCATCCCTACCACCATTATACAAGAATATAGCGCCGTAGAAATACACAAACACCAAAAGAACTTCAACATAAAGAAAGAACATATCGAAGATCTGGCACATATTTGTATTTTTTTTCTACGCTATAAAGATATAAATGATTAATTTGAAACTGAAGTAATTTCTCAAGCAATTTCATCTATAATTTTCATCAGTTTTAAGGACTCCCAGAGTGATTGAAAATTTTCATATGAATTGATCTGATCACAAATCTGATGCCAAAACTTAGCACTTCAGTTTGCTTTTAGACATAGAACCACTCAAAATTTGACAAATCAACTACTACAGGAACTAACTTTCAGTAAGAAAATATAAAATTTGTATCTTTTCCAACAAACTATATAATAATTGTTTACGGAATCAAATAACACCTTCACAAACGACTTTTTTGTTTATTTCTTTCCAAAACTTTGGTAAGTATATGAAAATTATCCACTTATTTATTTCATTAATAGGCAGAATTTATAAATATGACAATTTACCGACTAATTATATGGTTTATATTACATGAAAGCTAACGTTTGCACCACTGCCTATGATAATATCTCTCTGTTACCACACTGATTAAAACAACACATAATTCAAAGTAAATGATTGTCTTACCATTGGTCTCTCTGGGATGGTAATTCCTTCGTCTATTGTCTACCAGCTGTCTGTGAAAATTTCGCCCATATAAATTGGTCTGAACAGCAGTATTATGAAAAAAGGGGGTATCATAATAGAAGTTTTGATAGGGAAGATAATAGTTCATACAGGGAGAATACCCGAAATACTGATTCCAAGGATATGGGACCCAACCAGTGGGGTGAGGATGGAAATTGTAAATACTTCCCTCAAGTCTGGATCTGCTCTGGTCACATACAAAAGAAGGAATATAACTGTATACGCCATTTGATGAAATCCACTGATATCCGCTATAATTGTTATTTTCGCCGTTTTCATTCATTTGAAGTCTTCGTGGTATCTTATCTCTAAATTTGAATTGACACATACTTTTCCTATTGAATTTAAATAATACCTTTTTGGGTACTTCCGAACTTTTCCAGAATATCACTTTGTTCAGTAACATTACATTTTTGCAACTGTTATATAACACTTACTTTGTATCCCATTCCTGTTAAAGTTTTAGAATGAATTAATTTACATTCAGAAATATATGTGTTATGACGTCATAATATCTATAGATTATAGATATGAGACAAGAGCCAGCATGTTTTGCTATAATGATAAAGCAAGAAAAAAAGAAGATGAAACAGAAAAACCAGCGTCTGTACACAACAAATGATTTTCATGAAAACTTCGAACTTTTTTATTCGAAACAATCAGAAAGGGACACAATGTGGAAATTGAAAGATTTGAGCACAAAGTGTGTAAAAATGTGCAGAAACTGACACTATCCTGCTTGTACCTTTGACATATTTCAATTTTACGTTTTTCCTACTATTTTGTGTTTTCATTATTTGCAAAGTTGATTATATTTATGTAGATTTCTGTTGTTGTTTCGTGTTCAGAATAAAACTTCATTTCATTACTGAATGTGGTAGACGATAATTGCTGAATCTAACTGCTGAATATGAATAAAATTGAAGTATTTTTTTCTTCTCTGAATGATAACGCTGAATAATAATTAAATTACATTTAGAACTTATTGATATATTACTTCAATTCGACGAATAATTTACAGCCCTGTAGAAATGATTATATCCTGCTAAGCGTACTACCCCGCAATCCTGATTTGATATTTTTCTGATATAAAACCATAACTAAAGCTGTCGAAAGTACAAGACAGTTTGAAGAATATTTTTATGTACAATCAAGGTCTTTCTTCTCAATTTTGTAATTTATATACTGGATGATGAAGCTAGGGAAGCTGTTTCTATTGAGTGATTTTTCCGAAATTCCTGCCAATTTTTATCGAGTACTTTAATTTTTCAAGAAAATTATGGATTCTTTTATATTTCATGTTTACTGAAATATTTTATTGGACACTTATTATGGATACCCTGTCTCGTTACTTGATGAAAATCAATAACACTATCCATGAAAATAATTTTGGAATTTTTACAATAAATTTTATTAACGACGCGTTTCGCTACACGGTAGCTTCAGCAGTTACTGGGCATCAGTTAATGATTACCAGTAACATTACACGGAAAATTCATCAGTTACTGGTTACTGATGAAGCAACCGTGTAGTAAAACGCGTCCAAAATAAAATTTATAGTGAGAATTCTATAATTATCATCATGATTAGATACTCATTATGAAAATAGATCAATAACTCTATATCGAGGTTCGTTAATTTTTTTTATGTTTGATTGAAACGGCATTTCCATTCGATCCAGAGTTTGCTCTAATTCCATTGATTATTTAGGCCGGCCGCAAGTTGAAACGCAGGTCCGTGAGGTGACGCAGGGTGAGTCACGTTGAATTTCTGCGAACCATACAAATGATAGGAACCCCGCAAATTTCGACGCAGGGTGACGTGACGCAGTTTTCACGTTCCGTGACCCTGCGTTACGCAGTCCTCCTTCCGCAGATTTCTTTAGTGAGTCACGGCGTGTCAAGTGAAATGGAGGAAAAATTAATAGAGGCAGTTAGAAATTGTCGCGTTTTGTACGACACAAGTCATATATTTGTGAACAATTTCTAATTATATTTCATCAGTTCGGACTTCCATTGAACAATAAAATTGTTATTTTCGGTTATTCTTTTTAATTTTATTTTTCAGGGATTTCAAATCAATTTATATTATATTAGACAATGGAAGTCCGAATTGATGAAATACACCACGAAACATTGTGAACCACCTTCAAGCAAACATTTCTAATTATCTCATGATAACCGAAAATAGTTTTTAAATTTTTTACTACTTTACTCTTTTTTCGAGGCGAACTCTCCGTGCGTATTTCTTTTTTTGAAATACAAATGAGATTTTGTTTTTATGAAGCTAGCAGAAATAATCGATTCGACCTCCTCATCATTTTCTGACTCAGATTCGTAGCCGATATGAATTTAAAGTTCATAAACCAAATCCATTTGAAAAACGAAAGGCAAGAGACACATCACCTAAGAACTGTAGGCTCAAACTGCGTTTCAACTTGCGGGGGTCCACTCACCCGCAGTTTTTTCTCACTGTGACTCACCCTGTTGATTTTTTGTTAAGTTGTGATATTATTCCATCAACTATTCTTGAACCGAAATCAGTTGAATAACCAGATAAACTAACATCAAAGGAATAACAAGAAGAATGTTCTCATTTCGCTCATTTGCATATAAAATTGAGTCAATAAATGGGTTGAATATGGGTGAATATAGATTACTGTTTTCAAGAACCATTTTCTTTATTTTTGTTTCTTTTGACAATAATTCTATATTTAATTTTACTGGTATAATATGCTGCGATACCTTGTAAACAAAGAGTACGATAAAAACTGGTGCAGGAAAATAAAGTCCTTATCTCGTCGACTCGACAGAGACAACGGTGATCAGCGAGTCAAAATAACTTCTATATTCTTAAATATTCCGAAAAACACTCAGTTGATCGAAAAAAAAGATTATTATCCAAAATTGTGTTGTGCACATTCTACGTGCACGTGTAAAAGGCCTGGATTAGAAATTCATCGTTGCTCAGGAATCCTCCCAGAAAAATGGTAAGATAAACATTTCTGTACTCAGATTCCTTTTTTTTTTTCTATTTTAAATCGGTCAAATCGCGGTTGGTTTTGAATATTGAAACGCTTGAATTAAATAATATTGACAGTATTTATAGTTTTGTCAAGCATTTCCACAATTAAATTCATTTTTGCGTTCCCCAATACTCCATTCCATAGATTTTCTCCGTTGATGAATGGGATGTAATGAAAAGTAGTAACTGGAATAAGATAATAGGAATCAAATAGCATAAAAGCAACCAGAATAGTCATACCGGAATCGGAATCATGGCAAAAAAAGATGCTGCTGAATTACAAACAAAATCTTATTTAGAAAGAAAAAACTAATCTACATTTTTTTCAGAAAAGAAATGTATTGGCTTTTTACTTTTCCATCTTTATAAAAAAAAATTATAATAGAAATATGGGAATTTTTCAAAGATAAGAAGATTCTCACTTTTTTTATATAAAGATGGAGAAGTAGAAAGCCAAAAATTCATCTCTCTCAAAAATATACCCTTTCAATGTTTTTTTTTAAATTTTGACAATTCGCTACTCATGAATTCTATGTCATAAAATTTCTTGAAAATGCCAACTTCTCAAAGAAGAATCAATAAAACGCTGAAATACTGCTGGAGATCTACACTTATTTTAATCTTCTTGGTTCAAACTCCAGTATAAACGTGTGTTTACTATATAGGGACGTCTGTGTGCTGAAAATTTCACAGTAAAGTGCTTTTTGAATACGTTATGGATTTTCATCAAGTATCGGCCGTTTACATCAATCACATAACCAATAAAACTGGTCTTAGTGAACGAAATTAAAGACCGGAGAAAAAGCGCGTGCATAAATTCTGTAATTTCACAAATGAGAAGATAATGATAAATGACATAATTGGCAGTATTTTTCCATCACATGGGCATAATTCTTCAGGTGATATTTCCTGTGTTTCTTACAAATACGCAGAAATATATAAAATAAGAGTCTGAGTGTTCTCATTTTTTTCATATTACAAAAATTAAGGCGATTAAACCAGTAAATAACTTGATTAATCACATTTTTGGTTTCCACTTATAAGTTCCTGTGTAGGTGAAATTATGTTTGATCAGTAGTTCGTCAGCTTCGTTTGGGCCCCTACTTCCGTAAATGTATGGTATAGGAACGATTTTGTCATTTTCAATTCTATTCAGCAATGGAGTGAATATCCTCCAGGCCTCTTTCAACTCATCGGTACGTACAAAGTTCATTTGTGACCCACAAAATACATCAAGAATTAAACGTTCATAAGCGTCTGGTAATTTGATATTTTGATATCGGGTGCTATAAGTTAGATCAAGTTCAGTTTCTTCAATATCGAAAGCCATTCCAGGGGTTTTCACCATAAATTTAACGTATACAGCCTCTTCCGGTTGTACTCGAATAACAAGTTCGTTTCTCTTGGATTTTCCATCGAAAATATCTCCAGGAACGTCTCTGAATTGGATTCGAATTTCAGCTTTACGTTCATTAAGGGCCTTTCCACACCTAAGGATAAACGGTACACCATCCCATCTCTCGTTATTGATGAACAAGACTGCTATAGCGTAGGTTGGTGTTATTGAATCTTTAGGAATAGTTCTGTCATCGCGATAACCAAGTTTGGCATCACCTTCTTTTTGAGGATCACCGACATATTGGCCTAATATTATATTATTTAACTCCAGGGTTTTGGTAGACTTCAATATTTTGACTTTCTCATTCCTGATATCATCAGGTGCGAAAGTAACAGGCTTCTCCATCGCAACAAGGGTCAATATTTGCAAAAGATGGTTTTGCATTACATCCCTAATAATTCCGTATTCATCAAAATAACCTCCTCTTCCTTCAATCCCGAAAGATTCCTTAAAACTGATGAGAATACAAGCAATGTTGTCCCTGTTCCATGTGGGGTAAAATACTCTATTACCAAATCGAAGCGTCATTAAGTTTTGGACCATTTCTTTTCCCAAATAATGGTCTATTCGGTACAATTGTGTTTCTTCGAATAGAGAGGATAAGTGGTGAGAGAGTGTTTCAGATGATTGCAAATCATGCCCAAATGGCTTTTCAATTACGATCCGAGTCCATCCCTTATCTGACATACATGTATTTTTTATTTGAGTTGCAACATCTTGAAATAAAAATGGTGGTATAGCCAAATAGAATAATCTGTTAGCAATTGATCCCGTTTCAAATTTTGCTATTTTTTGGTTCAATAATTCAAAATCAGTTTTGGAATTATATTGTCCAGATAAATAATAATTTAAATTCCAAAATTTCTCGAATTGTATCCTCTCGTCTGGCTTAAGGTGCATGTAAGGCTCGCAATTTTTATTTAGGTCACACATAGAAAGTTTGCTCCTGGCATATCCGAAGAAGACCGTGTTCACAGGTAAAAGATCATCTCTGAATAGCCACCAGAGTGTAGGGTATATCTTTTTTCTGGCAAGATCTCCTGAAGCTCCAAGGGTGACGAAACAGTGTGGATATTGGCGATCACTAAAATATGTTTCATCGTTATCCATATCCTTGAGTTATAAATATTGCTTAAATGAGCCAAGACAAAATTTGACATTTTTTGCGTCATCAAATATATGTGAATTAAAAACTTTAATGTCACTTATGTTCAATATTAGATTAATTTCCAAGTTGCGTTACTCATCAGTAAATCAAACAGACGACTTTTTATATTCAAATTCAAACATGAATCATGGAGTTTAATTTATGAACTGTAGCTGAACTCTCAGACAGATGCGTAGTCATATAATGTCATTTACAGCAAGATATGAACTATATATCGTTAAACAATCTAACGTTGTTACATTTTCAGAAAATTCAGGAGTACAAACGTTATATTTATATATAATTTTTGTTTTGTACATTGAGTGAATTGAAGCTGTGAGATGTGACGTCTATCAGGCACAAGAAAAACTTTAATGTCCTAAAAATATCGATAAATCCCCAAAGTCTTCCTTATAAATTCTGGTCTTCGCATAAAATTCAAGGTAAGTCTCGAATTCATTACCATAACTCATAAATTCATATTTTCGTGTTCAGAAATGTAGATATTTCCTGATCTCTTCAACGTTTTCCTATTTTTATAAGACACAGTGCGCAAGAAAATAGCACCCTCTTAATTTTCAATGGGACAAAGTATCAAGGTTGAACAAAATTCACATAAAAAGGCATCCTTTTCAATAATTTATAATGTGTTAGAGAAGAAAGACAATAGTACGAAGAGTCAGTTGAACCGTACCTTTGCAACTGCCGTATCGAAGGTTTATTTACCAAGGTATCCTTGACTATGAACCAATCAAAGCCGCGCAAAAACAAATTATAATAATGACTCGTACAAAACTCAAACAAGGTATGAAAATACAAAGATGTATAGAATCTCTGCTGTTTTTGCCGATTCGTATTTGTTTTGTCAAAATCTCTCGACGCAAGAAATACGATTGACTCAACATTGGACACATGTTGATGAATGGAACAAGAATTATTTCCAAATGTAAACATTGGTTTCTGCTCAGCGCATCTGTGAATGAAATGCCGAAGTAAGTTGAAACTATTTTTATGGTATTAATAATCAAGAGTGTTGTAGATCGAGTAATTTTGTAAAAAAAAATTCTGCATCTGAAAGGGTCCGAGTGTCTACACCATGGTATTTCTAATACATTTTGGAAAATAACCTGCATACAATTTTAAATGTTGATCATACACAATATTTTTGTCAAATGTTAGCAAGTTTCATGGCTTTACTTGACCTGCTTGAACAAAGTGCGATCATATTTGAAGCTTTTCAACTTCGAAGCCAAAACTTTCGAAACAGCAATATCTCTGTTTGGCACTTACCAGACCACCATAGTTCAGCAACCTTTTGACATTCAATGATTTATGAAATTCCAGCATAGGTAAGAAGACACAGTAAAATAATAACTTTCCTCGTTAGGCGGTAAAAACAAGGACAAGAGAATGTTAACAGTTAAATATTGATGTATACATTTAATTAGCTCTTATTTCTTGAATATGGATCATGTCTCTATGCCCATTATATGTCCAAAGTAAAGGCACCAATAAACATCAAACACGAGGAAAATATCTTTCTTCTGTTCCTAAGATTTAATCACAGAGTAAAAAAAAATTGAGTTCTGTGGAACTGACTCATCCTTTCTTCTGCTTAGGTTATTTGTGCCTGCTTCCTTGATGGAATAAAATAAAAAAGTAAACTATAAAGAATAACTCTGTGACACAAACAGTGTCATAGAGTTTATTTATTTTTTTTTGAATGGCGAGTTAGTTGGTTTACCCTCTGATGGCGATATCCATAGTTAAATTGACAGGATAATGTTTGGCATTAGACAGTTGATAATTGAAATGTAATTCGACATGGCTGGTATAAGAGATGTTGACAAAGCTTTCTTTCCTATAAAAAGCATCAATACAGTGATAGATTTATTCAGAAATCAGTTAGAAAATGTCCGTGAACCGGATCTCGCGCTGCTATCAATTGTAACGGGCGTAATCGAAAATTCACTGACTAGCCGGTCCAATGCCGCTCTCCAAGTTTGCGAACCAGTGGAACCAAATAGCTTACCTGTATTGGAAATCGAAACGGTCGAAATATTTTACAACAAGTTTCGAAATATCATGCTTAATGCCGTCGAACCGAACAAAAGTAATTCTTTTGCTACTCGTGAACTAGTAAAGAAGGTGTCTGATGTTATTTGGAATTCTTTAACAAGAAGCTATTACAAAGACAGGGCTCACTTGCAAAGCTTGTATAGTTACTTAAGTGGTAGTAAACTGGACTGTTTTGGGGTGGCATTTGCGGTCGTAGCAGGTTGTCAAACCTTGGGATATAATGACGTACATTTAGCTTTATCCGAGGACCATGCTTGGGTCGTTTTTGGGGAAAATGGTACAGATACGGCAGAAGTCACGTGGCACGGTAAAGGAAACGAAGACAAGAGGGGACAGGAAATTGGAAAAGGCGTTTCTGCAAGATCATGGCTATATGTAAACAACAAACCTGTTGTATGCTCTCGCCATATGGAGGTTGCGGCTTTGGTATCTGCTATAAATCCGTCTCTTAATTCAACGCACGATGCATATGAGGTATCGTTATTGCAACAAGAGCTCCTGTGGCTCTTGTATGACTTGGGTCACTTGAAAAAATATCCAATGGCAATAGGAAATTTGGGAGATTTGGAGGAAATATCTGCTACAAATGGAAAGGTTCCATGCAGAGCTTTGTTTGAAGAGGCCATATCTTCAGCTAGGACTTACTATAAAAATCAGCATGTGTATCCGTACACATATCAAGGTGGATATTTTTATAGAAACAAAATGTATGAAGATGCTTTCGAAAGTTGGGCCAATGCTAGTGATGTTATAAGACTGTGAGTATTTTCTCTTTGTCAATATTCTTTTATGATGATGAAAAATAATCATAAATTGGAATTAGGATAAATATTTGTCTTGATGGCTTGCGCTAGTTTTGAATAATATTTTATTAGATTTATGTATTTTTGTCTAATAATTACGAATCTAAGGTCGAAACCTTATGGTTTGGTCTACTTTCTGAGATATGGTTACTGAAAAGAAGAAAAATCGAATAATTTAGTAACTCATTCACAGTAATGAAAACTCAAAATGGAGCGTCCTTTCATAGTCGTACTTGCCACTTTCATTTTTTCTCAATTAATCAATCGGATTATCCATTGTAAATGAGACTTCATAACGTCATTATTTTTATAATAATTTAAAACATATAAATTATCAACATGATCCATAATAATTATACAATTTTCACAATAAATTTTATTTAAAACGTGTTTTACGACACGGTAGCTTATCAGTTACTGGTACATCAAACTATTCTACAATATCTTTTTATACAACACTAGGTAATAACAGCAGGTAAATCTATAATCAAACCTCTGAGAACCTTACAAAACAAAATAATTAGAAGCATTTATAAATTACCATATTTGGAACCAACATTGAACTTATATAAACTAAACTTTTTATTGGACTTGAATTCACTCTATAAACTCAAAATTAGCTGCTTCAGTCATTCTGTATAAAATAATACAAAGAAATTAAACTTGAATTTTATTCCAATTGGACATATTCACAATCATGCTACAAGACACACCAAATTACTGTCACAAATTAAGATACAAACAAATCTTGAAAAAAGTCAATATATCATGATGGGATCATTATATATTATTCAATTCCCTAAAAATTGAAAAAGCATTATTCCATTACAAAATGTGTATATCAATTGAAAAAAATCTAATTCATGGAATTTCATAGTTTGCATTTCATTTCTAATAAACGTTTTCAACATATTATACTTTCTGTAATCAATTTCAGTATTTGACTGCATTTCATTGATTTTTTTTCTAGATATAATATGTGTTCATTGTAAAGTAGGTTATTTCTGTTATTTTATTATACTTTGCAGTTAGTTATAGTCCCTAATTAAAAGCATTCATTGTTTCTTGGGACAATAAACCGAATTGAATAATTGGTTGATGGCTAATGACCTCAGCAGTCGATGCCAGAATACTAATTAAAAAAAAAATTGGTTGAATATAGTAAACAAAATCTACCTGTAGATTTTGGTTGGTACAGGTAGGCCTGATAATCACTCATTAAAATTTCGTAACCTTGGCTATGAGGCTCTTTAACCATTTTGTATGTATATAAATACAACATTGATGAGTTTCTCAATATTAAATTGTAATTCAAAGTGTATTTTGTTGCCTGTATGCATTGTTATTTGTTTAAATCTTTCCTGACAATAAAAAATCTATTATAATGAGATTATGCAAATAAATTGATTGATTGATCTAATGAGTTTTGTTTTTACCTACTGTTATATTAAAGATATTGTAGAATAGTTTGATGTACCAGTAAGTGATGAAGCTACTGTGTAGCGGAACATGTTTCAAAAAAGTGTATCGTGAAAATTTCATAATTATTATTATTGATTGTAAAACATATAATATAAAAACTCAAACAGGTATACTTGAATGAGAGGATTTCAAGACAATAATGGGATTTGAAAGATTTGTTTGTAGTATTGCTGAAGAAGCTAAGTAAACTTTTCCTGATTTGTTACGTTAGGCCCTTTCAACTCATTTTTATTTTCGTGAATCACAATACGGTTTTTCTTGAAATAGATCCCCCAAAAAACTGTTTACCAACTGGTACAAAGATAGTGAAAGGCTTGGATCAGGAAAGACATACTATAAAAGGGTATTTATAGAAAGTTCACAGAATCATTGAAACAGGAAGATATTTAACTAAATGGATTTTCGGCGGATAAATACACAATAATACATGGAAATTATTCCACAGCGCGAAGACAATTCGTACGCCGTAAGTGTGTCAACTGTAACTAACTAACTGTCCTTCGATAGATGTCTGGGTTTTCGGAATTGGCAGCCACCTGCTAGGGCACGGCAGGGTCGGCCCAAGGATGGGTAAAAGGGATTTGTTATAATACTTACTTTTTGAAATACCGAACTATTACAGAACAAATAAGTCAGGGAAAACCTGGAAAAGAGTAGCAAGTGTAACAATAATCCATTCATGACATAATCAAGTAATTTTATTTGTTTCAGATACAACTATTCCAGGGATGATGAAGAAATATACAAAGAATTTTTGGAAATTGCTAATGAATTGATACCTCACATAATGAAAGTTGAAAGTTCTGGATTTCATGCTAACACAATTTTGAAAAAACCGAAATGTTTTGCTGATCTTCTTCGATTTTACGATGGCATATGTCAGTGGGAGGAAGGTAGTGCAACTCCTGTTCTGCACATCGGTTGGGCAAAACCTCTTGTCATCACCATATCTAAGTTCGATGCAGATGTAAGAGCACAGGTCCACATCGTGTGTGATAAATCTGAAGAGGATAAATTGCTGAAGAAGAACGGTACTTATTTCAACAATAACAATAATAATTATGAAAAAGAAAATGGTGCAGGGCATGGCGATTATGGGACTGTGAAGCCCATAGAACAGTCCACTTCGAATTTTCATCCAAGCATCGAGGCGTTGACCGCAGGATGTTCTGAAAAAATTCTGAATCCGGAGTATCTGCTACAAGGAGATGGATCACCTTTTATGGGTAAGCATTCTTTTACAAGTCTTGTTGAAGTGTCCAAATATCAATACCATTGCTTTTCAACCCTTGATTTAATTGTATATTTCCGTATATTCTGTTTGATTTGACATTTCTTTCAAATATCATACTTTGGTGAAAATATCATATCTCATTTTCACTTTGAGGTCAATATTTTTCTATGGCATTCTTAGAAGCTTTATTGAAGCCTCAATAGAATAGAAGAACTAGTCTGATTTTTTTCAATAGTAGAGAATATCCATTCCATGTGATTGTAAATGGTACAGGTTTTCATCACATTTAAGTACTCAATTTTTCAGTCACAGTCAGCAATCCTATCATTCCACCTAAGTTCAATAGATAACATGCCGGGTTTACCGTTTAACTCCTTGAAAAGGTCAACGTAAATTGTGTTAGCCTCTAGCCTTTTTTCAAGCTACCGAAAATCCTCATGAGTGAATGATTTGAACTCTTGTTGATACAATTTTTCTTATTAATCATATGCTTTAATGGTGAAATTTTAACACCATTTTTAATTGGCCTTGTTTTAGAAACAATAAATATATCTGAAACTGAAGACACATCACATAATAAATAAAGGCAATGGACTAAGTACAATATAGCATATTCAAGAAAATCAAGTTGGTTTGAAACATTATTGGGGAAATTGAAATATCAATATCTGTGGTCTTGACTAGATGAAGAGCATAACAAAAAATAGTTGATCGTTGTAGAACTGAAGGCGGAAAAAATCTTTACGACTCCATTGTAAACTAAATTATTTCTGGATAAATTAATTCCTTCAATCTAAATAAATAATTATTCTGAGATCTAAAAGAATAATTTCCACCAATAAGACCGGAAAATAATTCTATATTTTCTGATTCTGTGTTGATGGCTAGTTTTGTTGTCACGCCCTGTATTGTCATACAAAATATCTTGATTACCAATTTTGATAAGTTTTCTCGACCTTCCAAAAAAAAAATTAATTTTTTTTGTAATATTCAGGAGGGGAGTTCCCTTCTGCGTCGAAGATTTTGGAAAGCGGAGAAAAAGTAAATGTAGGACCGAGTACTTCCAAAGTTGAGGGACATGAAGAAACTGAGAAGGAAAACTCTAAAACAGAAGACAGGCGACCGACTGTCATTTTACGTAGTCAGAAGATGAAAGAGCTGAAAGATTTACTTTTGGCAGAAAAATTGAACACTCACGCTATATCACTACATTTAACTGCACAATCTCAGGTACAGGTAGGTAAAAAGGGCAGGGGGGATGGCGATCACATCAGACCCAAAAGGGCAAGAAGAGAATAATTCTGATAATCACATGAAAAATATGGTAGATACTTAAATCAACTTTGATGCAGGGCATTAATGTTAATTAATATGGTCGCTGGATTCGACAGAAAGCAATCTTTCATATTATATGAAAATAGAGAAAACACTTCTTTTGTGAATTCACTTCATTGTCAGCAAAAAAGTTGCCATGTCTTTTTTGTATGTTAAAGGAGAGAGTAACCAGAATTTAATCAGGGTAGAAAGTTTGTAAGTTATATTATTAAAATGACCTGGTAATTAGTAATAACTTGTGTTACTACTGAACACAATCTAATGGAATTATATTTCAAGTAGCATCAAATGAAGTGAATACAATAGTTTTTTAGTATGAACTAATCCTTTTCCTTTCGTCATAAGATGTGATTGCACTTAATTTTTAACCTTGCCATTTTAGCTTTTACTGACATTTTAACAATGATACAAACAGTATTATATTTTGAAGAACTGACAAAATATCTTCTAATTATCTTATGTTTTTTTCACTCCTCTGAGTAATGAATGTATTATGAATATTTGAAATGAAGAGTTGTGCAACAAAATTGGGAGAAAATGTTTCAATGGATTTTTTTAAGATTTAACGGATTTTTTTTCAATAAAACAACAAAGCTTTCAGAAAAGTAAATGATTTTAACTTCAAAAATATGTATTGTTAAACCTTTAAAGTTCAATAAACTCACCTACCTAATTTTGATTTCAAAATTAGAAGCATAATTAAAAACATGATGGACTTATTGTAACACAACTAGTCCCAAGAGTTTTTGCTTTATAAAGCTTTTTTATCTAAGAAACAAGTGCACCTTGTTCTAGATTTTAATCCATTTCGGAGTTTTTGTTAAGACATTCCTTGTGATGTGATTGTTTAATTTTAGGTTGTTGATGCATTTCATTGCATATAGATATTTTATAGTATGCATAATATTTTGAAACTTTTGACTGATTTTCGATCATATTCAAGACGGGAATATGTGGCCTATGAAATTTCACTTGATGCTTATTTTGCTGTCAGATTTGGGTTTTACATGGAATACCTTATGTGAAAGTTGTGAGGTAATTTGTTTTGATATCTTGATGGACAAGTTTCTGTGTGTATTACAATAACGGCAAACTAAGATAATGCGTAAGATTTCCACTAAACAATTTATAAAACCGCAACACGTGTTTCGCTATACAGTAGCTTCATCAGGCTTGTTAATATCGACTGAATTCTACCTAATTTGTGCTCTACATAATATATAAATTTGATTCAAATGACCTAATTGATTACTTGAAATTATATCAAAGTTTGGGGATGATCTGATTTTTTTTTAATATTTCAAATAGAATTTTACCAGCTCAATAAATGTATGGGTAATAAACTAATTACCAATATCCACATTAGAAAACAAATTCAATAAGGGGAGAAATTTAATTCAATTTGATCATTAATTGAATTTTCTGAATTCCTTAATCTAATAACTCTAAAAGATTGAGTTTGAAGCTTTCTCTTCAAATGTGATACATCATAATCATGGTTAAACGAATGCCCCTCTGCTAAAAGATGGTTTGCAAATGTGGAATTGGTTTTCACATACAAGAAACTACTCCTGTGTTCTTTAATTCTTTGGGAGAAGGTTCTATTCTTTTGGCCAATATACAGTTTTGGGTAAGAAACACAAGTTAATATATCCGACACTGCAGTGTTGTCTTTATCATTTATTATAAATTTGCTTAAATTATTATGTGTTCTGTAAGCTATGTCTAAGTCATTCTTTCTCAAAAAAGAGCTGTGTTATGTCAATCATTTCTTGAAGTGGGATAGAGTGGAATCATTAATTAATATCTACCTTGTAACCGTTTTTAACAGAAATTTATTTGATAAAACTCAGTTCGTACTTTTTGCAAGTGTAACTATAATTGCAACTGCGATTATAATTGTAATACAACAATTCAAGATGTCTTGAGGCCATGCACACAATAAGTTAGCTGCAATTCATTCAAGTATTGCAAAAAGTTAAGCAGGCCTTATTTTCTATTATTTTGAATTTGTTATTTGTAAGGTAAATAATTATGTGGAACAGGGTAAATTGAGGATATGAAAAAAATTATTTGTTCTACCTTTACTTACCTTGTAGATTCAAATGACAGAAAAGTTTTGGGTATTTTCAACATCACGTCAAATCAAATATGGACTAATTTCATTAAAAAATGAATAACTTTTAATCCAGCCTCTGGTTTTTCACATTTATGAAAAAGTTTCAATTTGATTACCTCCCAACTTTCATTTCTTCATTTGCCACCCAATTACAATTTTATGACTAATTTTGATTGGAAAACCAAATTCAATGTTCTCTAAACACTGTCTAAAAGAAAATGATTTCTTATTGGTGACCAAATTATTTTCTTTTGGCATTTTAGACAAGGGATGTGTATTCCTTTCTTGATGATTAAAATTTTTTGATCTACATTCAGTGCTTTTGTAAATATCAACTATGGAAAGTTGTAAATTTCTGTAAAATCCACAGAAGTCATTTGTAAGTTTCGATGGTTCTAGCCGAATTGAAAGAAAACTAATGTTTCACTGATATACAAGTGTTTAATGTTGATCAATTTATCCAATTTTCTATTTGTTTCAGTGTTCAATTCAAAAAGTTAATGAGTTTATTATTTATGGAGTGTTTAGCATATCATTTTCCTTTTTCGAAGTCATGGGAACATTCAACAAATATAAACTGTGGCACAAGGCAAAGTATTTCAGTGAAGTAAAGTTTTCATTATAAGTTATTTATTTATAAACTGAATGCATATTGTGTGATCCATTTAAAGTGAAAGCACTTTAATAAGACACATATTTTTCAACAGACTGGAATGATTTGTTTTTATTAGGTGAACATTTGAGAAGTATTAAAGAACACCAAATTTCATGAATAAGTAACTGAGGATCAACTGTTATTATGTTTCGAAGTAAAAAAAAATAGATTTTTCATCTGACAACATTATTTGATTCACGTAATTCCTTTCAAAAATATAATGAAAAAAAACTTATTTTGATTTTCACTATAAAAGGTTTACAAAACCCATGACACGCCTTTCACAATACAAAAGTTTCCTCTAGCTAAATTTTTTCCTAGTTGAGGAAGTTATTGTATAGCAAAACACGTACCGAAGTTTTGTAAATCTTTTATAGTGAAAATCAAAATAAATTTCATTAGTAAGTTTCAATATGGATTATCATAAGCCAATTCAATTAAATTTATTGACAAAGAGTTCATCATTAAGAAAGTTATAAGGGAATAAAATTTGAAAAGATGCCATTGACTATACCACAAATTCAATTTTAGAGCTTTCATAAAATTTCTGACTACTCCTCTGGATTCGGCAGGTTTTTTATTTCATCACTGTTCAGAAATCAGTTCGTCATTAAAAAAAAGTAAAAGAAGTTTGGTAAAAAGTCTTTCTATATGTCATTACTCATAACTTTTTAATGATGAACATATTTTGATGAAATTATGGACTGTTATGAAAATAAAACAAAAATTTGCTGAATCTAGAGGAATAAGAATTTCTGGCATATTCAACTGATATATTTTTCGAATTTTATTCCCTAATTTTTGTAATGAAAAACACATTTCAACGTAATTTTGATGTGGATCCATTGGCATCCATTCATAAAAAAATTCTCTAATAATTTTTTACAGTTTTTGATATTATGGTAAACAGATTTTAAACAAAATGCCATATTACACGTGCTATCACAGGACTCAAGTCGTATATTATTATTTTTGAATTATGCTAATGATCTTTCAAAAATTATGCCAGATATTGTGCCAATTTGCCGATGATATGTCTGCTAGCGTAGCTGCAATAGATAGATGTCAAGACAATTAACAGGTATCAGATGAAATGAATAAATTGTGTTCTGAAAATGGACTGCACCTGAATAGTTAACAGGCTCAATCTCGTCCCAAACCTCAAATACCATTGAATGGACAGTTATTTTCACAGTCACAATATATTACCTGTTCTTTCAGTCATTAGTATGTTTTACTATACATCACAATGTAATTTTTTAATTAACTAACAATTATTCAAATGATATTGACAGTTGACACTGGAAATGCCCATGATCTGAGTATACCTAGATATAATACCTCTTTTTATAAACTTAAAGAACATTATGCAGTTATTTAAGCAAATACCATGAAAAATTTTATTACAAATTCGATGAGTGTTGGTGATTATTATTATCTAAAATTTTTATTGTATATTGAATTTTTTTTCAAGTATTTGTTTTATAGTCTTATATTCATTTTCAAAATATATGACGAAGTTGAAATTTCAAGAAAAAAATTCTTTGCTTTTTAGAAATATCTTTTTAGGGAGAAAACAAATCAAAATTGTGTCACAACATAATTAAGAAACTGAATAACTGAACAGTCATGAAAAGCATACAAAAATTGAAGTAACCGAAATTTTGGAATGATTTGTTTGTAACAAAAACAAAACAAAACAAAACTATTTAATGGTTTGCATTGCATTGTGCATTGAAGTGTTCTGTTTAATATATTTTTACAAGGAATGTGGAACATATTCGAATATTGCTGAGTATTTCCAAGAGATGAAATGTGGAATGAGTCAATTTTTTGTGGAGCAAATCAAGAGTTTTTATTAATCTGTTTCTAAATTCTCACTGCTTGAATTCAATGTATTTTTCACAAATGTTTGAGTTTTGATTGAAAGTATGGGTGTAGTTTTTTAAACACGACAAGAATTTGAAGTGTATGGTGGTGAAGCTTTCATATTTTCTGATTTTTGAAGAGAACTTAACAACTCTGAGAAACAGATAACCAACTTGATAAATGAAATAGAATATCTGTCGGCCTTTCAACAATTTTGCATTGCTCATTTAAAAAATCAAGTATATTTGAATAAGATTGACATATATCCAGTGACATTTCTGAAAAAAAAATAAGTAGATAAGGATTTGAAAATAACATATCTAAGATATGTTGTTATTTATTGTCTACCAATATTTGAATGTCACTGTTCTTATTCTTAATTATTTACGCAGAGGATCTTGAACCACTAAAACAAAATCGGGTGAATGATTGTTATTAAATCAGTAAAACATCAAAATTTAGTGTCTCACTCGTTAAAAAAGTCAGTTGAATAGTATCAAATTATGATTTGATTTCCTTTCTCAGAACTGACTAAGTTTTAAATTGTGCTATAAGTTAAAGCCTGCATCAAATTTCATCAAAGTGTGTGTTGTATTAACCTCTCTAAAATCAAAAGCAGAAATGTACATTGCTTATATATAAATTAGTACAGTGGGTTGAAGTCAGGAAATATTCAATAAACAAGCTCTCTAATATCTCATACAAGTAGTTTCTACCTGAAAATGATCAAGTGATGAGTTCATCATTCAGGCTACTTGTCTGGTAGAACGTGAGCGAGGTTCAAAAAAAAATTTTAGGTCATTATTTGAATACTCCAAAGTTACTGACAAATTATGAAATTTTCAAGAAATTATACTTCCTCACGGCATATAAAAACCATGTAAGGGCCATATATGTATGTTTAAAAAGCAAACACAAGTAGATCTAGTTCTAAGGTTAAAAGTTAGTGAAGAGGCTTTAAGCTGATTTTATTTTTGTATTTGGACATATAATAATTACGTTTTGTAGAGGAACATAACAAAATATTTCATGTTTTGATATGGAAAAGAATGGTGTAAGAAATTTAATAAGAAAACCGAAAGCATGGAACTTAATATCAACCATTTTTCTCAATATCTATTGGAAATAGTCCTAGATCTTTCTGGTTATCAGCTCATATGCAGGTTAATTCTTCCTTGGAAAGTCATGGAGAGGGTAGAGCATTCAATTTTATAATTATTAGTGCCGTCTCTACTGCTTTCTAAATTCGATTTCCTTAACGTGAATTACCTGGTATAGGCACAAAATAATTTGATCTGAATCCATTAATATTGATATAAATCCTCTTTGTATCCACATTAGTATTGTTAGATCCTTAATGTATTCAAATATCACTTTATCATGAGACTTTCAAGTGTTATTTGAGTACGTTATAGCCAGAGAATTCTACCTCAATCCAATCTTGAAAAATTTTCATAAATTGTCTGGTTTTACAAAATCTTCGATAGATCACATCATTTTGAAATTGAAGCTGTTTGAACAAATTCACAGCTCAATATCATTTCATTTTACAACATAGAGCATTCACATAAAAATATAAATGAACTCGGCAAACCAATATCTACAAGACAGATTGAAGTCACTAGGTTCGAGGATGCTCGTGTTATGGGAAAAGAGGAGACTTGCGATACACTGCAACTTCCCCTCCACCGAGTGACGCAGATAATTTGATTTGTGAAATCTCATTAAGTTATGAAGCTTCTGAGATAGATGTGATATTTTCATTAAATTATATGATCAACGATAAGTTTAATAAAAAGTTTTTGTTAAAAAGCTTCTGACTCATTTCGTTGATGTATCTAATTTAAAGCTTCACTGAAGAATCACCTATGGGGTCTTCATCATACAAATGATTATTTATTGAAATTTGCTACCCACCGTGACGCCAATGAGCAACAAACTATGCTGCATTGATACCCACCTATCTAAACTCAAATTTTGGTTTAAACAACAATATCAACATGAACTGATGAAATCTGTAAACGGTAAAGAATGATCACACAGGCATTCCTTCAGCAGTGTTGCCACGTGTGGAGTTGAAACATTTATCTAGAATTACTTGGGGATACAAATTGATATCTAAAGCACGTTGTACTAGTTTAGATTCTGGATGATGATTTTTATTTCATTAAAATGGTAGTAATTTTAAGTTACTGAATAGAATTCGTTGGCGATAACGTTTAGGGTCAGTGTTGCTGGATATTGAAAAATTATCATGGATTCGATATGACAACGTCCAGCTCAACAGCATGACTTTAGAATGTTCCAGAACTCAGACTTCACTCAATAGAGGCAAATAACTAAATAACTGGGTTCATTTTATTTTTACGTCCATGACATAGACTGATAGTTGCATTTTTTTCAGCTTATTATCCAGTCATAGATATAATTCACATTTTTAACTCAAACTTTGAAAATCTTTACCATAGGTGGGATATTTATGGTTGAGTCAATGTCAAACTTTTCGTTTTTCTCAACTTCGCCGCCAATAGATTAGATAATAATTGTTATGTTTATTTGATTTGAACATAATTAGTAAGGAAAATGTGATTGCACGAATTTTTTTAAATATTTGATTGAGGTAAAAAAGTGTATTATCATGATATATGATAATTGATGGAGTCAGATTTTATTTGAAAAATTCTGAAAAATGAATTGTTAACTGCAAAATTTGGAGTTATTGTAGTCTGTGATGAAATAAGGGTGACTATTGTATTTTTGTATTTATTGATTATTAGAATAGAGGTATTAGCTATTATTGAAACATGTATTTTTCTAACCAAAAATAAATTTATGAGAATCTTCCATTTTATTTGTTGATGTTGAATTATTATGAGAAGTTTAACTTTTAAAGTTTGGAAATGATTGTATAAGTATTGTTATATTGGTAGGTTTCTCTATACAAATGATGATGTACAACACTTAGAATAATTTAAATCGTTTAATTAAGTGTATACAACTAGAACACATACATGTATTTTCACCCACTATCAATAAATAAGTGTATACTATTATCTACCTTTTATTTTGTTATGCAGGAACAGGACTAAAAAACAGAAGTCTACATCTTTTTCTACTATATATTTTGATTTTTAAATAAAAACTATGACACTAAATCTATTCATGATCGAATGGGTACCCAACGTTCAAAAACATCTTTATACTGCTTGCGTTCTGAAAAATAAAAGTATGAATTACTAATTGACATTTTGTCTCTTTACCTCTGAAAAGTATTTTATTTACATGAGAACAGTTTCAGTACCAAAAACCGTTTTAATTTTTTTTAATAGAAGAGAAATTAGTGTCTATAACAGTGGTCGCCAACCTGTCGATCGCGAGCTACCGGTAGCTCGCGGAGGCAATTCTGGTAGCTCTCACAACGATTTTAATTTAAAAAATACAAACTGCAAAAATCAGAGAAGCTTCCGAAAATTCCCGAAAAAAACGAATTGTCATAATATTAAACATAAACAGCGGCAACGTTGCGGTGAGCGATCTGCCGCTGACGCCATCAAGCTAGAATCGGCTAGAACCGACCAGCCGGACCAGCGCATTAGTGTTCGAGAACGATCTGGATTGCTTTGAACGGGATAAATACGCACGGCGCGGCGACATTGCGCTTAGTTTAAAACTGAACGCGTAACCAACGTCCAGCGGTTGGGTTAGTAGAGAACAACAAAAATAATATGGCAAGAAGTTGTAAGAAGGTAAAGACATACCACTTTCATTCGAAATGGGAAGAACAATACTTTTTTACAGAAGTTAAAGATAAAAATGTGTGTTTGTTATGTAATACTTCGGTCTCCGTTGCTAAAAAAGGAAATATTGAGAGACATCATAAAACTGTACATTCTAATTTTGAAAAATCATTCCCACTACATTTTGCCGCCAGAAAGAAGAAACTGAAACAGTTAAAATAGCAGTTAATTGGACAACAATCAATATTTTTAAGAACAGTCGACAAAAATAAGGCTGCAACTGAAGCATCGTACCGTGTGTCCCAGATAATTGCACAAAAAAAGAAACCTTATGAAGACGGGGAAATGATAAAACAGGCGTTTTAAGAAGCTGCTGATTCGTTATTTGCCAACTTTAGAAATAAAGACGAGATACTTTCAGCTATAAAATCTAGGCAACTTTCTGCCAATACAGTGATAAGACGTGTAGAAGTAATGAGCAATGATATTTTTTTACAGTTAAGAACTGACTTAGATAACTGTGTTTATTTTTCACTTCAACTGGATGAATCAACTGATATCGTTGACACTGCCCAGATGGCCGTGTTCGTCAGGATGGTTTTTAGTGATTTTACAATTAAAGATCTTTTGAAGTTCATTCCACTGAAAGGACACACTACTGGACATGAGTTGTTTTCTCATTTAAAAAATATCATTTTTTCCGAGAAAATTCCAATATCGAAAATGGTAGGCTTGGCAACCGATGGCGCTCCAGCTATGGTGGGTTGTGATAAGGGTCTGGTGGCGTTATGTCGTAAAGATGAAACTTTTCCGCAATTTCTCTGTTACCACTGCATTATCCATCATCAAGCATTACGTGGAAATTTCCTGAAACTAAACAACGTTATGAAACTGGTGGTAAAAATTGTGAACAAGATTAGAGCTCAAGTGTTACAAAGAAGATTATTCAGAAAAGCTGGAGTTTTGGGAACAAAACCTAATTAACAGCGATGCCAAGCATTTTCCTATTCTTTCAGAAAAAATATCTCAAAATCCATTAAAACCCTATGACAACAAATATCATGTAGAAATAAATTCTACCCTGAAGAATAACTTCAAAAATCGTTTTTAGGATTTCAATGAAATGGCTTTAGTACCGCAGTTTGTTGTTTCACCCTTTATGGAAATTGATATCCAACAGTTTGCAACTTATGTTATGCAGAACTTTGGCGAAGACATCGCTGCAACAGAAATGGAAGTCATTGAGTTTCAAAATGATTTAGCTTCAAAATCGTTAGTCTTAAGTACTGAATGTATCTGGCCTATTGTAAGTAAAGACAAATATTCAGTTCTATGCCGTATTGCCTTGAAAGTAAAAGCATTATTCAGTTCAACCTATTTGTGTGAATAATTTTTTTCCAATATGAAGTTTATTAAGAACAAATATCGCAATCGACTTAAAGATGAACATTTGGATAATTGTATTCGAATGGCTGCATCAAATTATACTGCAAACATTAAAAAAAATTATCGATGAGTCTGAGTGTCAGCCTTCTCATTGAACGTGCTTTTTTATTTTTCAATGTTTATTTTTATTTTTCAATGTTTATGTTCATGATAGTGTGTTACTTTTTTGTTGTTATTATTAACTATTTTTAAATCATACGTGACATGCCGTTGTGGCTGGATAAAAGTTTGTGTATATTTTTCAAACACCTTCGTTTGATAGGTAGGAATGTAGCTATGAACAAGTACGTACTACTACAAGTACGTACTAGTAATATTAGTTATTTTGTTATTAGTTTATTATTAGTACCTATGTATTATGTATTACCAGTTAAATAGTAAAATAAATACATATAATGATAAATTAACTGTGGATTATTTCATTTACGTTGCGTTACGTGGTAGCTCACTGTTTATTCCAAAATTAACAAAGTAGCTCAACACATTGAAGAGGTTGGCGACCACTGGTCTATAATATAATTTGAAAGACTAAATTTGCCGTTAACAAAAATGCAGATTTATCACCAAAAAGCAGCCTTTAAAATTATTGAAGTTTTTTATAGAAACCATTTTATTCATTAAACTGAAAAGTGTCAAATGAAGTGAAATAGGATGTAACGGTAATGTGGTGAATAAATAATTGTTTTTCTGTAGTTTGTATTGTGCAAAAACAAGGCTGCAATGTTTCAATTTTCGAAACTTTGGAAGGCTGAATTTCTGGGAATATGGTAGAGCACAGACTTTTTTCTGTTTAAAATTCCAAATGATTTTTCACAAGAGCAAAAAATCTATTGTGGTTATGATGCATTCCATTAAAAAATGAAATTTTTCAACCAATAACAAGAACGAAAAATCTGTTTATGAAGCTTCTCAACAAAAAAATTAAACCTTCAACCAATGGTTTGAATTACAGCAATTATTCTTCTATCAAAAATAAAAATGCCAAACTATAATAGCTGCGGTATATACCAGTTTATCGTTTTAAATTAGCTTTGACGTACATGGCATCAAAAGCTGAAATATTTTATAAAATATATTTTTTGCTTTCCATCTGTGAGTAAAATGAAGCTGTTTCTATAGACTTTCTGCCTCAGTATGATGGAAACCTATTGAATGTTCCTTTTCCAAGTGACCTACCATTCTTGTGAATCTTAGTGTTTTTAACAATGTGGATAAGAAACAGAAAAGGGAAAATGAAGCTGAATGCTTGTTAATTTTGAATAAACCATCAATTAATATTTATAGTAACCAGGAGTTGGCCCAAAGATCATGGACACAATACATTACCATAAGGAGGAAACTCTTCTGGATGTAACTGTATATAATGTCTATATACAGCATCACGATCTGCCAAATACTTGGTTCTATAATTATCCACAACTTGTCCAACATAAGCCGCAGCAATAGAGACTCCAATGTGTCTCTGAATACCTAAAATTCATGTAGTTGTTATGTAATATTTTTCATTCTATTATACAATGTTTACCGCTCATCACAGGCCTTTTACTGGCATAGTTTGCTATGATTACACTAACAAAACCAACAGTTCCCCAGCAGGCGATAGGGAAATATTTACTGAGAAGGGGAGGTTCTCTACAACCATCATTTTCTAAAGCTTCCAAAGGAGATTTTGGGAGTGTTGGCCCAGTAGCCATGATCAATTTCACACACTTTTTATCAGTTTTTCATTGTCTGCTGTCAAGGTCAGCTGTCATCCTGTCATACTACGTGCGTCCAACAATTCAAGCCACCTTATCGCGAAACGTGTCTGATTTTAATTATTTAGCTTGTTTCATATAGAATGTAACCTAATTTTCTTAATCATTTCGTATTTACAAGTTATTTGTATAAAAATTTAGTCTCCGCTAGACTAATGTAGCCCAACTAAAGATATGTAGAATATTACCAGGTTATTTACCGATTCGCTTTTGTTTTAGAAAATCTTCCAACCTGACGCGAGAAATGAGATTGACCCAACCACGACCCAACTTTGTACAAATGCTGATAGATGAAACAAGATTTTTTCCAAATGTAAACATTGGTGTGCGCTTAGGGCCTCTGTGAATGGAATATCGAAGTACTTTATTCTATGAAGAATCAAGAGGTTCAAGTAGGTAATTACACCATAGTATTTTTATGCATCTTTGCCGAGTCAAATATTAAGAATACTAATAGACAATGAATACAATGAAAACAGCAAATAAAACCGATAGTAACTGAAAGTTTTGCTAGCGGTTATCTTCTGAATGAATAATTATTTTTGGAACACATTCAATTGTTAAGTGCCTGAAAGTATTTATTCATAAACTGATTATCATATCGGTCTAATGAGGGGCGAATGGGGAATATGTTGGATTTTTTTTGAAACGTACTTTCAACGTCCGATGAATAAAATCTAATTGAAAGACAACTCTTGAGGTCCAAAATCATATTATTAAAGTTCAATACTCTAGAATAAGTGACTTTATTGAAGTTACCGATTTCTATAGGAATGGTTCAAAACTAACCAAAATATTGGTTATGCGTTCCAAAAGTAACTACCGCCGTAATTTTCATGATGAAGTGGTGACATTCGGAACATGATTTTCGGAAAATCGGTGTACCAAATGCCAACCAAAACACCGGCAAATATTGTACGGTGCGGTGGAAGAATGTTGAATTTCAATACTACCAGAATGAATATATTCATATTTTTTCCGTTAACGAGCTATCGTACCCCTTGAACGATAACCCTCAGAAGTCGAAACTTGTGCGAGCTAAGGACTAACGAGGTCTTACCTTTTAACATGTGATTCCTAACACGGGTTGGGCGATAGCAAGTGAAAATCGAGCGTTCATCCTGGGGCTCGAACCATCGACTCACACATCGGCCACTTGACTGAGTGAACAAAGCACCCACATCGTACCCCCGGCTACTGATCGACCGATATAATAAGAGTCTTTTCATTAGTTCGGACTTCCATTGTCTAATATGATATGATTTGAGATACCTGTAATAATCAATAAAATTAAAAAGATTAGCTAAAAAAACAAATTAAGCAAAAAACTGAAATTGCAATGAAATAAAATACAGTGGACCTCCGGTAATCCGACAAACATTATGCAGGGCAGTGTCGGACTATCGAATTTGTCGGATTATAGAGTACTGCCTAAGACCCCCTATAGTCCGAATTTTTTTACAAAAGAGTACCTTGTAATCCGACAAATTACATATCCAATGATAATATTCTATATGTTATATGTACATATGTACTTTGAAGTACAAATCATACTTAATTTATGTATGTCGAATTTAGTAAATTAAATAACAATAGAGAGCTTACGTTTTGTTATAAAATTAAGCATAAATGCACATACATAAATATGTACCAAAATAATCAAGAATTATCAATCAAAATCATGTAATGAATTTATCAAATTATGAAGCTTGGAAATATCTATTCATCATTTTTTTTTGTTTAAGGTTGTTATAACGTGAGATCAGAGTTTTGTCCCTCAGTCTTCTCAAAAGTAAAAGTTCGTTGTAGGATGTACCATTCTCTTCAGCCCATTGTAAACCTAGCTCAAAAGCGTTAACTGCGTCTTGTGCTGTGACTTGTGGAGTAGTTGCAATCACGTCGTCGTTATCTTCCTGATAGTTTGTTGTATAGTTAGAAACCTCTTTTATAATATCTTCGTCAGACATTTCATGAAAAACATTTTCCTCTTTATCCATTCCACGGTACCAGATTTCCAAATCTTCCGGACTTATCTGTGTTTCAGTAGTGACTTGTTATATAACTTCCGAAGTTACACTGATTTGTGGATCGTTGCTAGGAGTGGTGACTATATCTGGCCATAACTTTTTCCAAGACGATTTAATAGTTGATGACGGTAACGCACTCCACGACTGTCTTGCTTAACAAACTGAATGATATTCTGGTCCATTTGTTGAATCAGTGCAGTGCAATTTGGCGGAAGAAACATTGCAGTGATGCATTCATCCTCAGTTGTCAGTTCTTCTTCAGACGGATGACCGGGAGCGTTATCAAGAAGCAACAACGCTTTTTGAGGAAAATTATGATCTTTTAACCATTTTCTAACTTCAGGTACGAAGCATTCATCAAACCACTTTTTGAAACGTATGCGATGACGACTTTTGAAACGTTCTAGCCATCCTTTGCTGGCCACAAAATCATCTTTTTTTGTTATTTCATTATAAAAAAAACTTAGCTTTCATGGCCAACATGGGTCCCGAAATTGGTGCATGCCTATTTCTTTCCTGAAGAAACCACATGTACAAAGCTTCTTCCACTTCTGGATGTTCAGCTTTCTTGAGTGTCTGTCTCTTGCCTAGCCCACAGTCAGTAGTTGACACGAACTTCTTAATCTTCTCGTAGTTTTTTTAATGTCATAAATTGTAGATCGGCCTACGCCGTATTCACTTGCTAAACTACTGAAAGTTTCATTGCGATTTAAGCGGTCTAAAATATCACAGAAGTAGGTTTTTTTTATAGTCTTGCTTAACAAACTGAATGATATTCTGGCCCATTTGTTGAATCAGTGCAGTGCAATTTGGCGGAAGAAACATCGCAGTGATGCATTCATCCTCAGTTGTCAGTTCTTCTTCAGACGGATGATCGGGAGCGTTATCAAGAAGCAACAACGCTTTTTGAGGAAAATTATGATCTTTTAACCATTTTCTAACTTCAGGTACGAAGCATTCATCAAACTACTTTTTGAAAAGGTCTTTTGTCATCCATGCACTTTTTTGTCCGTAATAGTGTACAGGTAAATCAATGTTTTTGAATGCCCGTGGTTTATTAGATTTCCCAATGACCACCATCTTAAGCGCGTGTGTACCTGCAGCGTTAGCACATGGTAGTATGGTTACACGCTCTTTACTTACTTTTCGTCCAGGTACGAATTTTTCGTTACAAGAAACGGAAGTTTTGTTAGGCATCACACGCCAAAAAAGCCCTGATTCAACTGCATTGTACACCTGTGACGGGTCGAAATTTAAATCGTTCACCTAGCTTTTACAAAAAATCTTAATTTAAAGGGCTCTTTGCAGGTGGCATCGTTAGAAAGTTTCTCTCCTGTAATAGTCATTAAACGTATGCCATGACGACTTTTGAAACGTTCTAGCCATCCTTCGCTGGCCACAAAATCATCTTTTTTTGTTATTTCATTATAAAAAAACTTAGCTTTCATGGCCAACATGGGTCCCGAAATTGGTGCATGCCTATTTCTTTCCTGAAGAAACCACATGTACAAAGCTTTTTCCACTTCTGGATGTTCAGCTTTCTTGAGTGTCTGTCTCTTGCCTGGCCCGCAGTCAGTAGTTGACACGAACTTCTTAATCTTCTCGTGGTTTTTTTAATGTCATAAATTGTAGATCGGCCTACGCCGTATTCACTTGCCGAACTACTGAAAGTTTCATTGCGATTTAAGCGGTCTAAAATATCACATTTTTCTTTAATTGTCAACGTTTTGTGCTTTCGCTTCTGGGTTTGTGATGACATTACTAGGTACTATACCTAATACACAATGAATAAATAGTAAACAATGAACGCACGCTAGGCCGTACCGCTATCACAAGTAGTCAAATTCAAACTAAGTAAAACAATGCATGGCGCGTACGAGTTGTAAATTCAAAGTCATGTCGGATTACAGGGGGGGCCGGATTAGACAGGGGCCGGATTATCGGGGGTCCACTGTACAAGCAACGCTTGAAAATTGAACAACCAACAAGAAATGAAAGTTAAAACTGAAAGACACGAATTTTTTTAGCTAATCTTTTTAATTTTATTTATTCTTACGGGGATTTCAAATCATTTTATATCATATTATTAGACAATGGAAGTTTGAACTGATAAAATGCACCATGAAATATTGTCAACCACCTTCAACAAATGAGTTTTAATATATTCGTAATATTCATTCCGACACTGTTTAAATTTGGCGACCACCGTACACTCTTTGCCGGTGTCATGGTTTTGGAAACTATGTTCCGAATATCAGCACTTTTCTATGAAAATGACAGCAACAGGTATTTTTGAAACGCATAGATCTGCTTCTGAATAGAAATCGGCAACTTAATGAAGTTCCTTATTTTTGGTACTGGTACTTTCGTACGAAAAGTAGAACTGGAACTTCTGGCGTAGAATGAATCCAAAACTAGCACTGTTCCCAAACATCAGAAATGCCATAATCAAATGTCTTAGTGGATAAGTAATTGAAGACTATATATACAACTAATAGAATTACACCCAGTTCAACAAATGTTTCTATCGACAGCATGAAGGCACGGCAATAGAAAACCCTCTGTCCCCCTTCAAAGATAATCTGTTTATGAGTAGATTTGAATTGGAGGCAAAAAATGAGCTTAGATTACTTTCCATGGACGTCGATTCAATGAATATGTAGATTTTTGATACAAAGAATCCAAAGGTAAGGACATTGTTTCGAATCTCAACAGATCCCTGAATATTGTTTACAAATTAAATGGAAGTGGCCGATAATCTGAAATTGTTAAGATAGGTACATACAACTAGATTTTTAAAATGCTTTCTAAAGTCTGGAAATAGAAAAGTGTGGCATGACAACAATGAACAGTGACAAAGGTCCTATTCCAATCATCACATTGTGTATACATTTTTATGAATAACTCTTGTTGAAATTAGCGGGAACTTTCCCGAAAAAGTGTACTCTGTTAGGAATTAGTCTACTTCATTTCGTGAAGACGCCAATGCGCATCGAGAAGAATGTTACATCTCTGGTATTTGGGAAAAGTGCTTGTTTTGAATATAGAATCAAAGAGTATGAACTTTCACGTCCGGAAATAACTATCAAAGTTATTTTCCGGTTGTATTGGCAGTGGTTTACAGGTTTTTTATGCATGACGTTTCGTCAATTACTGCGGTAGATCTTATCAACATATCTGCCGTGCGAAAAATCCGAGCACTTTATTATGTCTACCACAGTAGTAGACAAAATGTCGGGTATAAACCTGCAGATCACAGACAACAAACTAGCTCTGACACAATAATGAGCTAACTAAAATCCACAGCTGTGCCAACATCGGTTCTGTTCATAGCTTGAAAATTTCAATAATACGAAAGCACTTTATTTATAAAATGTTTTACTGCAAAAGTTTTTTTTTTTCAAATTACAACTCAAAGTGACTGGATAATTTAGGTCCTTTTTTGATAGTTCTCTTCTTTTTCGAAGTCGTTTTTTTGCCAACAATTTGTTGATTGTTTATTGGTACTTTTCTGTAAGGATTTGTGTAGTTCGGTTCTCTATCAGTGTGATTCAATTCCTGACTGACAAGATATAACAACCTAACAGTACTGTTATCTAACAAAAACTTCATCTGATAACTGAATGCAATGCCCCACTGAAAGATAGTATCCCATGTATTATTTTTGCTCAAAACTGATGATGCTATCTCTGGGAACCTCAAAGTGATTTCAGAAAATAGAGCAGTATTTTCCAGAATAGTAGATAAAGCATTCCTTACTTTATCATCTGAAGGAAAATTGGAAACACCTGGGATGAAGGGAGAATTTTCTATAGCGGCTCGACTTTCTTTAATAACCGAAAATATTTTTTCTGCCATGACCATCAATAGACTATACTGTTTTTCATAATTATTAATTTTTTTGAAGTTTTTGATGGCTTCTAATTGATCTGCACGTTGTCGTTTGAACAATTTAATATCTACATTGAAATTAAGGAGTTTTCAATAACTTCACAATGATGTGGAAATTGAATTTTGAAATTTTTTAGATTCAGGAAAATCCTTTAGAAAAAACAAATAATAGCACTTTTTGAAGAACTTTTTTGCATATATCCAAAATTGAGCAGTGCCCCAAATGAATGTCACCATATATTACAAAAATGAAAATGACATTAAGTTTTGCTTTTTTTGTGTTCCTGAAAAAAAATCAATTTCAAAGAGGAAATTTCGCAAGATGCTATAAAAGTTGCTTTCCAAAACTGATTATCTACAAAAAACAGTATTATATTTAACATTGACATTCGGTATTGACAAGTGTGGCCATTAGCATCGTCTTCAGGTAAGTTATGCTAGTATCTCACCAAGCCATTTAATGATCATTATGGCTATTCATCACAGTCCATTTAGCCAGCTGTCATAATAGAATTTTTCCACCTTCAACTACATAAATTCTCATGAGAAAAATATCTGGTCAGTGGCAGATTCGAACTCACAATCTTTAGACTGAGAATCTGGTACAGTATCACTACGCCAAGTCAGCACAAACAATTTATTGACAAGTTCAAGTGATGAACATGTTAAAAAGTTTCAGACTTTGATATCAATAGAAATTTTACTTGTAATTTGAGTCCACTTTGAGGTATTTTATTTTTATATCTATCAAAAATTGAGATAAATATTGTCCATAAGGCTTTTGTTGTAAGAAAGATGTCCTACTTGCGTTACTACTAATCTCCCAAAGAATTTACCTTATATTATAAGCAATAATTGATAGGTGATGTACTAAGTTTCTAGTAGTAGTAAATGTCACACATATTATAAATGAACATATTTAGAGTCAAAAAAAAAAAGTGACAGTTTACTGCTCGACATTTCAATGATTTCTTGTGATAATAATATAACTGCACATTAATAAATTTGAATGATGATAATTCAAGAAGTATAGAAATAAAAAACCAGAAGATATATAGCTAATATATTCAATTATAAATAGGAAGTATTTGTAGTCTGGAGGATAGAAGGTGGAGTATGCATAATATATATGTGTACAAGTTTTCAGAAGTAACAAATAAAAAACATGAATTCTTATGATTACCAATTTGTGAGTTATGACTAATATATTTCTCACCTTAAAAATTCAAAGTAACACAGTCTTTCAAGATATTGAATCAGTCTTATGCATTATCAAATGGAATTAAATTATAATTTAAAAAATCTTGTTCAATTTCTAATTTTTTGGGGGGGAAAAAAAGGATACATAACTGCTCCGCTAATTCCGATTCTTGTTTGGTATCTTGGTTTTCATGGAATGAAAACTCGTCAGGAAAACATGATAAAAAAAGAATTGTAAGATAAATTTGCCAAAAAGTATTCAACTCCAACATATCTCTTAATTGTCTTCTTTTTATTTTACTTTGCTGATGCTAAAAGAACATATTCTAACCTAAGTCATAACATGTCTGCCTCTAGCTTTTCTTCTTTTTTTTTTAGATCACGACATCATGGCCTTCATTTGTTCAGTTTGACACAACAGGTAAAGACCACAGAAAATGTAGATCATTTACCCCACTAGATTAACTGTATTGATAATTCAGATATTAACTCAATAACAAGTGAAGAAGGAATTGATATTTCAGGTTTTACTGGTAGTTTATATTTTTCAAAATAAATAACATTCAATAATTTACTTACTAAACTGGTAGAGATAATTAATTATCGAAACCTATTGTAAATGAATAAATATTTAATTTAATTGATTTGATGGACATAATTTTGCAATTACAAAAATTTTTTCAAGTATGGCAGAGATAGAGGGTGAAGAACTTCTGAGAAATGACAAAGATGATTAATATACGTTTCTTTTAAACTAAAAAATTTGTTTAAGCTTTTCAAGTTTGTTTTTACAGTTTATTGAATGTTTAACTTCAAACAATGCCCTAAATACATCTATACCATTCATTTTGAAGTTTCAACAAATAATTTGTCAATGACACCAGAAGCCTTAGCCATTGCACTCTGAATCGCTCATTCGAGCGTCAAATATACGTTTCTTTTAAACTAAAAAATTTGTTTAAGCTTTTCAAGTTTGTTTTTACAGTTTATTGAATGTTTAACTTCTAACAATGCCCTAAATACATCTATACCATTCATTTTGAAATAGTTTCAACAAATAATTTGTCAATGACACCAGAAGCCTTAGCCATTGCACTCTGAATCGCTCATTCGAGCGTCAAATCGAATGCTTTATAACTTATAGACGGGCCTTTTTGTCACTTTTCACTTGTGGACCACATGATCACGAGTTTGAAAAGATATGCTATAAGGCCATTCGTTGAGCGACACCACAGTAAATTTCTACTGTGCCTGAGCGTCAATTTGAATGCAGTATCTGGTTCCACAAAGCCTAGTTCATGCTTTTTAGTGAGGGTTTTCTGTACATATTATGTTTTCTCTAAGTTTATGTGTTCTGTAGTTGATAACCCAGAAATCGACCTAGAAGTATAAACATAAACAAATGAAAACATTTGAGTTAATCATTTGCTACAATAAAAATTATTTGAGATGAATTGGGATGAAGATATCGATTTATTGACAGGAAAAAAGGTAGTCATGAGTGATTTATAATTGTTAATTTTAAGCACTGTAAATATGAATTCCCAAACTGAATTTTGGTTATTTTCATTATTCTGATTGACTGCCACAACTCGGCCGTTTCTTGATGAAGATCCGAAGTGATTTCACAAACTACACCATAAATGTTAAAAAATAATTGTGGTCAACATTGCCGCAATTGCTCCATAATTTGTTATCTGTATTGTTTTCTGATGATCTTAAATCTTTCAATACATTCATATTATTATTCACTGTACTGAAAATTAAGAATGTGAAATTCAAGTTATGATAAATTGTTCCAGATGTACCTACCTATTATCAAGAGAGGAACTGAATTCCCATATTATTTAGATTTCACTTCTTTTCAGATCTACAAAGATGCCTTGTTTTTAAAAATATTTTTTATATTTGAAACGTGAAATTTGTGATTTACAATGTATTTAATGAGAACATCTAAAGGATAATTGTAATGGGAACTGAATATGATCTAGATCGAAGCTCTCTGCTGGGTCTTAGTTTACTCATGTTATGTAATACTAACATCCACCTTGACACCATTAACAGACTCGGGAAGAGGATTGGAAATACATGTTCAACAACTGAATTGTTTATTATAAAAATCTCCGATTTTTTTCGCCAATAAGTTCAAATTCCAAAAGTGAAATTACATAATTAAATCTAGTTTGAAGGTGGTTCACAATGTTTTGTAGTGCAATTCATTAGTTCGGACTTCCATTGTCTAATATGATATAAATTGATTTAAAATATGAAATATGATATAAATGGATTTCAAATCAATTTATATCATATTAGACAATGGAAGTCAGAACTAATGAAATGCATAATTAGATCTTTATTAGTTGTATTTCAATACACAAGAAGGGGTGATTTGAAATTGGATTGATAAAAAAATTAAAAATAATTGTCAAACTGATACATTGAAATTGTAAATTATACAGTTCAATTTTTGCAGAAAATCACTTTTGATTTCTGTTAGAGTTTTGGTACAGGGAATGTTTCTTTCCCGCTTGGGGCTTTGTTCACGAGATGAGAGTTGTTACTAGTTACCAATCTTTCTCTTGAACGAAGGTTTCATATTGTAGTGGATCTGTGTTGAAATTAATCGAGTCTCAATCAGTTTGCTGTAATATCTTTACTGTACTGCAGGTGGTCTACTAGAATAATTTCAGCATAATCCTGCTGTTGGATTAATGAGAAACATCTGCGAGACTAACCTCTGTGAGGTATCTTGCATAAATGTCTGTCGGATATAATTCAATATCCTGCTTGGTATTAGGTGAGGTTTTTCTCACTAGAAAAACAATATTTTTTTAAACATACTTTCTAAAATGAAAGCAAGAAAGGGTTTCACTTGCGGTTGAATACCTAATTTCTTGCTGACACAACATGGCACTTTGCCCAGTTTCCTACCTAGACATCTTGCTAACTTTTGTTCATATTTCAATAAATAGTACAAGTCTATTTACCATTATCCATTATACATTCTAATATTTACAGAAGAAACTGTCGAATAAATTTAACAGTGTTATTTATTTGGTGAAATTCTAAATAATGAATTGAAAATGCTCGTCATTTCATTAAAACCTCTGATATCTACAATTTTAGTGTACTTAGGAACATTAGCAGCGTAATGTTATAATTTTATCATTTTGCATGTGTATTAAAAATGCTTCATTTTGTTTTGAGTTTATATTTTGAAATACTTATTGCTAAACTATAATCATTTCGTGAATGGGAAATAATAGTTTTTTGTTTTGACTTTATAAGTCTGCCCCTAAGCAAGGTAGAAGATCAAATCAAAATATGGGAGTAGAAGAAAATGAAGATCTCACTAGGAGTATGGATGAAAACACATTCGAACCTGTGAAGGTGAAGAAAACAAGTGTTTGGAGTGAAGATCCTCCTAAATCATCTAGGTTTGTTTTTATCAGAATAATATGTGGAGGCTATAAAATAATTTTTATTTCAGATCTGCTGCAGGATCTAATATGATAGAGCTGTGAGTTGTTTATTTATTACTTAATGACATATATTAGGGAGCAATTTGTGTGGAATTCATTAAGGGAAATATTTTTTTTCTAACTGGCAAAAGTTGTTTACCACTATTAGAATTACCATTTTTGTAGATAATCATCAAATCTCTGGCATAACAAACACATGTCAGATCTTACACACTATATTATTACTCTCGACACTGACTGAAAGTATAAAGAGAAATGAAGTGAATATATTCCTGACTATGAAAATTACAAGCACATTGAAATCAATTCAGACAAATAAGAGAACATACTTAAAAACATTTGATTATAAAATTTCCACTCAATAATTAAGGAAATCTCAACAAGTATTTCAGTATATAGTAGCTTCTTCAGGCATGTCTAATATGTTAAAAATGGTATAAAGCTACTTGTGATGCATTGTTTGGAACCTTTGGTGTAGTAATGAATACTAATGGAGTTCTATCCCAACCCCTAAACCGTAATTTTTAATACCTCGGCACATGTTTCAATCTTCAAGAGATTAATCTTCCTCTTGAAGATTGAAACATGAGTCGAGGTGTTAAAAATAACGGTTTGATGTTGGGACTAAACTCCAGTAATATTCATGGTATAAAGCTATTGTATAGTGGAACACTGCTGCATGTTGAATGTTTATCATGTATTTATATCAAATATATGTCGATTCCATCAATACAAGAGTATTTGCAAGTGATTTTAGATTGCAGTGTGTCATGAGGCTCTCAGTACTGTGACATAGATTTGCTAGTGAAAGTAAGTAAGTGATTGCAAGGTGTATTGCTTTGAGTTGTATTTTGAATAATTAAGTAAATTAGTGTACTACATAAGAATCCTCAGAGATGTAACAATATTTGTACAGACATAAGATTGAAAATTGGTGAAATGCCTCAGTCCTTTAGTCAATATCATCAAAACAAAAATCAAGGAGGGTTTGTAGGATGCCCTGTCGGAAAATAAAATTGTATCAACTTCAAAGAAAAATAAATACTAGAGGCTGCAGATTATAGGCCTACTCAAGAAAGGCTGCAGTCCCCCACAGACCTCATCCTCCTCCCCTAGAAAGCTAACTCACACATTACCATATAACTTTAGTGCTTGCAAACAATTTTGGAAAAAACCTTAACAGTGAAATGGTTCACTTCAAAGAGGATCTTCAGCAAAATAGGCACCTATAGAAGTTGATAAAACAAACATTGGTTGGAAGACTATCGGAGATCTACAAAGAAGCAAAGCAATCTCAATCAGTACTGTTTATTTCTTATGTGAAAGGAATATCAGAGAGTATCATAGGAACTGGATTTAAATGTGTATCTGATTTATATGCTTTGTGAATGTGGTACGTTTTATATTGGTGAAATGAAGAAGCTAAAGAGGACGTTCATCGTCAATGAACAAAAATCAGCAAGTTAGGAGTAGCAAAACACATCTGGTTCCTCCAACTCAACATAAATCGCCACTTCCACACAGGCATGGTAGCAAGAAAACGTTATATTAGTCCTTTAATTCATCAAACATAGATGATAAATTCAACAACTTCTACACCTCCTTCAAATATCACTACAACATCGCTTTCAGTTGGCGAAAATTCCATTTGAGTGAAAATAAAAAACCATGGTACTCTCCCGAATTGAAAGAGCTTCATAATATGCTATGTGAGATGTCAAAAATTGTGAAGAGTACATCTAACAATATAGTACATACAAGATATAAGATCTTGAAGCACTATTACAATGAAAAAGTGAAAGAAAATAAACTTACTTATAACAACAACAGACTACAACAAGCACCAAATTTAATGAGAGAGAGCTGGATAATAATCAATGAGTCGAAAAATAAGACAACAAATAACACAGTGAAACAACTTATTATAAACAACAGAATGATATTGAACCAAAGGGAAATCTGTAATGCTCTAAAGTGACTTTTTCATGGATATACCTTGTCCAAAACCACAGGTTGATAAATTGAAACTATCTCCTTATTATGAACACAGTTTCATTCTTTCTCCTACCACCAGTCAAGAGATTGAAGAATATACAATAAAGACAACTAAGAAGTCTGCTTCTGGAATAGATGATATATGTGGGAAATCTGTGCGTCATGTTAAAGAGATAATAAGTTTACCATTGGCTCACTTAATAAATGAATCATTCACTTCGGGGCAGTATACCCATCAGTCCTTAAGGCCTCCAAATCGATACCAATTTTCAAAAATAAGGGATCAAAAGATGATGTCACAAAATACCGTAATGTTTGCTTACAGAGTCAAATAGCAAAAATAATTGACATGGCATATAATAACTGTCAATAATTGTCAAAACGGTTTCAGACAAAACAAATCAACATTAACCGCAATAGGCGATTTTTGTACAAACATATATGAATCTCTCAACAACAAACACAACCCCATTGCACTTTACTTTGACCTGACTAGAGCATTTGATACAGTTGACCATAATCTTTTATTGGATAAGCTGTATCGGATTGGTGTACGAGGAGTCGCAAATGAATGGCTTGCATCTTATCTCAGAGAGAGGGCCAAAAAATTGTAGTATTAAGTGGAAATAGATCAACAGAAAAAATTGTAAATACTGGTGTCCCTCAAGGATCAATCTTGGGACCTGTTCTCTTTATAATTTTTATCAATGATATGGTGTACTCATGTCCCAATGCTGGAAAAATTGTCATGTATGCTGATGACACTAATATTCTCATATCAGATAATGAATTAAAAAATGCTGTTACCAGAGCAAGCATTTGTGGCAATGATTTTCATAAATAATGCTCGTTTAATGGACTATTAGTTAACCTACAAAAACATTCTTTATGGTATTCACAACAAAAAATAGAAATTGTGATATGAATTTTTTAATACGAGTGAATTATAAATCAATAGAAGAGGTAAATTTCATTAAATTTCTGGGTATCAAAATAGACCAAAAAATGACATGGGAACCTCATATTAATGATATAACAAATAAATTTAGTACAATTTGCTTTATTATCAGACAACTCAAGGGCACAATATCATAAGACATACTTAAATTAGCTTGGACTTGTACAATCTGCATTGAGCTACGGATTGATATTCTGGGGAAATTCAGTATATATGAATAAAGTCTTCATCATCCAAAATAAAATAATTAGATGTATGGCTGGTGTAGCTCGTGGCACCTCTTGTAGAAACATATTCAAACAACTCTCAATTTTAACAGTACCATCATTTTACATTCTTCTGATTATCATCAATGTCAAAAAAGAAGAAAATAACCTGAGTAGAAGATGTGATCTACACAAATACAATACACCAGCCATACTCAAGATTGAGCATTGGTCAGGATTCTCACAAATACCAAGAAAACAGGTGCTATAACCGACTTATGAATATATTCCCACACTTAAACTCAGCGAGTGCAAATGTGTTGAAGGATAATCTGTCTCGTTATCTAATAAATCAATCATTTTACTCCATTGAAGAGTTTTTAGAGAATTTTAATCCAATCATATGTGTATTTCTCATATATTGAAGAGCTTTTAGATGCTACATTGTAGAGAATTTCAATCTAATTGTATGTTTATTTTTTTATATTTTAAATTGTATATTTCTGAATTTTCTTTATTGCCTTGTGACTAGTCCGATAAGTTTTTGCATGTATATATGTATTCTCTTGTATGTATATGTAAATTCTTCAGTGATGAATAAATAAATTCTATTCTAATTCTATATTTGCTCTGGTTGCTGTGCTCTGGTTGCTGACATGATTAGAAAAGTGAAATATCGGATTTAAACCAAAACAGTTTCAATAATAATAATAATTACTCCATGTCATAAAATCTAACAATATATATTGACATTGTCATGATTTGAAAGAACCTTACATATTTGATTTAACAATATTCACGAAAGCATATACAATCCAAATATAAAATAAACTTTATCAAGTAAATTATCAAAGGCTTACGATGGAAAATTAGGGGGTGGATCTGCTAAAGTATTCATCTTTGACCTTATTTTTTTAAGTTATGTATATTTTTTATTAATTTAAATTAATTGTTGATCAGTTATCCTTAATGCCCCATAAGTTAATACTACCTAAGTACTATTATTTTGGTTTTCAGAGAAAGATTTCAGAATGACAGAGTTGAGTTGGATGATGATATTCCGATAATTCCAGATATCGATGATCTCCAAGATGATTCTTTGAATTTGTCAGATGTGAAACCAATGTAAGTGCAAGTACACTTTCTTAGGTTGGAGGCCGAAAATATAGCAGGTGTAATTGAATTTACTGTTTTAGGGAAAAATTCAATTTCTTTCAACACTGTATTTGTGCATAATTCTGACAAAGGCACTTTTTCTCATACTCAAATACCGACACCAGATTAGACAAAAATCCGACATCGTTTCATCTTTCTATAAAAAATAAATCTATCAACTAATCCTCTTTCACTGACTTGTTTGGGAGGCTTGATTTTTTCTGTAATCTCATTCATATCATAGCATATTTCTTCTTTTTCATGTGGCTATTCCCATTTTTTCAAACCGATCTCCGTCATTGTACTGATGAATGCTTCAACTTCAGCTCGCCGCTGACTTGAAGTCATGCCGTAACTTTTGCGTACGCCACTGGCACATGAGTTAGACAATGTATTATGACGTCTTATTGGCATGCGCGAGAACGTCGAATTGATTCAAAACCAAGTATGGAAGTCGGATTAGAGTCATTCTACAGAGGCCGCGACTTATTTCATATATAGAAGAAATTGTATTTATATGAAGTATGTTTGTTTAACTGTAAATAATCGTGCCTTCAAAAATAGATTCAGAAGATAATGATATTAACAGAAATCACTTGGTACGTTTCAGGATTTGAACATGTTTTCTTTCAAGGAAGATATCGGGTGCGACTCAAATGATCAGTATCTCAAAATAGTTTTATTTTTTACTTTTCAGCATTTCCGTGAACAAATCAACATATAAGGAACTGGACAACCAATTTGAAAATTTTCAGAGTGAACAAATTAGCATTGGAAATTTGGGTGATATTGATTTGTCTTTTCTGATGAATAAGTTGTATCCTGAGAAGGAAGTTCAGCCATGCACAGAGATTTGGACATTGGATTCTTTATTCACCGATCTATCGAAAGCAAATTCGTGATTTTCGGAATATTTTTGGTTATTACCCAAAGATTTTGGCTGCACCATTGTTAATTTGAATAATTTTCATTGTATGATAGAGAAGAATACTGTTTTACATCTTGAAGTGAATGTAGATAGAACACCATTTTGGCCACTTTTTAATAAAAAGCTTAACAAGGCACCATTCAAATATCTGTTCAGTTTCGTAGTAGCTATAGTTTTGACTAAGGTTTGAATTCACCATAATAATTATTGCACGTTCCTAATTTTATAATTGTGCCGATTTTTATAAGAGAGTCAGAGAATGAAAAATAAAGTTCAATTTTACTTAACTCTCTACTAGGGAATATCAGTTTCATTAGTTAATTATCAAAACATAACCATAAAAAAATAGTGAAATGTTATAAAATAGTTGAAATAATTTCTAAAATGAGTTTTATTTTCAACTCCTTTCAAATTCACCTTAATTGAGGATAACATTTTCTTGGAGCATTGATTTACAGCAAGTTGGCAGGTCATTTCTGTATTAAACAATTGAAAGAAAAAATTTGCTTGTGTTACAATAAATATTGAAGGTAGAGTCGTAGAATACCCAGACGAGCTTGCTTCAATGTTTAATGACATCTTAATGAATTCTTCAAAAAAATTAATTGGTCAAATACCTAAATCAAAAGTATATACAAGGTGTTTCAAATTCGATCCTCACCATNTTAAGTAACTCTGATTTTTAGTTACCTTTCTCACCTGGTACCTGCGCAGGTGTCACGGGCAAGCTCCACAAACATTCAGGTATTAAAAAGTACACAAGAGACTACTGTGAACCGAAAGTTATATGCTTTAGAAAATAAGTTGTGTCTTACCGCTCTGGGATCTTGGACTATAGCTAACAAAGCATTGTCATCCAAAATTACTATTTTTACTAGAACCGAAATATTTCGAGGAGTTAGTTGAAAAAATTCAAATAGTATTGTAATAAATTAAGAAATTAACAGTCTTGAACAAATTTATTTCCAACAAATTTTCACTAATCACAAACTAATTTACACACTTACAAAACTTAGCAACCAACACTTTATTTATTTCCATTGTTTGATTTTCTTGTTTAGCCGCTCGATTAACTTTCTGAACTGCCCTCTCGGGTCGGGAAGCAACATAGCCTTCCCCCGCAGTGTCTCGTTCTGGCGGCGTCCCAAACTTCAGATGGCAAGGGAGGCGCAGCTCTCGGCCCATTATAGTACTGGCAGGGGTTTGGCCGGTTGACTCGTGCACTGCAGAACGAAAGGCCAACAGGAACAGGTGGAGGTTCTGGTCCCAGTCTCTTTGGTGGTCAGAGACTACCTTGGACAAGTGGAGGTTTATGGTCTTATTTATCGTTCCACCATTTCATCGGACTGTGGATGTAAGGCTGTGGTTGTGGTCTTTCGAATGTCCAACAGTTCACACATTTCTCAGAACAGGTTGGACTCGAAATTTCTGCCCTGGTCCAAATGCAGCTTCAATGGGACACCGAATCGTACCAGGACGTCAGCGACGGTAAAGGCTCCCTGGTTGGGCACGAAATAGGCTTCTGCCCACTTACTGGATGAATTTGTTCCCATGGTCGGACTCTGGGAACGGGTTGGCGATTCTCTCAAAAGGACTAGCCACGTTATACTGGCGAATTGGAGCTTTCGTTCGTATCCGAGGTCCGTTACTGGTAGCACATACAACACACTTTCTTCACCAGTCTGTCCTCCACAGGGGTAATAGGGTTCCGATGGGGGGGCGTGTCCTACGACTCCGCCCCCGTCGACCGCATTTACCATTCGTCGCAACGGCCGGCTGGCCTACCAGACCTGAGCCCTTGGGATTTCAGGACTCAGCTCTTGCCTGGGTGCAACGGGAGGTTGGTATGCTTCGGTTTGCTCGTATTCTGGGAATCGGGATGCGTTTAGGTACTGACCCCGCCATGGAACCACCCCCAAGCCTCTCTCGATTTCAGGGTGATCCCCTGGCATTCCACCACCCCCTAGCGCTTCCGCTAGGCCGTCAGTATCCGGCTCGAACCGGGGACGAGGCGCTCCTATGCGCGATGACCCCTTCTCCTCCCAGGGATCACTAAGTGTTCCCCCCTGGGGGCATCGCGACGCCTGGCGTCGGACGACCTGTGCTTCGTCGCTCAATTCCATGTTGCCAGCATCTCCAAAGCCTTCTTTGCTTTGGAAACGCTGCCTTCACCGCACCTTTCGAAACTTTCCTTGTTTCGAAAGTCCTGTCCGGTGGTTCTTTTTTCGAAACATTCGCTGTTTCGAAAGTCCTGTTCATGGTAGCATGATTCTCTTGTCGGGTTTAACAATGGCTTCGACATTTCGCTGATTACTGTTGTCACAGGATGGCTGTACACCCTGTGAAACATTACCCTCGGTGACTCTACTACATATGTAGGTATCGCCGCCTGAATGTTTTCACTCAAAACATTTCGTTCGGGGAAAAGTCTAGAGGCAGACAACCCTCCGGTTGTCGCCGCCGGTTAAAAATTTCAAATTGTTCCGGTTGTTCCGATTTTGATGAAAAACGCTGTTGGCTCGTTGTCGGAGCCGATCTCAGTATAGGAGGGGTTCGCTCTGTGGATGTTTTCTAGTGGAGACCGTTCTTGGCGTTGTCAATTCAGCTCGCATGTCGAGCAATTGACGAAGATTGGCCTGGTGCGTGCTCCTGGTCCTGGACAACAACACCTTTCCTCGGAGACGATGTCCGTTTTCTCGGAGTAACGTCTCCTGCGACTCGATATTCCCATATTTCCTGGTCCATTCGCAACGTATTCGGTGTATTTACATTCCTAAAGCGGTTTAGTACAGCTTCACTATTTCTCGGAGTTTTTTCGCGATTTGGGGACTCTGTCCTTTGTGTCATGTCGAGTTCTCTAACTACTCGACTTGCTGAAAAACCACCAAATGCCCAAGGTTTGTCGCTCTGCGACCACGGGAGAGGTACCGGTGTCCTCGTACGCAAAAGGTCTACGTTGAGTAGAGTATACCCTCAGACTGGCCGACTCTACCGAAGTTCTCGGAATACTGTTTCCTGTGAAAACAGGTTTCGGGGGGGTTCCGCGTCTGCTTGTAGAAGTCGCACTCATCAGGCGACTAAGCGGGTCTGACAAGGAACTTGATTGACCGAAGCTTGTGGTCTCGCGATTTGGCACTGGTGTATTTTCTGCAACCTGCGCTCGCGCTTGACTTGCCCTAGTCTGCATTTCGATTTCAAAATTTCCCTAAAATGACTCTGACGAGGAAATAGTCAGAGGGAAGGATTCACGGAAATCTAATATTTTTAAGTTCACCCTTGGATCGCGAAACTGATTTTTCCTATCCAAGGCCTACAGGGTGAACTGAGCTAGTGATTTAGGAACAAGGAGCCTAACGGTTGAACAGCACCCTAGGATGAGGGCCGCTCGCAGGATAAGGTAGAAAGGTATCGTAATCCTGGAAGGTCCCAACGGTTAGGTTGAGTCGTTAAGTAAGTAATGATGTCTTGACCCTCCCGAGTTTAATCTCGAAACACCTTGATCGTTTAACACCGTTTAACAAGGTGATCGGGTGGAGTGAGACCGGGCAACTTTAGTAGGGACCTGCTCTTTCTTTGCAGGATTTGGGCTGCTTTCCTTTGGCGGAGTGCCAAAAGGAACCTGTCATACGTCATACGTAAGGTATGATTCAGCACTTCACTAAGTTATCCAACCAGTAATCTGCTCCAGTATAAGCTCTGTTAAATCCCAGAGTTTCCACAATCCTAGAATTCCTCGAATAAGTATCCAACCATTTGCTTCCTCAATTTGCGTTCTTCGATAAATGAAATCAAACAGTCTTCGGCCTTACTCGGGAATCTTCGGAAAATCGAGAAAATTCTAAATTTTCATTTTCCTCGATTTCATATAGAACTCAGCATCGTAAGGCAAAAAGTCGTATGATGCGTCTCGATATTCCCATTCCTTCTTGAAGAAAAATGCATTTGAGAAATGTTCTATTTTTCAAAACTCTAATGCTAATAAAAATTGAACCACGAGCACTAGAAACGTGATCAAGGTGTCAAACAAAAGCTACTAAGAATCTCTATCGATGCTTCCTTGAAGAAAGCACGATTTTCCTATCTAGATAACTGAAAAAGCCATTTTCCATAAAATCAGCTTTTTCCCTATTTAAAACTTTGGCGAAGGCTACTAATCTTGCAAAAGATTTTTCTATCGCTTAGGAAACGATATTTCACATCTTAATTTTCAAAACTAAGCTGAAATATCTTGGGAAAACCGATGTTTTTCCACGTTTTCTCAATGTTCATTCTGAGTGGGCGGTCCTTGTACTGGAGCTCGTGAAAATCAAAACTAGTTTTGTTTCACGACAAGTCTTTGACGTCGGCTTGATAATTAACCCAGTAAAACCGTTGTCTTACTTTCTGGAGGGTCTTCGTTACTCCCAGATGTCCTCCAGTGACTCCATCATGAATTTCTTTGAGCACTTCCCGTCGTCTGTTCCTGGGTACCACACCCGCTTCAGAACTCCGTTTTCCAAGGTAAGGGAGTTCCATTGGACCCAGTAGGACTTAACCGCTGGAGAATAACCTGCTACCTCCTGCCACGATGGTCTTTGATTAATTTTCCTCCACCCGATGACTAAACCAAGATCTGGGTCTTTCTCTTAGTCTTCTTTGATCTTATCGTCCTTCCAGTTGTCGTCTACAGCAGTAGTTCTACAAATAGCTGCTTCCTTCTCTTCTGCTCGGCATGGGGCATGGTCTCCGTGACAGGGCGTCTGCGTTTTTATGGGTAGTTTCAGCTTGATGTTCTATTTTGAAGTCAAATTCTTGAAGTCTCGATCCAGCGCGCTACTTGGCCCTCTGGATTTTTGAACTGCAGAAGCCATTTGAGAGATGCATGGTCCGTTCTCAATAGAAATCTTCTTCCATATACGTATTTGTAGAAATGCTTCACACCTTTGACAACGACCAACAGCTCTCGCCTTGCGACACAATAATTGCGCTCTGGTTTACTGAGCGTTTGTCCCTCCTGGATCTGAGAAAGGACTGCTCCAAGTCGTACGTTGCTAGCGTCCCTATGTGAAATGAATTTTCCGTCCGGTAAGGGATATCTCAAAACAGGAGCGTTGATCAACTTCTTAAATGAGTCTTGGCATTCTTCGGCCACTGGAACTGGATCTGTCTTTCTGTGAGTCGGGTCAATGGTTTGGCGATGTTGGCAAACCCCAACACCAAAGGCGATGTTGCACAAACCAAGGAAGCTCCGAAGCTGATGTATGTCTTTTGGAATGGGCCAATCCTTAACTGCTTTGATCTTTTGTTCGTCTACCACCACTTCTTCCCCAGAGACAACGTGGCCAAGGTAACGTACTTCTTTCTGGAACCGATAGCATTTCTTGGGACTGAGTTTCA